CACGTAGGGACCCGGGTGAATTGACAAAATACTCAGCGCTAGCTATACTTGCGAAGGAATGGCTATGACCGTGACCCCTGGAAGCTCGAGGACGAGTTCTTCCCTGGAGGGGGAGTATGTAACCCTGGTAAATACTAGCTGCAATATACCGCTCGGCTAGAGAGAACTTCTCTTTAGCTCGATCGGTTGAGCGTAAGACTAGTAAGCCAGAGGTCCCGGGTTCGACTCCTAGCGGAGGCATTGAAAAAATAATGACCTCTGTTACACATTATTAGCAACAGATTGGAGCCATGATGTAACACTTGAGGTAGCACTGCATATGTAGTATCCGTGTAGGCAGACAGAACAAGTTACACTCTAGTAACAACAGAATAGGGACATGAGATAGCACTACAGAAGTATTACATGTTTGGGCAGAGAGAACAACACACAATTTGTTATATATCAGCTTGTATTTACATTCTGTCAGTCATCAACACAGTCAACACATTCAGTAAGCTCCGAACAGCACTTCACTCAAACTGTATGTACATAATAACCAAAGTATGATTACCCCATCATTATATACACCATATAACTAACAGGTCTTCAATATTTGACCAGTAGAAATTCTCTTAAACAGTAAAAACCTCTAATATTCCTTTCTAAATATACATATGTCAATGAAACTTACACTTTTCAAAAAGGAAAGTAAAAAAAATGTGAAATGTTATAACGATTAAAGATGAAACACAAATACATGTAACAAGAAATAACTGTCAGTTTTTTCTACAGTTCATCAATTTCATAGCTCTGTACAGAAACCAAGACACATTTTTGTAAAAAGTTAATCATTAATTTTACCTGGTAATTGACTTTCCTTTAAGAAAATACACATAAAAGATATAAAACATTAAATAGAAATTTACATAACTTTCAAGTTGAAACCACAGCTGTTGTTCAATTAATTAGATATCTAATTATGATCAGAAGTATGAATTGTTAATGTATAAAACTATATATTTACGTATCAGGTGTTCTGCAGTACAGATGAAAACAAACTCTTCTACAGCCGCAGCTGTTCATAATTTCAGTTATAAACAAAACAGAAACATATTCTGGCTATATATACATATACTTGAAAAAAAACCTAAATAAAATCTTTAAGCAACAAAATGGGGAAATCTAAAAAGGAACAAACAATACAAAGAAAGCCAGCATGACCTTCAAGATGAAAGTAAGAGATAGAGATGGGACATTAACTCATTCAACCCTGAAATTTTATATTGAACTATTCCAACCTTTGCATTGGAAGACTTCAAATGTGTCTCAAAGGGGGAATGAGTAAGACTGACATGACATTTTAGCCAGTGGCTGTAAAGCTACAGGTACATAAAATGAAGGAATTTATTGACAGAAATAAACTTGGATATCGACAGTTTTAATAACACGAGGTGGATATATATATAATAGTGGGTAGTATACATTATAGAGAACATGATACAAAAAATATCCCAATTAAAGTGTTATACTTCATAACAGGAATGGACTTCATGCCCTTCTACACATCATCAAATATCCTTTGTACCTACCACTTATATAAATGTATACAGTAGGAAAACATAAAATCAAATTATATTCTACTTGGTACCACAAAACTTCCGAATTTTATTTCTGAAAATACAAATCAATTAAAATCAAAATTGAACATCTTCTAATCTTGTTTGAAAAATTCTCAGACTTTTAATTTAAAATGAATAGTTTCCATAAAACTTTTGATTTTTCCGAAAAATCTCTTTCTTTAATCTAGTTGATTTAGTAAACGTTCTGATGTTTTTGAAACAATTTGTTTTCCTTTATTTGTTTAAATATCTACACATAATTTATGCTTAAAAGCTATCTTTGCATTCCATATAGAACCAATAATCAAATATTGTATTGCCCTCATCTTTTGATAAGATTTTACTTTGCAGCCCACAAAAATAAGCCAAATATAAACCATGAAAATAATTTGCCCTTCTGATCAAGAGTTAGTAAACACTTTCTAAATAATAATAATTCGAGGTTCTTATATACTGCTTTATCACAACTAAGTTCATAGGTCATCTCAAAGTGGTTAACAAATTATTATCCGTGGTTATAGGGCCTTTGCAAAGCCAATATCTTTCTCAACTCCCTGGGGAGCATACAGCCGGTGCTGCCATTTTGGTGCTCACAGCTAGCATTCAACAATTCTAGCACTGCCCAACCACATACTCATTTACAGCTGAGTAGACTAGAACCAGTGGAGTAAAGTATCTTGCTCAAAGATACAACACAGTGCCATGCCGTGACTTGAACCCGCAACCCTTCGGTCATGAGCCAGGCGTCCTAACTCTAGACTATCGTGCCTTCTGAATGTTGACACTGTTGTGCAAAATTTAGGCCAGCAAGTTTGATCCAGGAACACAACAACGGAAGTTGGAGATTGACATGTTACAGATACAAAAATATGGCAGGAAACTTAGAGGTGAAACAGTACTATCTATAATTACCTCATCTAGGTCAAACAAGCATGCAAACAGGGATTGAATTTTTACCAAAATAAAGCATACCCTATTTGACATCATGACAAATATAAATTATCAATATATACATATTTAATAGAAATTATTACTTTAATAACTATTGGTACTATCATAATAGTAAACCTCAACACTGCATAACACAAAAATGTACAAGTATTTAAAATAATAGTACACTGTATTTGACTAACATGAATAAACTTGATATACACAGTTATTTCCCTTTGTCAAGCTCATGAATCATCGAGGCTTCCTTGTATCTTTTCATTATTTTGTCCAACAACCAGTTTTAACTGTACTATGACAATATTCTTATTGTATTATTGAAAATCACTTTCAGACTTAATTAACCCTTTCATCCCTATGTAACTTTAATTAACCCTACCATGCATTGATTTGGATAAGTCCATTATGGTCTACAGTAGTGAAAGGGTTAAATGTGTTGTCTGGCATGTACGACAGCATGAACCCTGTAGTAGGGGTGTCCCAGTATGCCGGGAGTGTACCAATATGCATTGTAATACAGAGGAAATATACTATGATAAACATCCTGATATACTGTGTCAGGAAAAGGTTGCTTTTTTTTCAAAAAGCTGTGCTCAATTTCAGAGGAATGTGTTTTCAAGATGTTGTCAAATTGAGTCATATGAGTCATATAGACCAAATGTATTTCTCAAAGAATTATCATCATCTTTGATTATGAAATTTTAATTGAACCCCACCACTAATAATATTTGGTTATTAAGGAAGAGACGGACAGGTATCACATGACCAAACACTCAATACACTGTAAAGATATATAAATTGGTTGGACATTCCTTTTAACATGAGGTCAAAAACCAAGGTCACAAATAAATATTGCTTTTAATCATTATTGTTGATTGAAATAAGACATATATCCTTTCCAAGTCTTATGTCTGATTATTGAGATGCAACCTCCTTTAAATCTAAAGAAGGTTATCTGAAAGGATAAAATAATATTACAAAAACATGGCTGCTGCAAAACCAATGCAAATTTAAGAATCAATCGCACCTTTAGTTAAAAGAGTTGAAAAAGAAGAGAAATTTTAACATTTTTCATGAAATCTGCATAAAAGGGTGTATCACAGGGTGTCGTTCTAACCCCACAAACTTTTTGTTTTCCCTGGAAACATATTTATTTTTTTTATTGCAAAAAAGGGTAGTCATTTTCATTTTTATTTTTTTTTAAATATTATGTCTAAAATATTCATTATCATATCGTTCTCAGATAAATTCAAAAAAAAATTATATGCATTTTTTTGCGGGTACCTTGAGGACTTAAAAAGGGCTTTTTTTTTTCCAGTTTTCGGACTTCAACGGGAGGTAACTCTTTCAAAGAATATTTTTAACAATAGCTCAGAAACCTATTCTCAAATTTAAATATTTTGTTAGGTACACCCCAAAGAACAATATATGCGAAATTAAAAAAAAATCATTGACTAGATTTTTGTTTGCCTCTTGTGTCCTTCTCCTCCTTAATTGTGTAGTATTTTGAAAAATGAACAAAACATGAAAATAAACTTTTCTAAAATATTGAGATACAGAAATATATCATTTTTATATTGCAATGCAATGCAGTATTACAGTGTATTACTAGATAACAGTTTACCAAAATACTGTGACATCCCTAACCTTTCATCCCGCTGAGAGCAATTCTACAACTTAGTTATACACTACTCAATATCTGGATTAATTATAAATGCAATTAAATATATGTAGTACAGAAGGCCCTCCATATAAATCTGTATGTACAACGCATACCCTTACAATAACTACTGACTTAGAAGCCCATGTCCTCTGGCCATGATTTTTCACACATTAACACTCTCTTTTACTGAATCTTTACATTTAGCTAATCGATTTCTTTCTTTTTATAGGTTCTTTTGTACCATGTCAAAACACAATCAGTTTTGGCCCCAAAATCTTAAGTATGCAATTTAAGGTATCAACAAATGCAGGGACAGGTAAAGATAAAGCTGGCTAGCACCAGACTTAATGACTACAGATAAATAGGTAAAAATACTATAAGAAAAGCAAACAAAATCACAAGCTTGACCACATCCTATTTTGGCTGATGACTTACTGCTTACTTTAGTCTTTCAGTATATGATCTGTACATGTACCTACATGCAGTACCTTAACCTCCAATACTTTATACACCCTCTATTCAAGGTTTTGTACATCCTCATTACCATGTTTGTGCTTACATGCTATTTCATTGGATGAATGTATACCTTTCACAAAACGTGGACTGTATGACGAAAAAATTGAGTTACATAATACATACACAAAGTGAATTTTACTAACATGTAATAGTACTGGGCAGTGGACTCACTTGATTTTAACTGGATGTAAATTGTATCAACTTATTTATAAAAGAAATTCATGACTTTCCCTTTTTCAAAAGATCATATGAAAAAATTAAAACTGGATACACTCCAGATAAACCACTATTGTATTAGCCCATACCTGTACATGCATATGCAGACAAGCTATATACAGCATACAATGCTTAATACAGTAACCATGGCAAAGAAAATTTACCTGACGGAAAATATATAAAATAAAAACCTCAAATGATCAATAATCTGTAATGTATTATGTTATGATTAAATAGTGTTTTGAGTATTGAAAGTATTACATGTAGTGTAATTACAAGCCAGGATTTCACAAAAATAGAAACCAGGGAACATTATCAGGAATATTGTCATGCCAAGGGAGGTAACCGGCCACAGTTTAAACGAATGTGAAGAAATTCCTTAACTGAAGTCTTTCCATTGGACAGCATTTTTGAAGTAAAGGAAATTTCCTTAACTTGTTTTTCTTTATATCAATCAATATTTTCCTATGGAGGTTTCCTTAAACCAAATAACGATTCATAAAACTGGGGCCTGTATTTTTGTGTGAAATATTACTCTGTTTTCGACAGAAAATATATAGAAAAATATTCCAGAAAAACACTAGTCTAGTTTGATCACTGACCACGGTCAAGCAATTCTAGATACAATATTATACACTTATACAAACCATATAATAACCAATTGCAACATTGCTATCATACATGCAACTTAGTAGCGCTAGTCTGCAAAGCCCAGGGTTCGACACCAACACTAGTGTTCTAATCCGACAAGTAGATTTCTTCAAGGACTTGTGAATCAACAAACTTAACTATTCCTATATGGCCTTGTGAACAAATATTTTATTGCAATATTATTTGATAGATAGGGTAGATTATAAAACAAAAACAATTCCTTTGGAAAAACTGCTTAAAATACAGGTATACTGCATGACATTGTCAATTTTTTTCTAAAACATCACCATGACCTCATGGCAGTAGTTATTTTGAGTCTCCTGCAGTTTATGTCTTTTTGTGTTTTATGCTGGAGATATTTCCTTGAGGAAATTTTGGACTAGTTACATTGATGTATAGGACTAGTAAATAATCTATTCAACTAGTCCTGTGGACTACCAAGTGAAAATAGTTAGGTGTCTAACCCTGATAGCAGGTCTGGTGTACAGGATGTGGGACTACCTAGGTACAGTTGTGAAGTACAAACGTAGTTTGTTATATTTCAATGGCAAGGAAGATAACTTAACTTTCCTGAAACATTCAAACTATGCCATGTTGTTAAAGGCTGAAAAACTGTTAAAACACCTCCTTATAGCCTAGTGAAGAACATTTTTGGTCATTTGTTTTATAAAGTTTTCATTTCTGCTGTCTTAAATAAAGAGAAAAATCCAAAATTTCATAGTCAACATAAATTATCACATAATTAATTCCATTTTTATACAAACATAACACTTAAATAAATAAAGTTAAATCTCCTTTATAAACATTAAATAATCTATCCATCAATGTTTGGCTTCATAAGCCACACCAAGTTTTCCATCATCTGTGTAACACTGTTTAACACAGGGAATAGCAATGGATTATATGGAATAGAATCGAACCACAACATGCAATATTATATGTATCTATTTCTGGTTCAAATTTTCAAAAATTGTGGGTTTTATGAATTTACAGTAAAAGTAAAACATTTGTGATAAAGTCACATTGTCCCTAAAACGTCAAATTTTTGCTGGATTTTAAGTCTTCATAAAAAAATGTCAAACACAGACAAAGTTTACAGAAATCAAGGTTTCACTTTGTATATTACATTTAAGTGAGAAATAAGGTTCAACCACTAATGATAGTAATAGTATTTCCCAACACAAGCTGACATTTTGCTGTGTCCCTCAGCTTTCTGTGTTGGTGGATGGCTGTGCTACCTGCTTCTGTTCTTGTTGTGTGTCTGGTAGTTTGGCAATAGGTTTCCCAAGACTTTCTTTTGCTGGGGAGGCACTACTCTCTGGAGAAGCCTTGCCATCCTCATCTACCAAAGATGGCCAGCTGGCAGGCTGTTCCGACTTGTTCATTCTCTCGTTCAGAGCCTTGAGTGCCACTTGTCTGTAACAATGTCATATTATATCAGCAATATAAATATTGAAAATAAACAAGCTCATTGCCATGATCTTCAATTGCTATTTATTAACAATTTCACCAATGACAGCATACTAAATACAGCTAATGAATGATTTACTTAATGCTTTGAAAACCAGTATGGACTAAATCTGACAAGGGGAGATAAGCTAGCATTCCCCCTCATTAATCTGATATTTTACAGACTTAAATTATTTTAATACTCAAGAAATGGTTCTCTTATACTGGAAGTAAACAATAAAAATTATAAAATCTTTTTTATTCAAAACAAAAAATAGGGTTGAATCATTTATGTTTAGTGACCTGAGCAATGTTCTTGTGCCATTTTGTGAGTGTGACTTACTATCTTCAGTCCATGTCTATGCTAGACTATGTTGGTGTGAATAACCATCTCTATTTAGTATTCTGTTCATGTCAGACATTGGATATAAATGACTAAAAATCTGTGTTATTTTTTAATTTACAAGGCTGTGTGTTTCTCACAGTCTCTGATCAGGTCCTGTCTGTTCAAAGCTCTTGTAATACTTGTACCATCTGCATCCCACTTCCTGATCTGTGCGAGGCTGTGGGTGTGCGAGGCTGTGGGTGTGCAAGGCTGTGGGTGTGCGAGGCTGTGTGTGTGCGAGGCTGTGGGTGTGCGAGTCCTGTCTGGTGCCAGACTGTGTGCTACATGCAACCCTTTTCCAGTGTCCTATCTAGATATGTGAAAGGATGTGTGCATGTTTGACTTACCATTAGTGTTTCGTGTCTGCATGCTTAACTTATTCACCCCTTGAATTTCATAATGAACTAATCCAACTTTTGAATTGGAAGGGTTCAAATGGGTCTTCACTCTTCAGGGGTTAATGAGTTAACAATACATAATGTATTTTGTTGTCCTGATCTGCATGTGTGACTTACCTCCTACGATCAGCATCCTGGTCAGTTCCAGGTAAGGTGATGGTGATGGTGGAGGGGGAGCTGACATCATACTTTCTCTGTGGCTTTTTACAAATCTTTACCTTCACAAGGGCCAGGAAAACAGTGTTTGAAAACATAGCAACAAAGGGTTGAAGCTGACCTGGGAAGAAGCTGAAACAGAAGAGGAGTAACTGTACATTTATGCATATAAGTTTATGATATTAATTTAACCTGAGAAAAATGTATATGTGTTGACTCAGGACACGGCCCATATCAGTGTTATATCTACATTTTCACAAAGTAAGTAATTTCTAAGATCAAATTTCCGGAAAGCAGTGAGTCGTTCTTTGTAACACTCATAAACTAACAAGGCTAACAGTTCCCTATTTGACTGGTTCAAAAACTGACCAATCTCAAGGCTGATATGCAGTGGTGTCTGTACTTTCAACGTTATAAAAGAGCTACTCCAAGATCAATGCCAATCAATTTTACAGTTTTGAAATGACATGATTCACTTTTATCTGAATTCAAATTATTAATCTGAGATCTCAGGAATACATTTTCTTTTAAAGTTTCCATGCTAATTCCACGATGGTACACACACTTCAACAACTTTTATTGGATGGTTGTCAACTATTCTGATATGGAAAACTTGTCCTTATGGAGCAAATGGTGGAATACATACACTATGAATTGTTGAAGTATGATAAATGTTTACACCTGTCTGTTAATTTACCTTGGAAAACCAAAATTATCTGCCATGTCTCCTCTATTTCCATTCGTATGTTTCTGATAGAATCTCAAGTAGATCCAGCTGATAAGGATGCCATACCCAAACATGAAGGGATATGGTCCATCAAGCAACCCAGCCAGGCGCAGTGTAACCACCACAAACAACAGTAGTAAGGGGATGTGCGTGTTTCGGAGTTTTCCAAAAGGAGATGTAACGAGCACATGGTCTGGCATGACTTGTTTCACAGCCACTGCGAACCCTGCAATGTACCCAGCGAGTCCGTGGATGTACGTTTCAAACAAAAACTCTTCATTTTTTGACACAAGGTAAAATGCTAAGTATGAAAACGCTGTGACAACCGCTACTCCTGTATTTACGATCAAGAAGAACAAAAGCATGTCTAGAGCACCCCATAACGGTTCTAACAGTTTGCCACATAGAATAACCACAGCAATATCTACGAGAACATCCCAGAAATGGACTTCAATAAAGGCGTGTGTCAAGAATGTCCAAAACCAGAAGTTCGGTGGAATAACGTAACCCGGTGTTACTGCTACATAAGGTATGACTGACTGAGCAAAAGTTAAAAAGTATCCACATGTTACTGCGACTCCTACGGCTTTAACAACGACACTGCTGTTTCCCACAGCAATCGAAAGATGCTGTCGCAAAAGCGACAAGTTAGTCTGCGCCATGGACGTCGCCATCTTGACGGAAGTCATATGACGTCACACCTTGACAGCACACACATCAACAAATCCACGTGGCCCCTTGATACACAGGGTTTTGGTGATATTGGTTGAAAAAAACTGAGAGGCGACAGGTTAAAAGGCATATTTATCAGTTATGTTAAGAAACGCTGGGAAGAGCATTTTGGAGTAAGTAAGACCACGGACTTAGATAACTTAATCTAATTCCGTGGACAAAATATGCCTCCGAACGGATAATTTTATACTTATTTTTCCAAATAATGAGACATAACCCTGTGCATATACTGTTATTGTGATGATCCTACATTCAGACTGCTGGCGGAAGACCTTAAAAAATAAACATAAACATAGAGGCGATACATGAATAACTAGGATGAGAAAATAATTATGATGGAAGAAATAAACCAGGGATGTGTAGTGGACCACTACACATCCCTGAATAAACGTACTGCAAATGCTGTTTCGCGCGAGTTAATAATTTCCAACATTTGTTAACCCCTAGTTATATATTCCACCATAATGATTAAAATATTGCAGTTTTCTCTTTCTTTTTGTTATTATTGAAATGTAACGATATTTTTTTCTGCTTTATGCTATAATATATTTATTGTAATAGAGCAGAGTCTATAGGTTTATATATTACAGTGTAATATACGTATCTAGGCAGAGAATATATTTTTTCAGTTCCTCTGCAAAGATTTACTTGTCTTTACTATACCACATAATTAAAAAAGACTGTAAGAGTCTGTGATCTGTCGCTCTCCCCTGTAACCCAAAGAAGAACCCGCAGGAATTAAGCGGCTAATGTTGTAACCATATGGAGACTCAGACCATTTAAATTTTTCTCCAAGAGTTTTTTTCCCAATTGTAACAGATGTTGCATGCTTTTAAGACGTCATAATTATGATGATTCCAGCGCGGGTCGAACTTACCTTACAGGCTTGTCCAATGGCGGAGGTCGTTCGGCCATCTAATCTTCCGACAGAAAAAAGTTGAATAATTCTTCAAATACGGACGTGCATGTTTGCCATTTTGTTATAATTTTCTGTAAGGCATGGAATTTCTCTTCCAATATATACACATGAATTTCACTGACAAATGCCATTAAATTTGTTAAATATACTTCCAACCGGTATACGTGATGTACATTAATGTCTATGATTTGATTGTTGCTTAATTTGTAATTGAAGAAACGTTCTTTATTTTTCCAGTTATTATCTAGCTTATTTCTAGAAGAATCAACATTAAGTGCTGATACGACACCACGGTTCTGGTACCTTTCATTCTGGTCTGATTGAATTTTTCCCCCCAAGCATATTTATTTATCGCTTGGGGAATATGTTTTTGGTATGGACTTTAATAAAAAAAAAAATGGGCCGAAGTTGCCCCGGTCTCCCGGCCCTATCGTGGACTTATAGATACATCAGGGGCGTTTAACGTCAGTAATTAACGCATACGTCTTGGATAGTCATTATCATACCATATGAATTAACGTATACATAATCTAACATTCCGTGGCTGTACCGAGAGAGATACTATGACAATCCGATGGCGTCTGTTATCTCTTCAATATAACCAGAGATGTACAGATATACGTATATATACTACTTTATGTGTCTCTGATATAACCAAAATAAAGAAAGATTATTACAACCGAACCCGCTCTCCCCTACCGACCGTGTAACCACGATCAGCGGCCAATAAAGCAAATATACAATTTAATTGTCATATTAAAATGTATCATGAAATGAAAATTAAATGCACGAAAAAAAAAATATGTCATTTTCTTTTTTTCCGCTTGGAAGTGTCCCGTTTTGTATACAACTCTTTTAAGTCTTGTAACCAAAGTTGTGCACTTTCTGTCGTTCATCTTTTGGTAAGCGGTGCGGGTGAAGAGGCAACCTTGCAAATGTGTGATGGAGCGTAGCGTAGTGTGAGTCAACCGAGGTTTACCGATTAGAAAAATAGACGATCTAATCGAACGCGACTCGGCATTTGTTACTTCCGGCTTTATCACATGACCAAAAACAAATCATGTGACACGTGAAATTTGTTTATGATGGCTATCACATGTGACCTGCTTCGTGCTACTTACAGTACTGTTTTTTTTATGTGAACCGATGATCCGGCGGTGCGGCTGTCATCTCTTGCACTCTTAACTTACAGTGTGATGTAAGTATGTAGGTACTAACAGAAGATTTGAAACAAGGACGTAAACAACTATAGGTGAATTAGAACGACGATGTAACGTTCGTTAGTGCTATAAAAAAGGTAAAGATGTTTTAATATACAGATATAGGATCTATGAACTGATAATTATGGATTTGTAACTCTACTCTTCCTAGCATAACGTTAAAATGATTGACACAGTCTGCTTCTTTACTGGTGCAAGAGTGTTGTGGGTTTCAACTTTGTATTATATTCAGCTACATCGGATCTAATGAGACTAAATTAAGTTATTTTGACAAGATAATTTTGTGAAAGGACCTGTATTTTGAATTTGTATTTAGATTTGCTAAATTATAATGCCATTGTCATGGGCCTTCCTAACAGCATGACTCAGAATGATATCTCATAGGTAGGACATCAATGGAAAGCCTATGGCTTGTGATGATGTTATTTATCTGCATTTCATTAATTGATTGGTTAATGATGGAGTGCGCGAAGAATGGCATACATTGTATGACATTAAATATATCTAGACGTCTAGTGTAGTCTAATTTTCACAATAGTATTAATTATTATTTACACATCGTAGATTAAGGACGGATACAATTTGTGTGCATGATCTTTCCAGTGCACGTTTACCTATTTTTAAAACTATTCAAACTAATGACATTAACCACTTCAGCTGATAAATAGTTCCAGTTTGTCACTACACGATTGCTGAAAATGTTCTTGGTGGTGTTTAGGCGGCATTGTTTCTTAAAGAGCTTTAACTGGTGACCTCTAGTTGCCGGATAGGTGGATTCTGTAAATAATTTAGACTTGTCTGCATCGTCCACACCACTCAGAATTTTGTACACTTGAATCATATCAGACTGTAGTCTTCTATATTCAAGTGTGGGCAGTCCTAGTCGTTTTAGTCAATCTGGGTAAGGTAAGTCTTGCAGTGTAATTAGTCTTTTAGTTGCCCATCGCTGTATGCTTTCCAGTGAATGTATGTCTTTCTTTAGGAGGGGTGACCATATTGTGGAGCAGTACTCAATATGAGGTCTGACAAGTGATTTATATAGTAATAGGAATGTTGATTGATTTAGAAATGTAAATGTTCTAAAAATAATTCCTAACATCCTGTTTCCTTTGAAGACGGCTGCAGACACATGTTCGCTAAATTTGAGCTGTTTGTCGAATGTCACTGATAATGACTGATGCTCTTTAATTGTAGTAAATTCAAAATGTTTTCAAAATTATTTCTTTAATTTGCAAAAAGAGGTTTGTATGAATTTGGAATCTCAAGGAGAAATGATTTTCAAGGTCCCATAGATAGAGGTTGATGCACTACATGCAGACATTGGTTCATGCATTCATGAACCACCTCAGTGGGTCTGTCCCTGAGACACATTTGTTTGGTTTAAGAATATAATTTATTACGATCTGACATCATTGTGTCGTATAAAAAATAAATCTACTAAGTATACTACATAACCAAAACATTATCAACAGGAATGATAAATGACACAGGACCAGAAAATTTGCTGTCAATAAAATATATTTGCCTAAGCACCTGCTATTAGCCTATTAAGCCCATAGGGTTCCAGTGATTTTAGTACCCTGAAATAAATTGATTTAGAATTTTGTACACAAATGTATATATACAATACTTCTTAAATTTTATTATAAACTTAAACCTTTGTTGTGATATTAATAAGTAACCAAATAACCAACATAAGAGCCACCAAAATAACTATTAAAACATCATAGTAGAAAGCCATGTGACTAAAAAAATATAATGAGGCAAATACAATATCACTTAGTGATTTAAACTATGAAAGCCATCTTATGATGTGTATATACAATTGTTTATCTTATAAGGAAAGGGCGTTAATAATGTTCATGTAACTTGTGCCCAATCCTCTTGCATTTTTTGGCAATAAAATATGTTTAAACAAATAAACAATATCACTGCTGGCATGATCTTATGTGAAGCCTGTGTCGTAACAGCCTCTCCAAATCATCAATTATACCCGTTAGGGATACTTTGGGGACTTACATATCAAGGGTTTGATTTTTAATTAGTCACGCTCTTGGAAAATCCTGGACTTTGAGAGCATGCAGTAGGCCATTTTCAGCAATTTTTAGTCAATATCAAAATTAAGAGGGGTCATTCTATGTAAAATTTAAAGAAAATTGGAACATGGAGGGGCCAATTTCAGTTTTGAGGGATCAATGGCCCCCTCAAGGATTATGCTGCATTTTAGCATTAAAAAGGTTGTTTGTGGGAGTTTATTTTTCATACCGAACAGCGATGAAGTATCAACATAGCAACGAGGTGATTATATATTTAATTTGTTCTGTTTCACTCAATCTCTGGATATATTCAATTTTTTTGTAAAAACTACATGCATTATCAAAAAAAAAATTTTTTTTAATGAAAGTCAATCATTTAATATTTACTACTGACAATGCTATCATGATAAGATATTTTAGGTTAAAGCTATTATCAGTATACTGATATGACCAGGAAATCCATGACCATTGTTAAAAAAGGGTTATGCATACATGAGCTAGCATGATAAGAAAAGTATATTCATGATCAGATTCAGTACATGATGAAATACATCTGTCGTTGAATAATTGTAACTTTGTAAAAGAAATATTCAAATATTATTCCTCAGTTTTAGACAACTTATAATTCAGTCCATTGTCCATAAATACATTTTGTTGAACAACATTAAAATAACAATTACCATATGCATCAAAGATGGACACTGTTTGGTAATATTTCCCTTTTTCATCAGAATATTAAGCATTATGCCTATTATTGATGGTATTTCTAAGTATTTAGATTCCATTATACTCCAGAGAAAGAAAGAAAAATATAATATTCATTAAGTCATTAACAAACTCAGTTCCGCTATGGTATAGACTTCTAATTAGATTGAGGACAATCAGTTGGACTCGATGTTTGAGCGGAGAGTATCAATTAATCCATGTATGGTATAAAACAGTAACATTCAAGTTAAATTTGCTTGTAGTATTTCTCTCAGTTTTTATCAAGATACATTTATTTTTAATGAAGGCAGGATAAGGTTAATCTAATGGGTAGATGAATGGACAGACACTCATGGCACTGATACCCTGATGTACATGACATGGTATCGTGTGTTGAGTTTCTTTGGTTTGTTATTAGCCAGAGTTTTCTCTGACCTCGACACCTGGCAGGCTCAGACATTTTGACAGATAGATTCTGGTGTGGCTCAAAATGTCTAAGTCTGGTGTCAGAGCCAGAGGAAACTCGGTCTAGGTTTGTTTTGTGCATGTGCTTGTGTGCTGGAGGCATATAAAAAAGGGTCTGTTTTCTGGTGGGAATGTGCTTCAAACGGCCGGGCATCATTTTTCCAAAGTGTCACATCACTTGAATGTATCAGCACAGACACTGTAGCACCCACCTCAGACGTTTTATACTCTATCTGCGATATGGAAGATTCATGGAGAAGAGGGAAAATCTCTCTTTGAAAGTCCATCACACAAGGACTGCAGGGATTGAAAGTTGAACGTTTGCATGGAAGGACTCGATTGTTAAGCCACTCGGCCAAATCCGGTCCAAGTGAACTGAGCCAGTGAAGTTTCCAATAACTCCCACAAATCCGGTCCAAGTGAACTGAGCCAGTGAAGTTTCCAATAACTCCCATAAATCCAGTCCAAGTGAACTGAGCCAGTGAAGTTTCCAATAACTCCCACAACTCCGGTCCAAGTGAACTGAGCCAGTGAAGTTTCCAATAACTCCCACAACTCCGGTCCAAGTGAACTGAGCCAGTGAAGTTTCCAATAACTCCCACACCAGTACTGTTACCAGCAGCTACTCCTGAAATTCAGTCTAAAGAAGAAGGATGAAGCATCTTGCATCAGAACTATAACTGCTTGTGGCAAATTTTAAATTGTACCTAGGATTAAGGTCGCCTTCTAGCTTCAAGCTAGAGGGAATTTCCCTTTTCCGACTAGGAATCTGGAGATCACAGGTTCGTTCTCTGGTGGAAGCACACTATTCTCTTTCCTGTTACACTGCTTAGATTGTTATTTTACATCTTTTAACACGTTCAAAATTACCATTGATTTATCAGAAATCAAAGAGAATTGGGAGTAAAAAGAAGCATCTTTTCAAATGTGTCCATCCGGTCATCTGCCCTTTACCTTATCCTGCTTTTGTTAATAAATATATCTTGAAATAAATACTCCATACAAATATGAATGTAAGATATAAAAATAATGTTCGCTGATCATGAATATTCTGTACAAGTAACTACACAAGCCATAAATTACTATTCTGTTGAAAGGTTTTCTATGTTAATCATCCTCTGTGGAGCATATATAAATTTCCAATCTGATAACAAAAAAAATCCATTCACCATACTAGTCTAAACATGAGTTCTCTCCAAAATAGAAAGGTAATCATTATGAAGGTTTTTGTATCGTTGGACGTATCATGATCATATCAGAAAAATGTTAATGCTTGGTTGGTTTACACTGTAATGGCGTGGATTTTGAGGACACATGGTTTACTTGGGTTATTCTACTCATTTATATCTTTATTGATATCACACAAATGTGTGACAGTCACATTTTTGGAGAAAAAAAACGTTTTTTATCTAACCCATATGTAAATATTTTGGTTCATGTCACGGGAACATATATCACGTTTTGTGGTAAATCAGGTGATGGTAGGAACAATGATTGTCAAAAATGTTAGTCAGTGCAGACTCTAATTATAGAAACAGAATCAAATTTTTGAATGGTCATACTTTTGCATGATCATGAGGTTGGAATTAGCATTGATTTTATTACCTACAAAAGATTTGGATCCAGAATATTTCTGTACTGGCGAAAACAATGGTGTGTTTAGCATACTACACTTCAAATACTACTGTTCTTGGGTGTCATGGATAATGTTATGTAATTCTTTAACGATTTATCTTTTTTTCATTTCAGAATCTGGGAATTATTAAACCAAGCTGACATACCGACGACTAGTCCTTAGATTTCTTGGATGAAATAATGAACTATTTAGTTAAAACTAATTTAGCAGTGCGATACATGTTTTTACAAAGGAAGTGAGACCTTATGTTGACAAGTCAATGTTGAACCAAAGTACAACATAAATGTAAAAGTAGCAACAGTCATGACTGAGATTCTGTTCAAGATAATTATCATAGGCGACCCAACGGTGGGGAAGACCTCGTTTGTACAGCGGTACGTCAACGATTCCTACCGTCGGGACTACAAGATGACCATTGGAGGTAAGCACTAAGTACCATTATATAGAAGCCCTCAACTCATTCAGCCCTGAAATTTCATAATGAACTATTCCAACAGTTGAATTGGAAGAGTTAAAATGTGTCTTCAGGGATGAATGAGTTAATGGCTGTTTCAACGCAACAAGGGGCCGGGTTTTATTGTTAAACTCTGTTCACAAGGACTGAAATTTAACTGCTTATGCTATGTTGCAGCATTCGTCACTCGACGTCAACTATTTTTCTTTAAATAAGTTCTTTTAAATAACCAAACGCCATATGGTGATGTTGTTTTGCCAGTATATTGCAATTAAGAGTTATCAATATGAATGAAAAGAATTACCTGGGCCTCTATTACAGGCTTAGGGGTCAAATATTCTTTAATTTTTAAACAACTTCTTCTGAAAAACCAAGGGGCAAAAGGTTATCATATTATTACCTTAGTAATAGGCAATAGCTATGATGGATGACTATCATGTTTGTTCTAATGAATAACCTTGAGCCATTTTCAAAGTTGCATGATTCAAATGTGCTAAAAGTGAAACATTTTAATGATTGTCTGAATGAGAAGCAGGTGTTGTGAAGTAATTACAGTATCTGTCTGTCATTCTGCTTGCCTGTCTGTCCATCCACACTTTCGTTTACTGTAACTATATATTGTAATCTAAAAAACTAGTTTTGGAATTTGTTTTTGAAATCTGATGTGGTGATAAGCTGTGATATGTAGGAGTTAAAACAGTTTCTAAGGTCAAGGTTACTGTTACCGCAAATAGAATGTGGGGGTATAGTTAGGCATATGGTGGGCCTGTATTATAATGCTGACCTGTGGCTGTCTAATTGGCAGTAGTACAGTAGAATGAAGTTCTATTGTCAGTTTGCTCAATCAATAACATTTACTCACTTTCAACATGGTAGAGGTTAAATGACTCCTGATTTTGGACCCTTAAATTGAGCATTCCCTTTTCAACCAGTGAATTTTCTAAACAGCAGGCCCCCGGGCAGTCCTATTTTTTAGGATCTCATGATTTTAACTGAAGGAACAGCTCAAACAATGCAATTTAAAAGTGTTATTTTTCCCTAGAGTGTACATACACGCATTTTATTTATGCATTAAATTCTGAACACAAGTACATATATATACGTAACCTCCCCCATGGAAATCTAAAAAAGAATTGGCAGGTATGAAATATGTGAAAACATTATAAACCTGTAGTGTTAGCTTGCTTTATATTCACTTATGAAAATAAATTTGTCCTTGACCTACTTTGAAGGTCACAGATAGGAGTTGTGCTTGCCAACAGCATTAAATAACAAGTGAGCAATCTGGCCAGTTAAGCCCGAGTCTAATACTTATTTTTCAACCCAAGTTTAGTTGAGTTATATCAACTGCACACAACAGCTTTTCCTAGGAGTGCTTTATAGAAAAGACAAACTAGTTTGATTCTGTAAGAGATACATGTATAAAACAATGTGCTTGTATTTCCAGTTGACTTTGCCCTGAAGGTCGTGAAGTGGTCAGATACACAAACGATCAAGCTACAGATATGGGATATAGCAGGTATATACATATATAGTTTATTGGACTATGTTTTAATGATTTTATTGAGTATATGATTTAAAACACTGTGTTTTAAGTTTTTGTAGAATTTGAGATAATGCAGGATCACCTTATGTTTTAAGTAATCTGTTACCTGTTGTAGTATTGAATTCTGATTAGCTGCAGGTAAAACAAGGAGCTCTATAATTATTACTGTAAAAGAAATTGGGTGTTAACCAGTTAGCAGAACGGTGAAGAATAAAGATATACAGACATACAAATACATTGTTGGAAGTTGTGATACATGCAGTTTATAATGGATTGAATCTAGTTATTCCTTCAAAATGATTGAAATTTGCAGGGCAGGAGAGATTTACTTCAATGACCAGAGTGTATTACAAAGATGCCCATGCCTGTATTATAATGTTTGACCTCACACAAAAGTCAACATTTCAAAATGCTGTCAAATGGAAAAAAGACCTTGATGCCAAATGTTCACTGCCTGATGGTTCCACTGTGCCATGCTTACTTCTGGCTAACAAGGTAAATAATATGTAATTCCAGCATAGGCAGAGATCAGATTGATACCCTTATTCTGAAGAATCTTTTTCAAAATCAAAGGAATTTTGCAAAATACATATGTTTACCTAAAATATTATTGTCAAAATGTGTAATTTTTCCAATATTAAAAATGAAAATAAAGATATGATCAAGTGGAAACAGAAATTATACCATGTAATGATATATGCACTGTGTTACACAATGATATTCAATTATAGCCTTTGACTGAGGTCGATACCTTGATTTATCGACCCGAGAAAAGATATATTGACAGAGGACGCAGTCCGAGGTCAATATATCTTTTCTCGGGTCGATAAATCCAGGTATTGACCAAAGTCAAAGGCTACAATTGTTTTATTGTTTTCAAAACAGTTATGTTAGCAATCTGAAAAAAAACACAGCAAAAAGCAACGTAAGCGGGACGATAGGTTCGTTTGGAGACACGTCATTATTCTATTTTTAGAAACACACAGTCCTTCAACAAAAATCATGCGCTCAATATAAGTCAATATCGGTTTTTATCGGTGGACACGTGATTCACTTCTGGCCAATCACTTGTCGGGAATAATATGAAAAAATAATAAGTTTAATTATACCATGCTTTAAAATGTGTTACTGCATAATAGGATATGTTTTATAATACCATGTAGTAAATATATTTAATTATACCATAAAATAAAATGTTTAATGAACATTATGTAATAGAATATGTTTGACCTTGTGTAACCTTGTTTGACCTTTCAGTGTGACCTGAGCCACAGAGAGGTCGAGCAGAATGAGATTGAGGACATGTGTAAGGAACATGATTTTGTGGGATGGACAGAAACTTCGGTCAAGGAGGGCCTTATGATAGAGGAATCCATGAGGTAAACACCAACACAGACTCACACAGCAATTAATACGTTACTTGGAAACTGTGTATTCCAACCACATCAACATTCACACTAAAAAGAGTCCCATGGGTAATTGCCCATACTAGGACATCTGTAGTAACAGTTTATGTGACTGTTGATTGTACATGTGTAGATCAAATTATTATGCATGAAATAATTTCTGCCCGATTTTATTGAATTTATTTATCATTTATTTCAAAATTACTTAATTATCGTTAAAGTCTTTTGTTTCTAGCTGGGCGAATATAGAAAATAAAAACATTCCTATCAGTGATTTAATGATGAACATTGCAGGTTTCTGATGGAGGAGATGATGGCCAAACATTCTGAGTTGGACGGATTCTCAGAGTCGATGAAACAGTCTGTCAGTCCAGGTACAGTCCATCTCAAGTCTCAGACTGTACATATGAATGAAGAGTCTCGCTGCGGCTGCTGACCCTGGCTCAATTAGGGGTCACTAAGGTCATTGATGGTGGAGCCTTGTCTATGAACAATACCAATATATAAGTGCTGCAACAATATGACAAGGGGATATGTGAAGAATGCTGAATTGTAGCAGCTGTGTAGAGAGTGTAGGTGATCGTAACCCCTGGAAATCGAGGATGAGTGTTGTGTTGTAAGGTCAAAATCCTCGAACTATACCACCGTTAAGCTGTAAGGGATTTAAGCACCCAAATGGTATCACTGCTCAAGTCAATTGTTGCTACAATGAAAATGAAATGGAGACTGTATTTATCATTCTATAAAATCAGACCTTCTCGGAATTATTCTGTATCACTGGGTTTTGAGATTAAGTGTTACAATTTGCTTGTCACATTCCATTGCACAACGTTACTAGAGTATTGGTGAGAAAAGGTAAGAACACTAAGCGTTGTTTTAACACATGTACAAAGACATGGTGACTCTGCTCTCAAATCTCATAATCAAGGACGCCTCTAAGAGACTTTGGTTCAAATTCTAATTTGGAGTTTTATGCACAGAAGCAAGCTTGTATAGGTGCATGTGTATGGTAGTGACCAATATTAAATATTAAGGAGGGGAAAATGTAACAAGTCTGAACTGTGCTGATCACTGGTAACCGCTAAACTGACATGTGTATGTGTCCATAGTGTGGCCTTCTGGAGTCCAGAGTCTGTTTTTTTTACCAAAACCTGTTACAGTTTGGGTATTACACCTTCAAGATACTTCGACGGTTGATTATGTTATATGAAAATACAAGAAGAATGACTTATATGATAACATCAGTGTGTGAAAGGGTGTGCATGCGAGGCCATTACCTCCATTCTGAAACAATTCAGTAATTCAGTCATTGTTATTACTTTTCAGCGCTGGTTTTATTCATCAAGCACTATGTTTTAATTTTAGGGAAGATAAACTTACCCTGGTAAAGTGATTTTGAGTAGCCTGTCTTACCTGAAATCTGAATCACCTAGAAGCTTGTAAACTAGCCACACTGTGTATATTACTATGTAATTATAAATTGATCAATGCCTATTTAACTGTTCTGTCGACTCTGACCAAAACACCTGTCATGTCTTTAAAGAGTTTGCTTAAGATAGTTTTCATTGTAAATAGAAACTTTAACAGCTCACTAAGAAATGTGATACATTGTACTCAAAATAGGATTTTTTACATGCATGTTGTTAGGTTGAGTATAGAGCCAGTATTTATATTTTACAATGTTTCCCACCGATCTTGCAATTAATTAATCATCGATGAAAGGGATCTAACAACCAGCCTATGGCTTATGCAATTCATCAACATCAGAATTCAACAGAATTGTCAGGAAAAAAAGCCCTCCACCGCTGGGTTACAGGTTCAAGACCTATGTGGGGCAGTCGTCAGGCACTGGCCATTGGTCGGTGGTTTTTCCCAGGAACTCTGGCTTTCTCCCACCACCAAAACCTGGCACATCCTTAATTGATCAAGGCTGTTAATAAGGATGTAAAACACAAACAAATAAAGTTCAGAACTTCCGGGGTCTGGTGCACAAAGGACATGTGACTTGCTCTTCACCAAGATGGCCTCTGTTTATTAAGGTCTCCTTTGTGACCATTTGGGTTTTCTTTTGGTACTCCAGTTACTTACCTCATTAAAACACTCTGTGCCTTTAATTCTGGGTCAACAATTGTAATCAATAGCAGTTGAAAAAACCTACTTATGTCACATTTGTTGTAAAATTAATTTATTAATTTATACTTCCTTTTATTCAGTACATATAGAAAATGTCTCCAACCAGAAATCCAAAGAAAGAATGATTGTAATTTTGGAAGTTATGCTGAAATTTAAAAAAAAACGAGTATATTTTTTAATTTTCAGATTGCTTTGTTGAAACTTAACTGAGGGTAACTATTGTAATGCACTGTATACATGTTATGCTCTGTTTAGATGTGTTTCTGTTTTGTTGATTATACTTGTATGCTATGTAGGTATGGTATACATCATTGTTTTTTGTAATATTTATGTAATATTTAATGAACCTGTGAATGTAGTAGGTTTCTCTTTTATTAGTTGACATATCTAATCAATTAAAACACCCATACGTATACTTAACAGACCTAGCATACTTTCCTCCCAAAAACCAACATTGAGTAAAACCAAAGATTTAAACAGTATACATGTATATGTAATAGCTTATTCCAGTTGCATTGTTTGTCCTATATTTAACTCAAGGAACTGATAGATTTAGTTATTATTTACCTTCTTTGTATTCTCATTTTGTAATCTTTCCATAGTACTTCCTGTAGGATAGAATCCTCCCACCATAGGACTTCCTGTAGGATAGAATCCACCCACCATAGGACTTCCTGTAGGATAGTATCCTCCTGCCATAGGACTTCCTGTAGGATATAATTCTCCCACCAAAGGACTTCCTGTAGGATAGAATCCTCCCATCATAGGACTTCCTGTAGGATAGTGTCCTCCTGCCATAGGACTTCCTGTAGGATAAAATCCTCCAACCATAGGACTTCCTGTAGGAGAAAATCCTCCTGCCATAGGACTTCCTGTAGGATAGTGTCCTCCTGCCATAGTACTTCCTGTAGGATATTGTCTTCCTGCCATAGGACTTCCTGTAGGATAGAATCTTCCTGCCATAGTACTTCATGTAGGATAAAATCCTCCCACCATAGGACTTCCTGTAGGATAGAATCCTCCCACCATAGGACTTCCTGTAGGATAGAATCCTCCCACCATAGGACTTCCTGTAGGATAGAATCCTCCTGCCATAGGACTTCCTGAAGGATATTATTCTCCTGCCATAGGACTTCCTGTAGGATAGTATCCTCCCACCATAGGACTTTCTGTAGGATAGAATCCTCCCACCATAGGACTTTCTGTAGGATAGTATCCCCCTGCCATAGGACTTCCTGTAGGATAGTATCCTCCTGCCATAGGACTACCTGTAGGATAGTGTCCTCCTGCCATAGGACTTCCTGTAGGATTGTGTCCCCCTGCCATAGGACTTCCTGTAAGATAGTGTCCTCCTGCCATAGGACTTCCTGTAGGATTGTGTCCTCCTGCCATAGGACTTCCTGTAAGATAGGGTCCTCCTGCCATAGGACTTCCTGTAGGATAAAATCCTCCCACCATAGGACTTCCTGTAGGATAAAATCCTCCAACCATAGGACTTCCTGTAGGAGAAAATCCTCCTGCCATAGGACTTCCTGTAGGATAAAATCCTCCCACCATAGGACTTTCTGTAGGATAGTATCCCCCTGCCATAGGACTTCCTGTAGGATAGAACCCCCCTGCCATAGGACTTCCTGTAGGATAGTGCCCTCCTGCCATAGTACTTCCTGTAGGATAGTGTCCTCCTGCCCTTGGACTTCCTGTAGGATAGAATCCTCCTGCCCTAGTACTTCCTGTAGGATAGTGTCCTCCTGCCATGGGACTTCCTGTAGGATAGTATCCTCCTGCCATAGGACTTCCTGTAGGATAGTGTCCTCCTGCCATAGGACTTCCTGTAGGATTGTGTCCTCCTGCCATAGGACTTCCTGTAAGATAGTGTCCTCCTGCCATAGGACTTCCTGTAGGATAGTGTCCTCCTGCCATAGGACTTCATGTAGGATAGTATCCTCCACATTTAGCTTCCTATTACCTGTAAGATCATTAGATGGAATTTTCCCACCTTATACTTCCTGTAAAAAAGAATCCTCAAAACCTTAGACTTTCTGCAAGATAGAATTTTCCACCTTAGATTTCCTTCAAGAATTAATTTTCCTGACTTTCTGAAGCTAGAATCCTTAGCCAAATACCTGATTTTTCTCTAAGATGGATCACTGCAGACATAAATATTAAAGTTTAATCTTGTCACTGTGATCCCGATGTCAGTGAAAAGTTAGAACCTCTTCAGGTTTATGTTGATCCAGAAGTTTAGTTTTTGTCATAATCTAGAAAACAGTGTAATGTGCGGGCGCTCACTCGTCTAGCTACTGACCACGCTCGACGTTGCTGAACTAGTGAGCCAGTCCCCGGGTTATACCACATTGTTTTAAAAGCTGTAGCTTGACAGTAAGGCAGTATTCTCCCCTCAACTTTCTTAGCCGTTACAACAGTTATACAAATCATGGTATTCATCACTATGAAAGTCTTATTTCAGTCATGTTGCACTGTTTACTTGATAAGAATGATATTCCCACCTCCCCCTCTCCCTCCCCCTCGAACATTTGGATGTGAGTTTGTCTTCTATTCGTATCACCGGTCATAAAATTCAACATCAATCATATTTTATATCACAGAGTAGATTAAGATATAAAACACAGTTATAGTAAAATATATTTATGCTCTGGTCTATCTGGTGTATCATATCAGGTATTTATCAAATATTTGCCAGATTAAATGGTGGCCATTCACACCAGCCAAACCCTTTTTATTAAGGCCTACCTACTTAAGCAAGTCAATCATAACTCGCATACTAGCATATATATACTTGTTTAGTTGTCATATCTTGATGTTTAGATTACCCTCATTTTTGACTCTGATATCAGAAACATCTCCTACATATTACTTTTTGCTCAAATTCCATTAATTACAGAGTAGATTTCAGCTATGACATTTTACACTATTATGTCACAAAGAGGTAATTTTAAGTGCTACTTAGATTAAAATCTTGTTGTATTTTGCGACATATTTTCGAATTGTTAACACGTATATAGATTTAATATTTGCATTATAATGTACTTATAACGACCAAGCTAAAGGAAATAATAAGTCCTTAATGAATGCTCTCAATGTCTTAAATCATTGGTCTAACTTGAAGTTGACCTTTATATTGGAAAACATGTTGTTACTGTTAGCTTTGACCGGTTTTGAGACCGTATCATGTGAAGCATTCTTTTGACAACAACTGATGATTAATCGATTAATGATGTATTATACATGTTTATTACATGACTTCCTGATTCTGCAATCTTATCAACTGAAACCTGCTGTGTGACCTGAGCAGGACACAGGGAAGTTGATAAAACGTTACATCAGCATGAGTAACCACTAATGGGTATGTATATAAAAATAGCTCAAACAGGGATTTTCTAGGGAGTCCATTTATCAAAAAAATAAATATTTTTTAATTGGTTTTTATTTTGCAATGTTTTATTTTTCCCCAAGAGCTTTCTTCAAACAATATAAGTTAACTTATAACACTGTCATCAGCTTAAGCTGGGAGGAGAATTAACTTGATTTCTTCACCTCATAAAAATTCTATTCGGCCAATGGATTGAGCTCAGATTCTTCGTATTTGATTTTGTATGTTTAGTGTCATATAAGCAATTAATAACAACTTTTGAGGTTAATAGAATAATTCATAAATTGCGTAATATATTCTGAGGTTGGAAGTCGAGGGAAGCATGATATTTCAAAGGTTGATAAATAATTGTATTGACCTCATTCCTGTAACAGAGACTGATTTTTCACATATACTTGATATATATGTAAACGTGTACATGTATATCATTTTGACTTTCGGAGAGGAATACAGGCATCTCATTAACAACCCAATATGGAAAACCTGCATTGGAATCACATTTTTTTTTTAGTTCACCAGAATTGTGTGATGCAGTCAACACTGCACCCCCCCNACTATTCCTATTTTGTGCAGAGACTCCAAAATTGTTCACACTAATTTTGAATTTTTAAATAAGAAGAACTCCTCACATTTTTTAGTGCAAACTGATATTTTACAGTGCTATTGTCCAATAGAGGTCATTGTAAGTGTAAACTCTTTGGACTTTTTGCCTCATGGTTTACCTGTGAAAAATTTGAAAGCACTGAAGCATGGTGCTGTGGAGAAGCACTGACAAACATTGTAATGGTTGCTACCGTTACCATGGTGATTTATTACATGCATGTCTTAAGAAAATATCAAGACGCTGATTAAATGTTGACAAATCTGTATAGATAATTCATAAAATTTCTTATCTAGATTTGGGCTTATTGATAAATATCAATTTGAAAAATAGCCTGATTATTTCCCCCATAGCTGTTTTTCAAATGCATGTACATGTATTACATGATTAACTCATTCACCCCTGAAATTTCATAATGAACTATTCCAACCTTTGAATTGGAAGAGTTCAAATGTGTCTTCAGGGGTAAATGAGTTAAAGCCATCTGATAAATTTCCTCAGGCTCAACTTGTCAGTTGTCAGCTCATAACCTGACTGAAATAGACAACTGTTTCTCATATTTAGTAATTTTCTGTGAATGGTTCTATACATTTATAACTATTTTAATCATTAAACTGATCAGCAGACAGATTTTATTTCAAACACTTGGTTATGTGTGATCAGTTAATTAAGAGTAACAACCTGAAATTTGCATAAGTCTACATCTACTGTTGATGACGTCACACAAATGTGTCGCATTGGCAAAAATTTGGCATCGATCCACCCATATTTAATATTATAAACGTCATGAGTCTTCGTCACCTTCTGTAGTCAGGTTATGAGATGATAACTCCAGTTTGTGGGAACAATGGTCATTGAGGGATTGTCTCTGCAGACTAAATATTACCATTTATATATAGTGCGTGTGTAAAAATCGGGGAAATCTCTCCTGAAACAATGCTATTTAAATTGAGTATTAGATTGCTTTATAATGCAACATCTTTAGAAAATCTTGCATAGTTTTTATATTATCATCAGTCTGACAATCCGTAAAACATGAAACATACCCCGGGATCTTGTTTTGATAGTTTCATGTTTAGAAAACCATTTTGTTGATGAAAGGTTTCATGGTAAAATCAGAATGTGTGAATTGTAAGTTGGTGAGGTACTGCAGGACTTGTAGTAGAATATACTTATGTTCATAGATAAACTGTATAGCTAGGTATTACACATCAAAACGTATAGTGAGATGTTGCCTACAGTGAGGTGTTTTTATGTAAAAAAAAGTATTAAAAATAAACGGTTGTTAATCTTTTATGAAAGCTGTCCTTGTTATCTTTGTACACTGTTATATCGTCTTCTTCTTCCTCTGTGCTCCAGTCTGATTTCAAAGCACTTCCCCTTGCAGAGCACCATACAGTCACCATTATGTATACGCAGAATCTATTTGCCAGTACAGTAGATTTCGCTTAATATCACTTCTCATTTGTCAGATGAAAACATGATATTAACAGGAGCATGACATAAAGGGAAAACATGTTTTTCTGACCATTTTTGGATGTCAAAACCCAGAAGTGACCGTATTTAAATGTCCTAGTGATATGGTATAACAAAGAAGATCGTTTAGTAAAAATGTTTGTAACTGACAAGGGTTTTCTATTTGTTGATTTCATTGAAATATGCAGCGAAAACACTTGCTTAATTCCGTCGGTGCTCTACAATCGTACGGGATCCAATAAGCCTAGATAGACAATTGTCAGCTGCTAGTCTATAATCTTCTCCAGATTCAGTCGTAAAGAATGTCATGTTATTACAAATTTACCTAAATCTTTTCAATGCTTTGATTTTTGAAACATCTTTGTAAATTAGATACTTCAATCATGCGTTCCAAGTTTGAAGTTTACATTGTTTTCTGCGAGTGCAGAGAATGTGAAAGAGCTACATAGTGATGAACTGTGATCTTTTGTAACACAGTAACACAATGTTTAGCTCAAATGTATTTTTGAGTACCAACAGATGTACCATATTATGATTCTGTTTCTGAGTATCAATCTCTAGTTTTTCTGAGTACATAACAGATGAAGAGGGATTCTATTTGTGAGTACTGGTGGCTCTAGTATAACCCTATATTAAAGTACCAGGTATAGTGAAATTTGATTTTTTTCTGGTGTTATAACTCATCATAGCAGTGCATATACATGTATATATATATTTTGGGGTGTAATCTGAGTTTTTCAGGTGTGATATATATCTTATCGTGGCTGTGTAAACCCATAGCCTTTTTGTGACCTGTTGTGTTATGGTAGGGTTGAGACGGAAAGAAAACATATTTGTCCAGATTTTTCATTGGATTGCATTATGATATGATATGTGTAATTAAATGTTGATTCATTTTGAGAAATGGTTCAAGATATATAACAGCTTCTTCAGACAGCTCTGTACGTATCTGAGCATGATACTCACTAATGGCCAAATATCATAATCTTAAGATCTTTTGATTGTTCACAAGTCATTTCAATATTTTTCAACACATTTAACCCCTGTGACCTTGAATGTGGATGAAGGCCATTCATTTGAACAAATTTTATTGCCCATCATCCCAGCATGCTACTCGGGAACTGGCCAAATATCATACCTAAGGCCTCTTGGTTGCTAAGAAGAAGTCATCTAAATTAAACAGTTGAGGCCGGTCAGATGGACGATGGATACCCCACCATTGTCCTCTAATTGTAGCTCTAAATACCAAGCACAAAATAAAATATCACTTCATGTACAGGTAAAATGAAGACAAAATATTCAAGTATTTTTTTTTTTTTTATTAAAATAGTTTGATTTTGTATATTTCTTGTGTACAAAATGGATACACAAATTCAAGTTTGTTATAAAAGTACATAAATTGTATTAAATGTAATATTATTACTCTGTCATTACACATGCATACTGTATTATATATATATCAGTGGTACACTACATGTACCGTTATAGAACTTTAACACTAGTATGCTAGGTATGGTATTACATCATCAACGGATACTGAGGAGTAACATGCATCAGTGTATATATTAAGTAGACTCCGTGACCATGTGTCTGGGTGACCTTCGTCAGGCATTCCTCACTCACTTGGCATTTAATTAAGTATAGGTGAAATAAATCAAGTTTAATGCAGAATTTTGCTCAAAGAACAGAATCGAAAAGAAATATCCAACAGCTCATTTTAAATATAAAACTTGGTGATATACAAATTCTGAAGATCAACTGCATCAAATTCCCTTTTATTTATATACTATGAAAAGGATTTACATAACAAATGACAATCCGACTAAATTTTTTGGTAATCAATAAATAGACACCCTTCTTTACTAAATGGTAATTGGTACGCAAGTGCAGACTGTCTCTCAGATCTAACAAGGTCTCCATACAGGGACTTTAACCTCCTGTCCTGTCAGCATAACAAAGCTAGGAGTTTTTGTTGCATAATATAATGTACCGTAATGTTTTACTTTTCGACTATAATCAGATGCATAATATGGGCATTAAACCAGTATGTGACTTATACAGAGTAATACTTGATGTGTATGAAATTGATAGAGGCAGACAATGATATTCAATCTTAATGATCAACACAACCACTCATGAACACATCACTTCATTTAAGATCGATCAAGGTGCCCCAACTGTTACTTAATAATTAAGATGATACACTAAAAAGGTTCTTTGCAGCCTTACTCCCCAATCACGGAAGAAATGCAGTCAGAGGTAGGCAAAATCTTCATAAATTTAGAACACATACTTCAGCAGAAATGAAATTTCAGAGGTATTTGATTAAAGTTAATTCACCCAGAAAGTGTAAATGTAAACTGAGATTTCATTCAAAACCCAGCATCTGTAGTCAGGTAAAACATATACTCCAGTATCTATAGAATCTAATCAATCAACTACATATAAGGTACCAAGTAATTGGTGCCAGCGGCTGGGATGTTAACAGCCTGCACTATAACAGAACAGTTCCACACACTCTCAACCTTGTATACCTGTATTGAGTACATATTGCACATGGGGATATATAATATATAACAACCTGGAGACATAGCACGATCAGCGACCTCTATCTACAATTTCAATAAATATATACATATTAGAAGAACAGATTTATACTTTATATCAGACAATCAGTTTAGTTTGATGATCACAGTGAGCAGGAAATGAAAGTGATTTGTACAAAACAACTATATGGCCTCTCTGCAGATTCATCCTAGGGCTTGTTATGTTTATGAATAAACTGGCCGATCCTTTTACATCTACCCAATGAATTTCAACCTGGAAGTCAAAATATTCAGTTTTGCTTCACGTGAGGTCATTTCTGGACGGCAAAAAAAATGAAAAAGATGCAGTTGCACTTCGAAAAAATCTATCAAAGGTGAAATCCTGATACTTTCACACAATAAAAACTACAACTCTGAGTCGTGTAAATGGTGGCTTGCCTGGGGACGGAAGTGATCAAATTTCAACTAATACAACAACCATAATCCCATCAGAATGTCTTCAGATGCATGGTCATAACAGACCATGCCTTTCAGCGACTCTTTCAAAAAATGATATGTGACATGTACTGTAACACCATCGCACACAACTGTGATCACATTAAAAATGTAACTAAGGAGATAAAACGGTGGACGGACGGTTAAACCACAACAAAACCGTTAACTGTGTGTTACAAAAAATAACTGAAAACTGGCACTAATTATATCATAAACTTAACACAGAAATAATATCTTTAGTTTCGGGCTTATTATTGCGAGTGAAAGGAGTACCATCACAAGAATTGCATATAGTGTACTATTGCATAGTAGCATACCAGAAGACACATGATTATCGTGTGAAATGCTGTTAATAGCTACACCTTTAGTTCCTGTACAATGGTGCACACTGGTCTCGTCACCATAAATCAGTCTGCCTCGTAATGCCACAGGAAAACCCCTAAATTTGAGAGAACCTTTAACAATTTGCGAAAATGAGAAACAAACACAGAAAAGAAAGGTTCATATTGGTGACTGAAAATAAGATTCCACAAAAACGTGATGAGATGACAGTAAGTTAGATTACATCCTTGTAAAATCATCAAATGAAGAGGTTTTCCAGAGCATGATTTTTGTGCAATGTCTAAATATCAACCTTGACTACTATCCTACATAGCAGTATACCTACTATAGTTTTGTGTAATGTAGTATAAACTATACCATCTGTTTTACTATACAGACTAACCCTCCCTGATTTATAGTTAGCTACGACTTGTACTAATGTACCTTTATAACTACGGTATGCTACTGTCATTAACTGCTGCAATCATGCATTGTAACATCATAACTGGCACTCACACTCACGGACAGCTTTGTACTCTATGATGGCATCTCACAACCTAGCGACAACTTTTGATGACATGCTCTGTGGATGGACGTTTGTAACTAGATATCACAGGCTAATATAGCTGGCCTGTTTTTATACGTCTACTAATATTGGCCATAGGAATAAACTGTTCTCGATGTGTCCTCCAGTACTAGCAATGGGAATTGTTGTTCTCGGTAAGTCCTTCAGTATTAGCAATGGGAATTATTGTTCTCGGTAAGTTCTCCGGTACTAGCAATGGGAATTATTGTTCTCGGTAAGTCCTCCAGTACTAGCAATTGGAATTATTGTTCTCGGTAAGTCCTCCAGTACTAGCAATTGGAATTATTGTTCTCGGTAAGTCCTCCAGTACTAGCAACGGGAATTATTGTTCTCGGTAAGTCCTCCAGTTCTAGCAATGGGAATTATTGTTCTCGGTAAGTCCTCCAGGACTAGCAATGGGAATTATTGTTCTCGGTAAGTCCTACAGTACTAGCAATGGGAATTATTGTTCTCGGTAAGTCCTCCAGTACTAGCAATGGGAATTATTGTTCTCGGTAAGTCAGCAATGGGAATGAACTGTTCTTAATATGTTCTCCAATACATGTTCCACTACTGCTGGCAATGCGAAAGAACATTTTGTGATTTTGTTCACCACTGCTATTGAAGCGGAAGAATTGAATAGTGATGCTGTGTACAATTATGTATCACAAAGTAACTCTCATCATGGCACTGTAATGCTGGGTACAGGTTTATAGACACGAGCTGTGAGGTCTGTCGGCAGTAGTCTGCTATACACAGTACTTCCTCTTCAGCAGCTCCAGATAGTCAGAGTTAGATTTGGCAAACGAGGAGTTGACAGCATGATCGTCAAAGTTAGAGATTAAGGGCCTAATGTTGTCATGAGGACCTGAAAGTAGACATAAGATAGTAATACATGCAATACTAAAGAGTAGGAAGTGACACAATTTGAAAGGACACCACTGTCAACATTCAGTGATATGAACAACAAGTTTAATGAATTCAAGTTGTCTTTCATTAAGTTACTGATACTGATCATTATTTGCTATATATAGAGACCAATATAAAATAGATGTTTTTTTATTAGTAATTGAGGCCATCAAGCCATATTTTCTTTTTCTACTGCATTGTTTCTTTCATCTAAGTGCACTCAGATTCTAGTGCGTTATAAAGTTTATAAATTATAAACACCTTGACAAATTGGCATACCCATTACATGCAATAGAAGCCAATCAATACAGAAACTTAAATTGTCACAAAAATAATTTAGCTTAACATTTAAAGCACAAAAATAGGCTAAAAGTATCTTTAGTACCACTAAATTATATATTTTTACAGTATTTCAGACATTCTTTTTTGCAATACAAGTATTTTGGGCCAAATATTAGCAAACATGAACCATAGCTTATCTTACCAGCTTCTAGATGTTTGGCAATGCTGCGGTCAAGTTCCGCCTTTAGTTTGTTGCCTAAGATATCGTCTGCAGTTCCTGAGAAGCGTGTTGAATCCAGGAGCTGCCCGTTCAATGTCCCGGAAAATGAAACGTTACCAGGGGTACTATTGAACAGGCGAGATTTCTGTCTTTCTGCACTGAAATTCACCATAACACAATACATTACTGGTACTGCATATTTACTGAAACACCACATGATTTCAATACATTTGGCATATCACCAAACATTTTACATTTTTATCATCAAATATCTGTGGATTGAAAGTAACAGGGAACCTCATATTAAAAGAGGATCCTGTGTATATTATTGCTCGACAATGACAAAAACATTGAAACTGAATCACAAATGGTTTTTCCATATAGCACCTAGCCTATTTTTTTATTTTTTTTTTAACTTTTGTCATTACAACTTTTGTCATTACCCATCTGCCATCTACACAATTATACATGGGAGTTCTATAATGGTAAAACTGGTGGGCATTCTAATTCATTCCTCAATTATACCATCCCTCCTCAACAACCTTTCTACCCTAAACAAGCAGTCCACGGGCCTGTTAGGACCTCAATCATTTCCAACTGGTTATGAGCAGGTGAGATAATACTACAATGTTCTTGTAATCTTTTCAGAGGAAGGACAGGGTACATATAATCAATATAGTAAATGTTAGAGTTATTGGACACATCCCCCCTTTAAGTACATTGTTGTACACTTGTGTTAACTAAGCATGTGTGAGATAGTGAGTATACACATAGTAGACATGCAGTATTGTTTAGGCATGCTTTATTACAAAGCTGTAGTATACATGTAAATGTCCAAGCATAAAAGTGACTTACTGAAATTGTGGCCTGTATGTCAACATCTATACATGCTTCATTTCTTTACACATCACAAATTAGGATTGTTTTTCTATTTTTGAAATTATCATGTTTTCCCAATAGAATGCATGTACATCTGTATCCTATAACCTGACCACCATCACCTATCTTAGTCTTAATTGATACCAATCCAGTGAATGTTTATATGGGTATCAAATATTTATATTTATCACATAATGTACTGTGTTAACCAGTGAATGTTTATATGGGTATCAAATATTTATATTTATCACATGATGTACTGTGTTAACCAGTGAATATACCCATGTCATATTTTTTGGCATATTAACCCTGTAATATGACCTATCAGCCCTGTGATTGGTTGCAAGTTTCGATTGTTTAAATTGTGATGTCAAGCTAGGACATGTACATGACGTCACAAACTTTCGTTTGGAGTCAAAATGGCAGCTTTTTACTTTTCAAGGTTGCATGAAAATTCTCATTTTACATGAATAAATGCCACAAATCTTAATTATGTGATAAAAAGGATCCTACAGTCATTTTCATTTCATATGAAATTTATGAATTTCATCACAAATTTTTCATTTAAAAAATTCTTGACTCGTTTCATAAATCTTATATGAAATAGAAACTCATGTAAGATCCTATATATGTGTTTAATCAAATTGATTTCTACCCGTGATGTCTTACGTATGAAAACAATTACTATACCTCTTGTCATCATCAGTGACTGAAATTCAGTCAAGTTACATATTTTCTGTTTTGTTGATTTTTATTGCAAATGTCTCTGAGGCCTGACAATCACAAGGTACTCTTTTGGCTAGCTGCAGGGGGTGCAAACTTTTATGTATTTTAAGTGAGACAACAAATAAAGCATTTCATCACTCAAACACAAATACCATAGTGTAATCATATACAGCAAACTAACACAATATTACTGGGAGGATTTAAGTATGGCCCTCGACCTTCTCCAGTCTGCATGCTAATAGACAACAATCACAACATACCAGCTATGCAACTGTTACAGGATAAGAGTAAGTACGGTGAGCCACCATGCAAATGTTGAGACTACAAACTGTAAGCCACATACGCACATGGTGGCACTTACACTAACTTTGTTTTGTAGTTGAAGGCACGGTCTGTTGATTTCATCAGCTGCTCACTCAGGCGTATCCTCCACTGCATCTCGCTCTCATACAGGTCACGGAAACGTTTTGCTTCCATCTCTTTACTGTCCTTCTGGGCAAGAATCTGCTCATACTTGATTCTTAATGAAGTTGTCTCCTCCTTTGTAAAACAGGAAACGTTATTAAAGTAAGATTCACCTTCTCAAATTAGTGTGAATTGATTAATGAATACCTAATTATTTTCCAGCTTTACTTGACAATTTGTACAGCCATTGCATTGTCATGGAACAATACAAGAGGCTCAATTGGCCTGCATAGCTAAACTAGTATTAATCTTATACTGGTAACCTTAAAAGTGGACTAAAATAAAGCTACAGGCAAAATATCAGTATTTATGACTTTTATTAGGCATCTGTTGTAATCACAAGGGGTCAGTCTTTGGGCTGTTTTTCATTACTTTGTGAAGTTTGGGATTTTGCAGGGTTTTATGACAGATAACTTCCTAAATCTGGGGTTAAATTGACCCCGATGCTTGAGATGTACCAAATCAGGGTTTTGGCTACATTTTACAGATTTTCCATCACTTCTCAGCACATTCCTGGGGGATTGACATCTATGATACTTATGTATAACAGCTAGCCTACAGTCATTGCAAAATTCACCTGCATGCATGGTTTTGACTTTTAGATTGCATAATTTTCACCCAGCATAAATAACCATGTATACATATTATAGCAGTTTTAAGCACTAACTTAAAGGAACTATAAAATTCTAACCTGTAATTTTCTGTTGATTTGTTTGAGTTTGGAATCAGTTTCATCCCGAGAGGTGTCCAGCTTTTCGCGAGAGCGGGCCTGGTCCTCCAGGTAACTGTTGACCTCATCCAGTTTGCGATTGAGCTCTAGTCGGTAGCGTGCCTCCAATTCTTTCTTGACTTGGTCAAGCTCTTCCTTGTCCACATAGCCATTCTCCACCCGACTCTGAAGAGATGCACCACAATTTACATACAAATCATCAAATAACTTTTTACATGATTTTTTTTTTTACTCTTTTAAAATAATCTTGAAAATATCATATTCCTATACATGTATACTATTAGTAGTGTACTGCATTGTTTGGCGATACACTATTTATTGTTAGCCCAAATTGCTGACCAAGGCAAAGCCAATGATCTATTTTTAACAGTCTCGGTTTCGAATCCAACTTTACAAACACTGACTGAAAAAACTCAACTGATATTTAATGCATATATATCTTAATAAATATTATGACACAAATCTAAAGCACTATGTGCAAATGTCATAAAACAATGAACATCATAAAACTTTATTTTCATTTTCAATAATCAAATGTTGAATTATTTATCAACGAATGTACATAAAAGTGATATTTCTGAAATTTTTCTTTCATCCATTTCCAGATGTTCTGGTTCAATTGAAGAATGGTCTTTGTTTCTCTCTGGTACAGGCAAACAAGGGTAAACATGATTGAGAAATGAAATAAACTGAAGTTATTGTACAGCACAATAATATCTACTCTCATAAAGATAGTTGTTGCAAATGTCCCAAAACATTCAGGTCTGTTAGTAAAATGTTAGATTTATTATATTTTCAATCATGCACTAAAAGAAAAGAATGAAAAAAATACTAAGATACTGAACTTTTGACATACTATGTATAACTAAGACACAGGTGTCAGCCTCTGAAACCTCCAATGAGATGACGGAGGAGGTGCATGAAACACGACTGAAACGGCTTTGCTCAATTTATCTTTCCCTTTTTATCCTAATGAGGGAGGGTTGACGACTATGCTAACATGTTCAGTTGTGAGACGTTGACATTCAAGACAAAATCTATAGACAAACTACACAATATGGATGATGTGGAACCATTGCTCCCAAAACACAAGGTGATTGTCTGACAGCAAATCGATGTGATATGCATTCAACATCCATTTCTCTCTGCTACCTATATTTACTAATCCATCCCAGATTTTACTAATACCTAGAGTGTATCCTTGTGATCCTTATGATACTGCGACAATGCAAACTCTAATATCAGAGCAAAATATATAGTTGAGTATGACCAAGCATAGGTATGAAGTAATGGTGTGCAATAGGAATGGTCAAATGACAGAGTTAGTTAAACTACATGTTCTATAGAAACCTAAGTAAAGTGTCTTTGTAACGAGTAGTGTTGTAGGTTCTGACTAGAAGTTTCCGGATGTTTTCCTCAAGCACACTTGGATGTTTGGTGATGTCCTCCAGTAAGGACTGGGGTGCTACAAGCCTTTACCACTGTAATATAGACCAAGCAGGCCTCCAAGCTTGCAGGCTTCTGACACCTGTTAGCGAACCACTGTAATATAGACCAAGCAGGCCTCCAAGCTTGCATTCTTCTGACACCTGTTAGCCATTTATGTATTACAACAAGGATACAACGATTTATTTTGACCACAATCATCTGTCCTATGTACACAGACTGCTGAAACGCAATAATAATAGGACAATATTGTTGTGCCATCAAATTTTTCATGCAGCAAAACAGCAACATGAACTTGAACAAAACACTGAACAAACATATTTCAGAACATGAACATAAAACAACCAAACAACAAGCCAAAAGGCCCACACACAAGTGAAACGCTGTTTACACAGTCAAATTATCTAATATAATAATTTGTGAAATGCAAGAATTATTGCAAATCAAAAAAATATTCTTTTCTTATCTTTAAATGTTTCCGGACTCAGATTAAAATTGGTCTGAACATCAAAGTGATCATAATTCTATAGTTTAAAATAAACTTCTAAAATATTACCCTACATTTCATTTAAGAAGGACTGGTGTGTGAGCCAAACACAAGCAGGCCTGATGTCATACAATAGGTTACTGGGACAATAGAAGTCAATACACAGCATGCTGTTGGCCTGATGTCATACAACAGGTTACTGGGACAGGTCAATACACAGCATGCTGTTGGCCTGACGTCATACAACAGGTTATTGGAACAAAACATAATACACAGCATGCTGTTGGCCTGACGTCATACAACAGGTTATTGGAACAGAACATAATACACAGCATGCTGTTGGCCTGACGTCATACAACAGGTTATTGGAACAGAACATAATACACAGCATGCTGTTGGCCTGACGTCATACAACAGGTTATTGGAACAGAACATAATACACAGCATGCTGTTGGCCTGACGTCATACAACAGGTAATTGGAACAGAACATAATACACAGCATGCTGTTGGCCTGACGTCATACAACAGGTAACTGGAACAGAACATAATACACAGCATGCTGTCCGCCAGGAAGTTAACCAGTCAAATTCATGCTGCCTGGGTATCCAACAGTACAACAATTAACGCCGGATCACCATGGAGACCTGGTGACCTGCAGGGGCTGACCTTGTATGATGTATACTCTTGCTCCATCTTTGTTTTGCTGCGCTCCAGTTTTTCTACACTCTTCTGTAATCGCTTGAGCGAGCCAAGCTCACTCTGTAGCTGCAAGTTCTTAGCCTGGAGCTTGGACTTGCCGTCCACCTCCTCCTCAACCTGCTGTTGGAGCTCACTTAGCTGGCAGGGCAAAGGTCAGAGGTTAATAAAGGAGGTCAAATGTCAATGTATTAAGGTATAAAATGGAGGTCGGCAGGAAATTGCAGAATGTCAAAGGTAGTTAAAACAACTGCTGCAATAGGTCCACAGGGCCAAAAATATACAAGGTGGATTGGAGGATGATCCTGTGGCTACAGAACATAGGCAAAGGAAATATGGAAAATGATCCACAAGTTAAAGAGAAATTGTACCAGCAAATATGATTAAAATGAAATAAGTTACTGAGTAAGAGAGATCCATCCACTCTACACCGACATTGGGGGGAGGGGTGGGGCAACACTGGATAAAGGGGCGTGGTCCACACTGGATGGTGGGTGTGTCATTGTTACCTGTCTCCTGACTGTAGACAGAGTTCCTTCCATTGCTAATCGTTCCTGGTCAAAGTCTGAGTGCAGAGTATTAATGCGATTGTCCGAGGTGTCTACAGTCTAAACTCATCCATGAGGAAAGCGAAACAGAACCAAATAGGAAATGTTAGCTAAGAGAAAAGTCAGAACTAACAGATTTTTTTTAATGTTTTATGGTAGGCCTCAAAAGAATTTTTAGGGCCACCATTCCTTGTACATTTTTGTATCAACATTGTACCAATAGACAATGAAAATACTCCAATTAATTCAAAGACTTGATTATTGCATTAGTAAATTTTGAAATGTTACATAAAACAAAACTGATACATTTAACTGACTGGAGATAGTTTAAGACTTAATAATTGCAGAGAAGTATGATATTTAGAGTCTAAATGATTGAACAGAAAGTGTGACCATAAATTAGATATTGAATTGATAATACATAATTATAAAAAGGAGAAAAAAATATTAAAATAAAAAGATTTAATGTTAAAATGTAGACTAAGTATACACTGATTCCCAGATGTCCTACTATAGACACCTATTAGTGCCAACATTGACTGAAACATGACTATGATAAAAGTAAATCATGAATTCTGTTGATACTTGTTTTTTAAGACTCAAATCTGAATAATTCAAATCTTGGTTAGATACTGCAATCCTTTAGAACAAATTTTAAACGTTATAATTAAACTCATCAAATTCACACTGTAGTATCAAGCTTCCTAGTATCCTTTCCTTTCTGGAAATCTAAAATCTACAAACTAGCAGTGCTGCTGTATCTAAACATGTGTGTAATTCATTGTGTTGTGAAAAAATTCAATTAAGCACTGAAAAGCACATGATGCAAGCAACAAAGTTTATTAAACACATATTCCTGATAATTATCATTATGCGAGGCTAACGAAGGTAGGCCCGTCTGTTTAGACTATATGAGAACTCAGTAAAACTATCTATAAGGTTAGCAGTAAATACTAGTTATCACACTAAAACAGCTGTTGTATACAATACATACATCATCTAAAGGATCCTGCAATGTTTCAAAGTCACACAAACATAGTCATTAAAAAGTCAGAGATTGGACATCAGTACAGCCCTACTAGAACAGTGTACGGATTTGTTACATCCGTTATTATCCAAATGAGAAAACTACCAAGTGAAAATGTCAGTCGTAATTTGCCTTGTAAGTAAATATAACATGAGAAAATTGTTTGAGAAAAAATTGTAGCAAGGTGAGAGGCCTTCAACATCTGAAAGAGTCATATCAAAAGGAAGCATACCAAGCATAACTCATAAATACAATGATGTTAAACACTTTTAAAGTAATGCCCAATAAACATACAGGTGTAAGCTCTCCAGATGTGTAAATTGTATAAGTTTTTGCTATCGTGGTTACCAGCATTAACCTGAATCATCAGGATGATAGGGACTAGTTTAAAAGACAGCGAAATTTCTGCTGAATTAAATACTGTTCTAAATAAACCGAAACCAGACTCAGAATTAGAATCAATTCATTCCATCACTTATCATACTACGTATAGAGAGTGTCCCCCCAGTGGACAGTCAATGAAAGTCTTAACTAAGAAGACCCATTCAGCACTAACTCCAACAATACCCACCTTTAACCGCTTCTTAGCTGACTTCAGATACGCCTTTAGACTAGCAATCTCCGTTTGAAGTTGGACATTCCTGCAAAGTAGAGTTAACATGGTAATATTTGTGGTGTAATCAGAAATTTAGATGACAACATTTTTTGTGCAGTACATTTTATCAGTAGAGACCAGGTTGATAAAAGTAAGAAAAACAAGAATTGTAAATACAATTACCTCAAAATTATTCTATTATTAATGATTTGCATGATGAAAACAATTACTGAAAACTGATACACAGCTTTTGTTACATTCTTAAGAACAGGGAAAAAAATCTGTCGCATTATAATATTGACTCTTGAATTAGTCATAAACCTGTCATACTAACTGAGCTAGCTAATAACCTGTGCAAGAGCCTTTATTACCTACTGTAAGGCAACAACTCTTACTTGTCATGCTCAGCCTCATATTTGGCCTCTGATGTTTTCTTCAGTTCCATTGCTTTCCTGCACTTTCTCTTCTCCTATAAATATTTAAGAAAGTAATTCATAACAGCAACTGTAAGATTGAATACATTTTTGTGTCAAATAACCATGAACAATTCTGTCAAACATCAAAATGATTACTTGTTGTGCACACATGTACAGATTTACAAGGAATAATTGAAATTTTTTTTGTACATCTGAGAGAGGATTTCAAATTTACATTTTTCTGTACTGACATGTATACATGTATATTGCCACAAGAAAAAGTTTTTAAAGATAAAAACAGCAACATCATCTTTATTACTCTGGTTTCCTAAATATTCTGAGAACAGTTCAGTTATAACTCTGGTAAATTGTTCCTATATTGCTAGTTATGCTGACAATCATACATGCAGAATCACAACCATGTGATATTTAAATCTTAATTTTTCAGAAATATTTATAAATACATATTTCTAAAATGATTTTACTGAGCATGACCATATGAAAATCAGTTGTACAAACCTCTTCTAGTTGGCTGACAGCCTCCTGTCTCTGTCTCTCATACTGAACAATCTACACAATAGTCAGGGGGTACAGTTGAATATTTGAAAGATGAATGGATATTTCAATTTCATAATAAAAGTACTGTTGCTTAATACTATTAAGTCTGTTAAACACAGATATAAACTTAAATGCTGCTGAAAGTTAGCTTGACATTTTAATTATTTCCAGAAAAGATTTCTTGATATATTTATCATAATTCATTCGCATAACAAGGTTATATAACACATACATTATATTTTATACAATAAAATAATTTAAGTAACATAATATGAAGTAAAATTTGACATTTTATTATAGTTTAAACAATATTATCATTTTATACAGAATTTAAGGATCAAATTCAACCAGCAGCTAACAGCTGGTCAATTTAACATGATAAATATCCTATAGAAATTAAACATAAACAACAAAGAGCTACATTCTAGTATTCTATGTCTACAGGGATACGTTAGAGCTGTGTGTTACTCACACAAGCCAAATACTACAAGGTTACAGTGTAAGGAAGCAATGAAAACACTATTTCACTTCACCATACTCTGTTTACAACTTTGAAACAAGTGTCAGTTGTGTTACACACTCACCCGCAGACCAAGTTTAGAGCGAGAAACAACCTCTGTTTCCCACAATTCCTTGTTGTTTTCCGCTTCCTGTGACATCATGTTGCGAGTAACAGACTCCATCTACAGAGTTACAGGGAGTTAACAGATGAAGGCGATGAAGACAGAATGACTAGACATCAACATAGCACCAACTATTTTGATATCTTTTTTGTGGTTTAGCTGACTTTATTGGTTAAGGTATGACAGCAGGATTATATGATCATTAACTTAAGATGTTTGAATATTTCCTCATTTTTTTATGTGCATCACTGTTGTCATACACACAACACTAAGTTTACCAAAAGACTTCATCCTTTGACAATTTTTTTCTAAATCCACAAAAAATGAAATCAAAATAGTTGTGTGTAATATAACCAGCACACATGTAGGATATGTAGATATAGATATAGCTACTACCTTACAGAGTAGGACTCAAACACACAGTAGATAAAGCTGTAACCTGACAGAGAAGGATTAACACACGCAGTAGATATAGCTACTACCTGACAGAGAAGGACTTACATACACAGTAGATATAGCTACTACCTGACTACATGAGAACAGAAAGTCTCTCATTGGGAGGGCAGTATACATGATTGAGAGGGCAGTATACATGATTGGGAGGGCAGTACATGAGAACAGAAAGTCTCTCATTGGGAGGGCAGTACATGATAATTGGCCAGTTTGTGGTTACACAAGACCGTAGAAAGAATAATCTGATTTACAATACTATAGGTGTAATACTGCTCTGTCAGGTTGACCTGAAGCACTGTAAGTAATTATAAGCACCCAATGTCAATGACAACAAGATTTGTTGTAACAGTAATAAGACAACTTAAGCAAGTATTATTAAAACCTTCCATGATTCAAAAGACGAGATAAATATGAAGAACCATGCTAAGCACAAGTGGTTATAACATGACTTCAATTTTAAAGAGGAGAGGTTGGCCATAAGATACACCAAAGATGTTACCAAATGAATACAAGCATTTTCATAATGTTGATTCCCCATGCCACAATCTCCGTTTTCAAAACTGAATGCCACACACTCCACTAATCAATCTAAAACTGCCAACACCAATAAGTTAAAGTTACATGGATATAATAAAAGCAGATTAGTTAAAGCAGTAAGAGAGATGTACCAGCTTCATTCTACCAGGCTACAGCTACAGACAATACATAAGCCATGCACATAGAACTACAGATAACAGCGGGCAGTGCACCCATCACTTACATCAATACCCTGCTCATGCTGAAACAAGAAACAGTGTCATGCTATATACACCCATTCATATGCTTGTTGACAGGCTCAAGGTGCTTAGTGATACAACATATTGTAAGTTAGTGACTTAGTGTGTACTGGTATACAGGCTTAAGTCTCCTATCCCTTAGTGATACAACATATAGTAAGTTAGTGACTTAGTGTATACTGGTATACATGCTTAAGTGGTACACAGGCTTAAGTCTCCTATCCCTTAGTGATACAACATATAGTAAGTTAGTGATTTATTGTATACTGGTATACAGGCTTAAGTCTCCTATCCCTTAGTGATACAATATATTGTAAGTTAGTGACTTAGTGTGCACTGGTCACAGTCTTAGGTCTCCTATCCCTTAGTGATACAACATATAGTAATTTAGTGACTTAGTGTGTACTGGTACTCAGTCTTAGGTCTCCTATCCCTTAGTGTTACAACATATAGTAAGTTAGTGACTTAGTGTGTACTGGTACACAGTCTTAGGTCTCCTATCCCTTAGTGATACGACATATTGTAAGTTAGTGACTTAGTGTGTACTGGTACAAAGTCTTAGGTCTCCTATACCTTAGTGATACAACCTATAGTAAGTTAGTGACTTCGTGAGTACTGGTACACAGTCTTCGGTCTCCTATCCCTTAGGGATACAACATATAGTAAATTAGTGACTTAGTGTTCACTGTTCTCAGTCTTAGGGTTCCTATCCCTTAGTGACACAATATATTGTAAGTTAGTGACTTAGCGTGTACTGGTACACAGTCTTCGGTCTCCTATCCCTTAGGGATACAACATATAGTAATGTAGTGACTTAGTGTGGACTGGTACACAGTCTTAAGTCTCCTAGCCCTGAGAGATAAAACATACAGTAAGTTAATTACTTAGTGTGTACGGGTACACAGTCTTAGATCTCCTATCCCTTAGGGATACAACATATAGTAAGTTAGTGACTTAGTGTGTACTGGTACACAGTCTTAGGTCTCCTATCTCTTAGTGATACAACATACAGTAAGTTAGTTACTTAGTGTGTACTGGTACACAGTCTTAGGTCTCCTATCCCTTAGTGATACAACATACAGTAAGTTAGTGACTTAGTGTGTACTGGTACACAGTCTTAGGTCTCCTATCCCTTAGTGACTTATTGTTCACAGGCTCAAGGCTTATCATTAATCATTGATACAACATATTGTAAGTTAGTGACTTTGTGTTTACTGGTAAACATGCTCAAGTCTTAACCCATCAGTGACCCATCGTATCCAGGCTCAACACTCCTCACTCTTTAGTGATACAACATACAGTAAGTGATTTAGTGTACACTGGTACATATGCTCAAGGCTCCCATGACTCTCAGTGATACAACATATTCATACTTTTATGAGTTTTAGTGTTACCCTGATATATAGTTTACATATTTGAAAACAAGAAGTGCTGTAGCATTGATCATTTGGAAATAGGATACTCAGCGATCCATTTATAAAATGTACACAGCCTCAGTGCTGACATAATAAATGTCCACAATCAATTAGTATGCTCCCTCAGACCATGCTGTCCTCTAACGCCATTCATCACAGTGACAAGCTTATCACATACATACCAGAACCTCAGTGACATTCCCATCATACATTCATACCCTCATGTCAACATTTGTACATTTATTGACTTTTCCTCGGATAATAATAATTCATCGACCCACAATGTTTATCTTAACACTTTAAATTTACTTACAACGTTCAAATGAAAAGCAATGTAATACAAAAAATTAAACTTCAAATATATCTATAGACCAGATGCAAAAAAAGAAACTTTTAAAACAAATATGAGATGCCTCGAGCTCTTTATCCTTTTTGAATATATGAAGTAATGTTTCCTCAGAACCCGTATTTATCCAATCATATAAAACAATGGATACCATGATCGATCTATTAAAACCTACCCCAAGCTTGTCCTCCAGCTGGGCCCTGGAAGACTTGAGATTAGAACACAGCTCCTCTAGACTGCTCCGTACCTGTAAGAGCATGTTAACAATTGAGAATTTGTATGGAATTTCTAACTATGATCAATAAAATATAACTTTTACTCTAATACAAGCCATTCAGATTGATATGTCGCCTGTGCCCCACTTTGACCATAAATGCACATATCAGAGATACTAACTTAAATGCAAAAACTTAGATGTTGATGGAGATGCTGACAAAGTCAATGCAACATGAACGATAGACCCCATCCAGCATTTGAAGCATGGGTTGAGATGTACTACCTGAGATGCATCTATGGTGCAAGTTTGTTGGTCTAGCATTTATACTTTCTGTGAAACTAACGTAAACGCAAAAACTTAATGATGATGCCGACGTTGCCAGAAAAGCAACACCTTAGTCTCGCTTCCGCTACTTTGTGGCGACAAGACAAAAACAGTGTTGAAGCGTCATTTTTGAACATTATACTTTGGCACAGAAATGGATGCACCAATTGCACCCAGTCTAACAGTATATGCCTGTTTACAGTAACCAGCAACAAAATCACCTACCAGTACTTTATGTACAATACATATTTACTGGTGTATTTGTGTGAACTGTCGATACCGAGTGACATTTCGTGTTCCTTGCTGTCCTTACATACCCTTTGTGAGTCTTGTAAGTCCTTCTGTAGCATCTCTGCACGCTGCTTTTCATGTGTCAGTTCAGCCTGAAGTTTGATATTATCAACTTGTATCCTCTGCATGCTTTCCTCCAGCTCATCCTGTAACCAAACAAGCAGACTTATTACAGTGAAATCATATAATAATCAGCACAATCTTATGACAAATGGTGTTGTTGTTTTTTTTCAATGGACTTTAATTTTCATCATTTCAAAAGCATTGACAGAAAGAGGTTTTGTTGTATACTTTACTCTTGTCAATCAAGTCTTCAGAGGAAAACTTCATCACTAATAATACTATAAGGGATTAGCTTTAATCAAAAAGCAAGCTAAAACAAACAAGAGGCCCAGAGGGCCTGTATCGCTCACCTGGATATCTAAGCAATCATGGCAAAATATTCTCCAAATGAGATCTAAGCGAATATGCCAGACCCCAACGCCAATCCTTGTAGCATATCTGTATTAGATTTTTCATGCCAAGCAATTTTATATATAGTTTTGGGGTGGGAATCTCAATCGTTTCAAAGTTATGACCCAGGGGTTAAGTCTCCAAGGGTGGGGCAGTCCCCAAGGCCATCCTGGAAGCAAATGTTCATTCATCTCTTTATACTCAGCAATGGTTTGTATGGTTATAGGGTGGGGATCTCAACTGTTTCTGAGCTGTGACTAAGAAACTAGGTCCCTAGGGGTTCGGTCAGACCCCAGGATCTATTCTTATATCATGACTGCAATCGTCTCTTTATGCCCAGCATTTGTATATACAGTTTTGGGGTGGGGATCTCAACCATTTTAAAGTTATGGCCCACGGACTACGTCTCCAAGGGTGGGCCAGACCCTAGGGCCATCCTGGAAGCAAATGTGCATTCTTCTCTTTATACTCAGCAATCGTTTATATGGTTATATGGTGGGGATCTCAACCATTTCCAAGTAATAAACTTTTTTTGGTCCTGCCCTCAGCACCCTGGGGGGTCAGCCCCACCATTTGTAAAATTTTGAATCTCCACCACCTAGGGATGCTTCCAGTCAAATATGGTTGATATTCATCTCTTAGTTCCAGAGAAGAAGTAGCTTAAAGCAATCTAGCCAAATTGCCCCCTTTTTGCCCCGCCCCTCAGCCCCCTAGTGGGTAATTAAGCCCCACCATTTGTACAATTTTGAATCCCCACCACCTAGGAATGCTTCCAGTCAAATTTAGTTAAATTCCAATCAGTGGTTAAAAAAGAAGAAGAAGTCGTTTGAAGAAATTGTTGACGGACAGATGACGGACGCTACGGTTTGATATGCATAAGCTCACCTTGGTCCTTCGGAATAATCTCAAGAAATAAAAGCAGGCGTAAGTCTTGAAAAATATTACTTTTGACCTTAAGAAGTATAATTTATATTCTTATAGAACTAGAACTGTACAGGACCATAACTCAACACAAAAAAAAATGAAAAAATAATACCCCGATGCATAACATCAGGGGGTAGTTATAATATCTATAAAGTTTCGGTGCATGAGTTTAGGAGGATTTGCTTGGAAAAGATTTTGAGGACAACAGACATCCAGACAGACAAACAGGGTGATTCCAGAGTATATCCCCCCAACTTTGATGCTGAGGGTATAAAAACGTCTATTGACCTTAAAAGCATACATTTGTACCTGGAAAAGCATACATTTTACACTTAGTCGTACTGAAGACAAGATAACATACCTTCGTCCTTGTGTAAGCTTCCATGTTGGCAGAGTTGTTCATGATTTGCTGGCTGCTGTAGAGGTTGTTCTGTTCTGATCTCTCCAGCCTGTCCACCATCTCTGTGATGCGGGCCTGGGACTCAATGGACTTTTCGTGGGCCATCTCATATTTCTGATGTAGTCTGTCCACCTCCAGCTTCAGCTGACCTTTGTCATGCTCAAGGGATTCCTTGGACTACAAAGGGGAAGCATATATTAACTCATTCACCCCTGAAGACACATTTAAACTCTTCCAGTTCAAAGGTTGGAATAGTACATTATGAAATTTTAGGGGAAGAACATATTAAATAAAGTTTTCTCAACTTTATAACCTTTAACCTACATTTTTGTACCTACATGGGGTCCTAATATGTTGCTCATACAGACTTATTCTTCCTTATACATCAATCATTTCCTAACTTATACACAGACATATGTGAAGGATTGATGTATTTCTGTACAGTGTATGATGAAAACTGTCTATACCAGGCTATATACAGTAGAAACCTGTATAGCTACACACAAGTCTTGCCTTTACCCCGCTTTGACCATCAATGCACATGTCATGTTTGGTTAGTCAAGCATTTAAAGTTTCGGAAAAACTAACTTAAAAGCAAAAACATCATGTTGATGGAGATGTTGACAAAGTCAATGGACCATGAAAGGTAGGCCACATCAAGCATTTCATGCATGGGTTGAGATGTACTACCTAAGATACATCTATGGTTCAAGTTTGGTTGGTCTAGCAATTATGCTTTCAGTGAAACACAAACAACTAAATGTTGACGCCACTACCGTTGATGGAAAAGCAACACCTCAGTCTTGCTTCCACTATTTTGCGGTGGCGAGACAAAGAAGATACTTCTGTAATCTTGAAATCTGCACAATGTTTCAATCCTTAACCCAAGACATCATCAACAGGTCTGGGGTTTAACAATTTATTTTCCAAATTTACCAAACTCCCCAACCCCCAACCTCACATCCTATAAATGTGTCCCCTCCACAGATTGGATCCGAATCCATCACTAGATTTGGACTATGTTCTGTATTGTATTACAATATATAGGACTAAATACAATACAGAACCAGCTGTTTTCTGATGTGTTAACACTATATAGTTTGGGTACGAAGCCTTAAGTGCAGACTAACCTTTAGTGCCATTTCTAGGGATGCCTCTGCCACAGAAAGTTTTCTGATGAGGTCGTTGTAATCCCGATTCATTCGATTGAGTTCCTGTTCCAGCTGTGAGCGTCGGGCATCAGAGTTACGCACCTCTTCCCTGAGGCGTGATGATGTTTCCGTGAGGGATGAATTCCTCTCCTCCACGGACAAACGAGACTACAACAAGAATATCAATCATCATTGAATGCTGGAACTAACAACTTTAATCAAATTTTATAACAAGGGACTTTTTTCTGTTAATTTCTTGCTTAGTTGTTTTATTTCTTGTTGAAAACATTTCTGGTAATTTTGATTTATATGAAACATAGCAGATTATACATTTTGATGTGAGAAAACAATCAGATAATGCATTTCATTTCACTGTTGATCAATATTTTCTTGACCACTAGGCAGATGGTTCTATGTGGCTTTAAGATGGTAGCAAATCTGTCCAGCCTGGGCACTAGAAAGTTATTTAAACTTGCAGGACAAAATATTCCTGAAATAATCTAGGTCCTCACACAGAGTGAGAGTTTGGTGGTGTTCTACCTTGTCTTGTTCAGCCTTGAGGGTAGCTAGGATAGCAGTGAACCTCTCCTGACCATTGTCTGCAGCACGGTCCGCCAAGACCTGCTGGGAGGTCTCCAACTGTTGCTTCAGACTAAGATTGTCATGCTGTAGACCTGTATTCCTACATAACAAAGAAACCTTAGCTTAGATAACAGTCTCACACAAACGTACTCATGCAAAACAGTGAGATTTTAATATAAGTAAGAAATTCTGCTTTAGGTTGTGTCTTTATTTTTTTTACTTTAAAATATATGGGAGGGACAGGGGCAGTCACATTTAAATTTAAATAGCCATGTGCAGATGCATTCTAGGGTCTACTAATATCCACCAGTATATATATGTATTGTTTATCAGTAGCAGTGTAACCCACATTAGAATACCCATTTTTTTTAGAAAACTTGGAGTAGGAGGTCACTTTCTGATAATATAACATCATGACAAAGTGGTTCAGAGAAAACTTACAAATACACAATGATACGACGTAGCTTCTCCTCAACAGTATTTAGGACAAAGAATAAACCAAATTTACTTATCTACTTACTTTTCTTGGAGATTTTCAACCTTGACTGTAAGTTTCACATTGTGTTCCTGTGGAGGATGAAAACAATATTAGACACAGAAAGAAACCACAAACACTAGTCGTTTATACTGAGGCTATTGTTATCAGCTTTATTATAATTCCTTCTTTTATATGAAATCAATTTTCATTTTTACTGAGGGATTAACTTTTGATAATGCTTAGATTATTTTGAGATAGCTACAAAGTGAACTCTGGTAAATTTGAAAGGCAACTTTTGTTTTTTAAAGAGACAGTATTCAGCAAGCTAACAGTACAGACTAAAAACTTTATTATTGTTTTTTTATAAATTTTCTCCAGTGACAATGAAACTTGATATCACTTTATTCAGAAATTGTTCCAAGAAAAAGATTATTGTTGCATGGAAGACAAACATAGCACAATCACAGAAGCTCAGAGGCAATCACCTTGTGAGCTCAAATGTAAAGATGCATGATATAGAAAATAGAAATGGTGTTTTTTTCAGATATTTCTGTGCAGTCCCTATACCACATTACTTGTTTCTGCTCAGCTTTCTGTGTGAAAAAAACAGTTACCTCAGGTCCGCAAGTGAAAGTAGTTCAAGAAGTCAGTTTCATATAAATAAATTCAGAATTTTGACCTAATTCCCTGTCTCAAGATGAATGATACTACCTGTCTAGCTAATTGTTTTACCTTTCGTTTAAGGTATTTCTATTATTGTTAAACACACTCAGCCCAGTTCTCACCTTTTCCACCTGGTAGTTTTGGTCGTAGCTTTCCTGAGCACTTTTGTAATACTGGAGATCCTTGGCTGTCTGGTTATACAGGTTGGATTTCTCCATCAAATTGGCACTGACAATATGGAACTGTTGAAAATAAAATTATTCCAATATCAAACTGCAGGTATGAAATAGATAAACTAAATTCCATGAACAAACTATGAAATAGACAAAACTCATTATAAAACTCCAAACATTATAATTTATATACCGTAGATAACCTCAATTATCAAACTATGAAATAGACAAACTCTGTTATCACACTTTGCAATAGACACACTCCATTATAACATTATGAAATATACGAACTTGTTTATCAAAAAGACAAAATTTTGTTATCAAAATGTTTCTCAAACATTTACACATGCATTCTATAGTCAGGTATATAAATACTATTGGTCTGCTATCATGCTAAGAGCTTGAACACTTTTTCCTTATGCTAAATAATTTAAAATAGACTTATTAAAGTCATTAAATGTACATATAAATTACAGATTCACTGAAAAGAAGTTAACATTTTAATTTTGTTGTTAACTATATTAAAACAGGCACATTTAAGCTATTACATACACACATAATGATGGATGGACAGGAGGAAGTTTATTTTTATTTTACAATATTTCCCCATTAGGGCTATTTCTTACAGGAAACAGGGTACCACCCATAGAACAGATCATTTGCTTAGCATTCAATTAAGGTCAGTTTTCCAGCACATTTTCAGGAGCCTCACCTCATTTTCCACAGAGGTAAGCTTAGCCTCGATGGCATGGCTCCTCCTCAACACTGTCTGGTTCTGTTCCTGTAAGTCCTGTAGCTCTCGTTGTTTCTGATCCTTCGTGACCTCCCAGTTCTCCTTGTCATCCTGGTATCGCCTGAAACAACCAAATTAATTTTGTTTCAAATATTACTTTAACTTTTACATTCCCACTGGATCACAAGTTCCCATTTCCTTATCATATTTATGTTCCCTAGAAGAAATCACAAGAAATGTTAAAGACATAAAACACCCCTACTCCCTTAAAAAAAAGAGTGACTCATTGTTTTCCAATTTTACAAACAGTAAAGTTGTCCTTGAACTTGACCCTGGAACAAGGAAACTCAAACTCATTTGAAATATGTTCATACTTGGGGCAGTGAATAGCACATTTGCCTTTTACCAATATGGCCAGGGTTTCACATGAAAAGGTGTGAGGTCATCTGCGTGACCAGGTACATTTTTCTCTCGGTACTCCGGCTTCCTCCAACATCAAGATCCTGAGTGTGCTTCTATCAGGGCCAATAATAATGATTAACATAGGTTGATAAGACAGGTTTCAAAACTGTTGTAAAATAAAGTGTGGTTTTTTATTTCCATACTCCACCTCGATATACAGTTTGATCAAAATCAATCAAGAAATAAAGTGCCTTAGAGCAATGTCACTGAATCAAGATGTCTTGTCAGGGATATGAGTACCACTTTACATAGTACATATTAATACTTGTATATCCCCCTCCCCCTTTATGCTGATTATTCTGCATCGATAAAAAGTGCAAAAAGAGATAATACCTTTCCAGTTCATTCCTGGCCTGTTCACTCTTCTCCAATTCCATAGCAGCCGAATGGAGTCTGTTTTTGGCTGACTCCAACTGGAAAACAGAACACAGGAAGAAATCAACGACTGAATTTCCCTTTCATATCACTAAAAGATAGGAAATAGACCCCAAAAAAACTGGTGTTAAATTGTAGCTCAGGAGTCTGATGGACAGGCTAACATCACACAAACAGTGACAAAATATCCATCAATATGTTAATATTATCACAGTCTTAGGCTGTATTTGGTCAAGTGTTTTTCATTTTTAACATAAAAGAGGGAGTCTACCACTGAAAAAGGGTGTACTTGTCTCATATGTACAAACCTGTGCCTCGCCTTTCTCCCTGGCAAGGCGTTCACGCTCCACCACACCATTGAGGACGTTGACCTCACTGCGACTGTTGCTGATCTGGAGGTTGTACTGGACTGTGGCGTGAGCCAGGGCATCCTCATTCAGCTTAATCTCAGTCTTCAGGTCCTCTATCTTATGCTGCAGCTCCTCATTCTCTGACGAAAGCAGGGCATTTTCGTCCTTGAACCTTGACCTCTGTCTGTCCAGCTCCATCTGAAGACAAGAACACATCATAAAGGTGAATGTTTCTGGGGCAGGAAATACCCAAACTATGCCAGAAACAAATGTGTCAGACTTAATAGGCTACTTAATTCAACAAGAACAAAAATAACAATTGCGCTTATATTTCCTACCTTTGCAGTTTTGTTAAGAAAACAATTTGCCCATTTTAACCTTTGCACATTTCTAAGAGGCAACAGTAACTAACTGTATCAAAATTGCAATTTGATGCACTTGTGGGTTAGTATTTTACCAAGTTAATCAAGCTGTCGATAAGTTGTACATGTTTCTCAAGGTAACTGATTAAGCATCATGGGGTACTAAGTTAGGACCACTGCTGACTAGAGAGACAAGGTCTTTGTGTAGCTGTGGAGATCACTCACCTTCATAGCACCAAGTTCTGCCCGAGCTTTTTCCAAGTGATCATGGGTGTACTTCCTGTCTTCATCGGCAACTTCAAAACGATTCTCAGCATCAGACTGCCAGGAAATACACAACACAGAATAAGTATTACAAAAGTATATGGACTCGATATTTAGTGAAATCCCTTATCATGATTCATGGGAATATGTTAACCATTTCATTTGTACCATCATGGCCATAACACTATGTTTACATTTGCGCTGCAACCCACTATATGAACATTACCAGCAGAAATGCATTTCATTTGAGTATGAAAGTACTTCTTCAAGTACAGATGTATATAAAAAAAAAATTACCAACGTGAAAATGTTCATGCCGGTATGAATGCAAATGGGTTACATCCATATTGCATGAAGCCTGCTAGGGCTGCATGTTTAATATTGATGTAACCGATTTGCGTTCACACTGGCATGAAAATTTAAAAACCGCCGTTCAATCCCTATATGCACTACTATCATAGATTCGGTATTGATTAGTGGTTAAATCGTAAACCTTTATGTGCAACCAGTCCGTAGTTACATTGACCAGTCTGATTTTATGTATGTCAAATGTTCTAGAGATTTATCATTGATCTAAGCTTTCATCAGTGATCTTTACACAACCCTCTGGTAAGTATTCAAATTTTACATGATATATCATAATTCCAATTTTGCCTTAATGTCTCATTAATTACCAAATAAAGTCCTTATAATAACCTATAATCAGTGACCTTGACCTGACAAACGACTGACCTTTTGAGTGGCAGCCTTGACCTGTTCTGTGTGTAGCTGGTGCTGCAGTTTATGTTGCTCCTCGTTAAGCTGTTCCTGTAGCTGACGGGCATTCTTTTCGTGTTGGTACTGACGAGTCAGGGTCTCCTTCTCATCCTCGAGCTAAAACACCAGTTCACAGTGTTATTATGTCACCAGTAGTATGTATAGTGACAGTGAAGGTAAAAACACCTATGTATATATACAGTCTTCATCATCAGTATGTGTAATGACAAGATAGGTTCCTAGACTAGCTACATTACCTATGACGTTGATTTAAATTGACTTCAGTCTCACCTGTTTCATGGCACTGGTGGCAGTTCTGATCTCCATCTGCAAGTTCCTGATCTGGAGCTCGGCCTTCTGGTGCCGTTCCATCTCACTGAAATGAACACCATGTATAACAACTGTTATTTAGACAATCTTGAAAATTTGCTCCTTTGGCATCCACACTGTTATAAACATTAACCTTCAAAGCAAGTACAGCACCTTAATCTCATCTTCTCCTTATAAAGGTCCAGCAAGTTGGAGTTCTCTATTTAATAGTCAGTAGCTTTAATCTTTTGTTACCAGACTTTATAAATCACAACACATTGACTTTAATACAAATACAATATGTAACAGCTACAAGCAATCATGTCGATACAGTACCATTCTCATATCAAATTTCAGCAAAAATCAAACGCATGAGACCCCAACTATTAAAAAGTTCTATGCGATATCTATATCATGGCACAACTAGGATCCAACTTTCAAAAAGGCTTGTATTGGCATTGATTGAGTCACAGAGAATAAGAGGTAAGACCTCTGGTACTGTTCCATTTAACTTACTACTGTAACATTCTATGCCTACTTTGTGTACTGTTCCATTTAACTTACTACTGTAACCTTCTATGCCTACTTTGTGTACTGTTCCTCCTTGCGGGACAGCTGCTCCTTTGTCTTGTTGAGGAGGATGTCAGCATTCTTCCTCATCTCGATCTCCTCGTTGAGGTTGTACTCCAGAGTCCTGATTCTCTGCTCCATGTCGAGCTTGGCCTGCTCCAGTGATGTACGTTGCTGGTTCAGTGTGTCTATCTTCCTGCAAGGACAGCGCAACAACATTTAGATTCCATATGACGATAGACGTACCAGGTATTTACCAATCTAAAGGTAGCACACAACAAATGCTATATTACCTACTGTTAAACTGATTAAAGCATGAATACTTACTTTTGCATTTCGTTGCGACCCTTGGACAGAGACTTATGTTTGCTCTCCATAGTGAGTCTCTGGTTGCGCTCCTGGTCCAGCATCTTCCTCTGGTCTCGCAGGTGGTCCTGTAGCTTTATCACAGTATTGGGATCTACAACAGGCGTTACACTATTATACCTTACAAAAGGGGACATCAAGCAGATCACAGGTAAATCAATGTTTATTCTGCAACTAACAGAAGAACATTGATGACAAGCACTTATCAAAACTTGCCTGGTCTTGGTCTGAAACTTTTGTATTTAAGCACTATTTATGAGGGATCATGCATACCCTGCATATATATACAAGTAGGGATAAATATCTCAAAGTTTCTGATGTAAAGTGACATTCTCAAGTTGTTTTTATCAGTCTTGACATTTAGAATTATTGTCAGTTATGAAAAGGTTGCAAGCAGAAGACTTAGAATGTGCTCACCACTGAGATTCATGTTGGCCAGGACGTCCTTGCCGTAGGGCAGGTTGGTGTTGGCATATGTTGAGCTGTCACCATTCTCTGTGGAGGTGAAAGATAGCATGTCGTCGTCGGGGAGGTCGAGACCTTTGTAGGGGGCGTAGCTGTAGGATGTTGGCAGATTCTTCAGGTACGTCCCCATGTCCGACCTATAAATAGGAGATGCAAATTCTTAATATGACAAATTTACTCCACCCTGACAAGTAGACTTAGAAAAGCACTACACACTAAAACAAGCAATCTTTGTATGACTTTTCTGCCATGTGGTAAAACAGGATTTAAATTTACATATACACAGAGTGTGTTACTTAACATCCAATGCTACACCTGACTCAAAATCCAGTACATTTAGAAAGAAGACAACTGACTTGACATCAAACAGGAATCAAAGCAAGAGTAAATGATAACTGATGTCAAGTGGCAAAACCAGTTTCCTAATAAAACATTCTGAAATGATTGTAGCAGATATGTTCTTAACCATTTTAAAGGATAATAGTTCTCAGGATGGTGTACTTATCAGAGTTTCGATGTTCATTTCAAAGGAAAACTCACCCAGTGTTTTACAAGAAATAAAAGTATTTCTGACCCCTTTATAAAAAAAATATTTAAAGTCTCTATTTTTTGAGGGTCAAAAGATATTTGAGGAGATCATACCCCCATGTTGACTGAAACTCTGTCACTGGCCCATGCAGACAAGTTTTTCCTTTCAAAATGAACTGGCAAACAGGAAAACTGAAAGTCTTGACCAGTAGGGCAATGGCTAAATTAACCTCTGTTATATATTAAACATGGAGCACATGACTGCAGTGCTACACAAGACCCCTGACTTGGATGTCCGTATTGTGCAAAATGCCCAACATGGAAAGTGTAACTTCTTGAGATACACGACTTACTCATCTTCGACTAAGTGTGTGACTTCCACCGTGTGAGGAGGGGGGCTGTACGCCCTCCGCACCAGCCGCTCCCGCACGGAAGGGGCGGGGAGGAGCCAACGCCGCCGAGAATAGAGTATAGGAGGAGGGTGGTACACATACACCATGGGTCTCCTGTAATACGTTCCATGGTACATGATCTTACAGCACTAAACCAAACATGTCTCGCTGTTAGTCAATAAGCTAAACATGTCCCATTTTAGTTCTCACTGTCACCAACCACGCAATAACTATCACATATTTACAGATCCAAAAGACATGATATCCTTCAAAGCTCATATGTTACAGTTCCATTGCAAGTCCTAGAAACCATTGTATGCTGCTCGGCCAACTAGACATGTTCCAGACACGATATCAGGCAGGTTATTTCATCACGACATCGTTCCTGACCAACGATACATTCCAACGCATCATCTTTCTCCATCCTGATTGTGACAACACAGATCACAGGGATGGTAGCTTACAGAGTGACGCTATGGCTGTAGATGGTACTTTACACAGCTATAGTTATAAATTAACGTACCAATCAGCTATTAACAACATCACACTGATCAATAGTGATTAGTTATGCTACAGGAATCCCAATCTGCAACATCACCAGTTAAAATCTACAAAACTTCTCTTTTCACCAAAAATCCATACAACTTTGAATAATTAATAGACAATTTGCATGGCAATATGATTTTAGAAGTCATTAACTGGAATATTTCATGCATCCCCTTGTTGACACACATTTGGTCCGATTGTAAAACAGGTTATACTTAACTAGTGCGGGCACAGGTGCTAATATCATTAAAGTATAATGGAATGTTTTTTCATGATGCTGAACAAATGAATGCGAGAATATAATACAGCTACTACATCAGTGCCTTAACTAAGATATAATCTAACTTGTATTTCGGGGTACAGATACCATTCCTTTCTAACACAAAGAATTAACAATAATTGTATACCGAATCTCTCGGTTCCCTATCGCAAATAAGAAATGTCTGGCAACGATCGCTTTTTTCATTTTTTAAAAGGTCACACAATTTTGTCACTTAAAAAAGAGTAAAAGATTGATGTTACACATTCACCGTTCACATATAATTTCTTAAACCTAGTAGTACATGTACCTATGGTATTATTTCAACCCTTTATATACAATCTGACAGTTTGTCTACACATTTCAATACATTGCTGCAATGTTTTCTTTGTATTTTTGTTGACATGTGCTATGCCAATATTGGAAAAGGCTAAATTGCTGCTGTATAATTAGGAATATTATAAATAGTACCATTAGACTTGTTCACCTGACCAATCACATTGTCTGTTTCAGATTATATATATAATACTATAATAACAATAGGCATTCCTTTGTCTTCCTACAATAGATTATTAGGACAGTTACTGCTCTGTTAATTATTATAGTATTGGTATTTTTAAGGATAATTTTTGATGTTCTGAATAGCACTCGGAGAATTTACTTTGTTATAAAATCAGGATAAATTATGGAAAACTAGTCTCCACCAATGTATATTCTCAACTCAACCTAAAAGTACTGATCACGTTCAGATTTAGTTATGTCAAAGAGTACACATACAGTCCCATGCCAAATTAGGATCAGAAGGTTTTTTCTTCTATATTTCATGCATTTTTATAGTTTTTCATTTAATTTTGATGAAGTCAATTGTAACACTATCCACAGGAGCCTGAAGTTCTGTCAATAATGAATAATAATAGTAATACAAAAAAAATACCAATTTTTTAAGCATATTATAGGTGGTTTTTTTTGTATTACTATTATTATTCATTATTGACAGAACTTCAGGCTCCTGTGCACTATCAAAACAAAAAAATCTAGCATGAAAGAGAAATCTGAAATTTTCTCTCAAAATATCTTTCATAATTTTCTAGTAAGCAGTTTTTGAGACATGACAAGATCATTTCTGAATTACTATAAAATGTTGGTAAGATAAAGCACAAAATAACATATCACAAATATTATAATATCCTTTGATTTGGCAGGGGACTGTACATTCTCAACACCTAGATGATTAAAAACATTTCCATCCATTTAGCCTGAGCACAATCAGAGTATATCAACACTTACCAGCAGCCTCCAGATAGCTGCTTCACTACCCGACCATACACATCTCCTGTGCAGTCGCCATCTTTCTTTCTCCACAAAAATGTGTACACATGTATCCATAGAAATGTTTGGGAAAAAGTATCAACAAGTTTGAATGGAAACAAATATTGATGACGTCACCAATTTTGAAGCACAAAGTTGATGACATCACTGATTGTGAGCTCCACAATTGATGACGTCATAGTAATTGTGACGTCATCAAAATGGTCAACAATTGATGATGACGTCACAATCCAACATAGGTGAGGTTCATTTGATGACAATAAAACAGAAGTTTGAGTACTTCTCTTGAAATGTTCATTTATAAAGGCTAGAACTGCCCAGTCAAACACTGTTGTAAATTATTTTTAACTATTAGATTCTGTGTCCTGATCTAGTACATAAACATCAAATGTACCCAATACATGACCATTTTGTTAAGCAGCAAAACTCAAGCAAGGTGGAAAACATTAAAATCTTCCATGCCAACAAAAAAATCCTGTTTCGATAGTGTTTAAAATAACACAAAGATCTAGTGACAGCAAGATACTTTTGTTTTATGTGTTGTAAATGTTCATAAGCTAGAAGGCCTACCTGTCCTGCTCCAGATCACTGTCCTCATCGTCCATGCTGTTGCCATCACTCTGCAGAGACATTTTGAGGCGCGTTGGGTTGATGGGAGAGGGTCGGGAGGTGGGGGATTTGTGCTGGGGGAGTGTTTCACTCCTTGTAGGAGGGGACACAGTGCTGAACTGGGGCGGGGGAGGATGTGCAGGGATCTCAGGGGGTTTGGTCGCCTCAGGTCTGCAGGAAAACAAAAACACATATACAAGTGATAAAAACCAACAAATAAGGAAGGGCTGCTGGAAAACACAAGTTAAAACATTAGTTTTGTGACTAGGCAACTTTTACCAATCAAGGCATATCCTATTGAACCAATATTTTGAAGGAGTCATGAATTTTAATATACAACAAAATTGTTTCTGGAAAATTTGTTCTGTAAACTGTTGTCTTTTAAATATTGTTTAAACCTTTAGCTGGTTTGATATTCATGTCTAGGTTTAAAGATTGATTACTTTTTTATGAATGTCCTCTAGTTCATACGGCCTCCAACAACAGAGTTATTCAATAAAATTCTACTGCCTTAAATCCCTTGTCAATTTCAGTGTTCTTTTGATTGATCCTAAGCTCAATTTAAGGTGGCTAAACAAGCAGACTTAGGTGTGTAAGACAGGACAGGAGAAATGGAAGATTCACCACATAACACTGACAGCTATGGGAATCTTATAACTATTTACCGAGGTATATATACACTGTTACTCTGCGGGGTGATCTCTCTTACCCCGTGTTTTACATTTAATAAGTGGTAGAAATATTAAGATACAACTGTCTTATAGTCACTAACAGAACACAAACACAAGTTGTTCCCGATATCCAAAAATGAAGCTCAGACTTGTAATATGTGACAACAATTAAACACACTCTTCATTTTATTTTTTTATACATTTTACTTACAAAGCAGTGTTACTATTTTAAGCATGAACAAGCAGGTATACTGATTATAAATTTTAAGTACAGGTTTGATCTAAGTAAATTATTTTTAACAGCATAAAATTATGACTTACACAATTATGTTAAATCTGCATTCAATTTCACTTTTCACATGTATTTTATGTCATGTATATGTATAATTATTAATCATTATCAATTTTAAACTCTGACATTTCATGGGCAAGAATACACAAAGCGTATAGTAATCATTGCATTACATACGATATTCGGTCATAGCTCAATTAAATCATTGATTTGGTTTATGAACATTTAAAGTACTTAAGTACAAAATATTGTTGGAATATTTAATGAGGTTTTCAATTACTGTTTGTGTTCAAAATAAACTTAGCATTTATTGAGGATTGTTGTTAATTATCTTACGTAATATATAAGGGTTTTGTTGAGATCTCCGTCCATTCAATTTTTCATTTCCCAGATCTAGTAATATGCTTTTTCTACCTAATCCAGCAAAATTTCAAGTTCATTAAAAATAATTGCATCTGATTTTTAAGTTTTGCAGTCCACTTTTTAAAACCATACTAATATTATAATCCTAAGATTTATAATACACAGGACAAGGTATTATATGTAATGATTATAGTGATCAAGATTACTGACGAAGGACATTTCTAAAGTTTAATTTGAGAAATTTCAAATCTTAAATCCTAATATTAAACCTCTGAATGTATTTAAAATTGAAAATCAAGGTGACAAAATGACAAGGTGAGTAATATTTAAATTTCTTAATTCACCGGTGCCATTTGGTATATAAGACGTCATGCTGCTGCGCACATTGACAAATATTTCAGTTGTAAACTTAGAAATCAAATTAACAAAACAAAATAACAGAAATGTGACTGAGCAAAACAACATGAAAATACGAAAGAAAACTAAATACAATGTTCAGTGTTTAGGTCAACATTAGAAAATATTTTCATCAAACAACTTTAGTCTCTACATTCATGGTTTAAAGCAAAGTTTCCATATACATTGTACATGTATTGATAACAATGATATATTCAACATTGCACTTAAACTGCAATAAAAAGCCCCGTCATCATTATTATCTGTAATATCACTAAATCTATCCCATGGTTAACCTATATATCTCTATAATCTGCATTCAGGCTGAGCTATAATCCCCGAGATGTCTGTATGTACTATATCTGAATCAGCATTCTTTGGTGGCTTGCTCACCTAACCTGGCAATCAAGGTGTCATTACAAAAGATATCATCCAAAATATATCCATGTATGCAAGGGATGTCCATGATGACACATTACAGCTAGCCAAATCACAAATCTCAGGATTTAATCACATCGAGTTATAAAGTGCTGCCTCTGCACTACTATAATGTACACCCTAGCATCTCCAAGGTTCAACAGTGTCTCAGACTGAGTTAACATTCAGTGGAACTCACTGATGCAGCCATATTTTTTGTAATATTACCATTATACTGTTCTGTCTTGAGATAAATATAACCAAAAAGCTGTTTAAATTCCAAGATGTCAAGTGCGTTCTTTATATATAACAAGTAAATAAATAACCAATAGACAAATTCTTCTCTCAGGGTATATTGATACACCCGTTAACCTTAACTTATACAAATGATCCCTGCTGACCAAATATTTCTAGACCAAGCTATAATAACAAATTAACAATAGAGCGATAGAATAGACAAACAGTCCCGTGTTACAACATAACAAGGACATGCCAGAGTAATTAGCCTAACACAAATACTGAATAGTACCTACCCCCAAACAGATGCTAAATATCCACCATTATTCCAGAAAGCTGACAACTGTACACTTAAGTCAATTAAGCGCAGTGCAATCAGTGATAGGACTTGGACTGATAAGGCGGAGACTTTTCTCAGGTAACACCCCGCTGTGTTTATCTATGGGCTGTGTGTATGACCAATGAACCAGACGAGATCAGAGTTAATCCCTGGTTGTACCGTCCATTGTACCTACATACACGTCACAAGTGACAGCATGTTTTGTAGTAGATATGTATTATATATAGGGCTGATAGCACTTGACACTTTATTCAATCATTACTGAAGTTCTCTGGACACTCAAAGGATGGACTAGCTGTATCCTACAGACCTTCAAACCATATGATAAAAAAAGTATTGCAAGTTATGAAAATCAGAGATTCTGGAATTCTTTTGATCTGCATGCATGATCAATACACCTCCATATCTTCATCCAGTAAAATTGTGTTGATTTGAGAAATCATATTTTATTATTCAACATCTTACCAAACTTTTTATAAACCTGGTTCCATCTATCTTGCATTGGGTCTGTTTTTCTGTTTAAAGTGAGATACAATATTGAAGTTCTTTTTTTTTTGCATCATAACAGCAGCAGATATAGCATGGTCTACAACAGGACAACAACTATTACTATTGTAGCGGGACTTAGTCGAGTGACGGCTGCTTGTAACATGGAACTCAACTAGTTAGAGCTTCTGTCCAGAGTTTGAAGGTCCCGGGTTTGAATCCGAGTCTGACCCAAAAGCACTTTCCCTATCCTATTACATAGGTACCTGTGACCAAGCATTGTTTCAAGTAGTGTGTGAGCTTGGCAAGGGAATACTGAACCTGGGATGGAAATAGTGTTGTCTTTAGGGGCTAAGATTTAGGGAAAACGAAGGAGGTGTGTAGCTAGACTAAGCCAAGTGACTGCCAGCTCAATCGGTTAAAGTGTCTGTCAAGAATTGGAGGTCCCAGGTTTGAATCCCTGTAGGACACCATTTCGTCTTACCTCTTTTGTTATACTATGATATAAAACACAAACTCAATGCCTGCCCTATAACAATTAAGTCTTTTACAAAACAAGTTGTAGAAATTGCTTATTTTGCAATTCATAGAGATATTCATCAGAAGAAAAGGAAATTAAAGCTCTTGTATTGAGTTGATAGGTCAGATAAGACAAACCACTCTTTACACTAAAACACTTGCAGAATTTTGTCAGTCCCGACCGACAACATATGAAAAATGTACAAGGGGTGACCCAGTTTCCTTTACACTACACCCAGTACTAGCATATTTGTCCCTGTCGATTCTGACAACCCCTAGGTCCCACACCCACAGCCTGGGCTCTATTCCTGTACAAACTGTTGTGACAGCTGACCCGGTACGTATACCTGCCCCTCACTTGATATATCACCCTGCAATACCTGCTATATATATACCACAAGTATTGACACAGACCTGCACCGGTGAACCTCAATGAACACACGACCAATGAATGACAAACTCAAATATTTAATCTACCACTATATCTACTTTGACACAATGATGACACAAAAATCGTGAGATGTGTATCTTGAATCACCAGAAATAACAGGAGATAGACCTGATATCTGGTTGGCAAAGTATGATACGACTGATGTTGCTTCACCGCTTGTCTTGGTCGAACAAGCTGACCTGGAACTGTGTCAATGTTTACCGAACAAAATAATAGGTCACCATTGGAGCTGCTATGCAATAAGTGCACATAAAATGTACGAGCTGCTACAGCACTTCTGGTGAAATAATAAGTTACTGTACCTGCTTCAACTTTCAGCCTACACCCCACATGGCTGTTAATTTAGCTACATCAAAGGCAAACTCCTTGCTTGCAATTTCATTTGGATGAAAAATGTTTTTTTTCTGTGTTTAGATCATTGTAGGAAAAAAGCTATTCAAGTTATGGTCTGACACCTAACATGTCTATAAACGGTTGGACAGACATAGTGATTTCAGTACACACCATCAAACCTTGCTTACAGGGGTATATTATTGGGTTGCCATTACATAGTTGCTCCAACATTGCATCAAAGTAACAGTCACCATAAGAGTGCAAATGTAAGATGATTAAACATCACAGACAAAATGGGTCCTGATTACAGTATCAATGAAGATGCTGAAACATTACTGACAAACAGAAGAATACAATTTCAATGAATGGAGGAGATTCTCTAACAATGGTAAGATTGTAACCCTTGCAAATATTGGTAATTAAACAACAAACTTGGCATTGTTTGGATCTGGTGTAACATCATCAGAAGCAAGTTGAGTATATATATGTTATATGTATAACAAAGACTCTCTTGTACTGACCAATAGCCAAGTCCAGCATCAACTAATAAAAGCTATACACAAGCCATTTCCATCCTCAATACACAGCTTTGACATGGGAGTATTGGAAACTTAAAAGTTGACGTTGGTAAGCTGTGACCTTCACCTTTGATTGTATGATTATAAAAGACAATTGTCTGAACAACAAAGACAAGCAAAAAAACTTCATGACCATCATGCTCTTGTTCTGATGATTCAGGAAATTTTCAACACAACTTGATCTTCAGTGAACCAAGATTCCATTTACTATATAATATATATATATGAAAAGTGATTTTTTCACTATGCTTCAAATAAATGACCTTGACCTTTTTCACTTTCATCTTGAATTCTGCTGTCAAAAATATTAAGCATTAAGCAATAATTTCAGAATTTTTTAGAAAAGAATACAAATTGCTGATTTATGTATAATTGTTCTTTTTATGGAGATTGTTTAAAACAGTGTATCACATGTGGTCACTGACTAGTCATACATGTATTCATGATGAGATAATACTGACAACATCAGTGATCAGAATTATTTCCCTTGGGTCTAAATGCACACCCCTGTCAGCTGTGTGGTGTGACTATAGTGTAAATAATACAGGTCAAAGTGGCTACTGTTTTATTGGATACAGCCAAACAGTACCACTACCGCCAGTGAGGAGAAAGCATTGGTTATTTCCATCACCTTGCTACTTGTACAAATTTTCTTTCGAAAGTTGTCATTTCTACTAGTGAACATTGTACAATTAAAGAACCTGCTATTCAAAGAAGCAAGTTATTCAGCACCTAAGAAGAACCTTTAAAGGACCTGTCATCACTTACCTTCTGACTGATATCACCAGTGTCTGTTACAGAACATATTCCTACCAAGTTACAGACACATTTTCAAGGATGCATTGATCTTCTGATCATGTACACTGTTGGACACTTTATTTGCGATGAGCCTAATCATATATATACCATATAATTACCCCAACATTCAATCAGTGTTAGCCTATAGTGTCACTTACAATGTCTATATACAAACTCAGGCAGTGATAGTACCCAGTAATAACTCCATGCATGTCTCTCACATAATAGTTGCCTATCAATGACTTGTGTAAATTAACAGGTTAAGAACGTCTGAGACCGGGTAGACTGTAGTACAGTGTGAGTTAGACGTACCATTGTATTGTCGGCCGTGAATGAGCCGGTTCTACCAGCAGTGTCTGAAATAGAACCATCCCTCCATTGTAGTGAGTAACCAGTGATAGTTCCAACCCACCAAACACAAAAAACTGAATGAATTCCTTCAAATCAATTATGTATATGGCTATGCGATCAATAAGGCTACCTGCAATCTGTTACTAGAAGTCAAGTGCTTCCTCAGATAGCCAGTTTATCATAGCACGGCTATACATCACAGAGCCTTAACCAAAACTTTGGCAGCACCTCTTCCATTCTACAGGTAAACAGGCTCCTCTTCAGGTGCCATTCCACACTTACCTGAGTTGTATCCCAAAGATGACCAATTGAGGTAATGCCTTGATAGATAAGTTTCAAAAATATACCTGCGATCTTTAGGCATCTTCCATCACATCACTGGAATGCACCTTCATGTTTTGGTTTTGGCCCCTGCTGCTGAGGATAATCCAGACCTACCCCACTACTACCCTACTGGCTATGTGTAAGAGTGGGTATAGATCCAACTCCATACATAATAGATAGCCTATCCCCAGAGGTACCCACACCCATCTGTCAGGGTATATTCCTGTACAGCCACACCTGTAGCCTGCCTCCTTAACCTACACACAAGTCCATATATAGTTCCCCCACCACCATCCTACCCAGCCCTCATTAATTACCAAGAGTTTGTACATAAGATATCAACCATCAAATATACCATCTAGAACATTTCCTCACTAGCTGGCCAACTCATTTTACAGCAATCATTATTAGAAAATAATAAAAAGAACTGTCTTGAGATTGAAGAAGACATAGGGTTCTAGGGCTCACTGACATTGAGTTTGGAGAATGAATGGGAGTACAACATGACATGCCAACTCCGATATTTGTGATGCATACATCTATGAAGTTTTGTAAAAAACATCTTGAGGTGATCAGATGTTTAATACGATACCATTCAGTGAACTTCCATTACTTGACCTGTGGCACTTGCAAGGAATTTAACTTTGGGTTACAAAAGTACAGAAATTAGAGATTGAGTGAAAACTACTTCATTATGCAGTTAATATTGTTGCTCAAATCTCACTGTAAACACAGAAAATGTTCAAAGACAGATAAATCTTTCTTGTAGACTTGACTGTCATCATGATCCGTTTATACAATACATGAAGTTGTAAAGATTGACCTTGATAACTTTTAATACCATATTGCAATAAAAGCTGTGAAAGGTTTCGACTCCGTCACTCTAAATGTTTAAACAATCATTGACTTATAAATTATTACACTAACTCACATATGACAATAACTTGTACCAGAGTAGATTCCTAAACGTCAGCCACAAGCAGGCCAATTTTTGAAAATATAATTGGGAGTGATAAGTCATGGCTTCTGCTATAGACGACGAGGATGGAGATATTTTATGGTCCCTGAGCTTTAAGCAAACATCTTCAACTAAACTGTAAATATTTTAAATCACTTCAGTAAAGGAGAGTAATAACCTATTATCATGCTAAAAAGACCCACAGCCAAAACCAAACATTGTCCATAGTAAAACTATGAACTGTGTTCCCTTGATCACACATGTAACTGTATACCAGTAATATCAGGTGTGGCCCCTTGATCACACAGGTAACTGTATACCAGTAATATCAGGTGTGTCCCCTTGATAACACAAGTAACTGTATACCAGTAATATCAGGTGTGGCCCCTTGATCACACAGGTAACTGTAAACCAGTAATATCATATGTGGCCCCTTGATCACACAGGTAACTGTATATCAGTAATATCAGGTATGTCCCCTTGAACACACAGGTAACTGTATACCAGTAATATCATGTGTATCCCCTTGATCACACAGGTACCTGTATATCAGTAATATCAGGTATGACCCCTTGATCACACAGGTAACTGTATACCAGTAGTATCAGGTGTGGCCCCTTGATCACACAGGTAACTGTATACCAGTAATATCATGTGTATCCCCTTGATCACACAGGTCACTGTATATCAGTAATATCAGGTATGTCCCCTTGAACACACAGGTAACTGTATACCAGTAATATCATGTGTATCCCCTTGATCACACAGGTAACTGGATATCAGTAATATCAGGTATGTCCCCTTGATCACACAGGCAACTGTATATCAGTAATATCATGTGTGTCCCCTTGATCACACAGGTAACTGTATATCAGAAATATCAGGTATGTCCCCTTGATCACACAGGTAGTTAAGTGTATACCAGTAATATTAGTGTGTCCCCTTGATCACACAGGTTGTATATCAGTAATATCAGGTATGTCCCCTTGATCACACAGGTAATTGTATATCAGAAATATCAGGTATGTCCCCTTGATCACACAGGTAGTTAAGTGTATACCAGTAATATCATGTGTATCCCCTTGATCACACAGGTAACTGGATATCAGTAATATCATGTGTGTCCCCTTGATCACACAGGTAACTGTATATCAGAAATATCAGGTATGTCCCCTTGATCACACAGGTAGTTAAGTGTATACCAGTAATATTAGTGTGTCCCCTTGATCACACAGGTTGTATATCAGTAATATTAGGTATGTCCCCTTGATCACACAGGTAACTGTATGTCAGTAATATCATGTGTGTCCCCTTGATCACACAGGTAACTGTATACCAGTAATATCAGGTGTGGCCCCCTGATCACACAGGTAACTGTAAACCAGTAATATCATATGTGGCCCCTTGATCACACAGGTAACTGTATATCAGTAATATCAGGTATGTCCCCTTGATCACACAGGTAGTTAAGTGTATACCAGTAATATTAGTGTGTCCCCTTGATCACACAGGTTGTATATCAGTAATATTTAGCATGTCCCCTTGATCACACAGGTTGTATACCAGTAATATTTAGCGTGCCCCCTTGATCAAACAAGTCATTATATACCAGTATTTAATATCTTCTTCTGTTAATGTCAACCATTAGGAACAGCTACAACATCATTTAGTATACTTTGACCATTATCAACTTCTAACATGATCTGAGTATGAATTTGACCATGTGTTCACCATGTCAAAATTACATTAAATTTGTTCTTTATTCAGGGATGACATCATGGAACCTGGAGGTGATTGATCGATACCTAGTGACAATTTGTTTTGTTTCTGTTTTAAGGCTTTACAGCTCAAGACAAAAAAACTTATATATATGAAAAGGAAAATGGATAATAACGCAAATGAAATAACATCAAATCAGAAATGAAAATGTGAGCGAAGAAAATTCATACTACTACATTCAATCAAAAAAGCTTATATTTAATACATAGTCCTACTTTGTTTATGTATTGAATGGTTACTGGTATCCATCGTGACAACAGTACTTGACGTTTATAGTTTTACACTAGATGACACAGTTGGACAGCTATATAATGAGATAGAATTTACAGTTTAAAATGTTCAATTAATAATCCTATCTTTTTTTTTTTTAAACCCCATACAACAACTTTTTTATTTTAATAATTCTGTCCCCTAAACAAATCAATTGTTTTCTTTTCATTATATTTTATTTCCTTGGCTAGTAAGAAACAATTAGGTCCATTCTGATGGGTGATTGGCTTATTAATGTAACGGTTATCTCTCTTATATGGCTCTATTTGCAAACCTTTACTTGAGAATTTAGAGGAAAAAGTAACAAGAATTTGTAAATGTTGGGTGTTGTTTTCTGTTCCACAATGAATTAAGGGGTTTGTTTGGGATTAATTTCAAATTATTGATGTCACAATATAAGTAAAGGTTAGTTTTTAAGTAGAAGTTACAACATGAGTGAAGGTAGGTGTAGGTCACAATACAAGTGAGAATTGGTTGTCAACATCAAATTATGTCAAGGTTATGAGTATGTAAAAATGTACATACCCCTTCTGGCGAGCCATTTCCATGGCTGGGGTGGGTACTGGGGAGAAGCGGAGGCCAGGGGATTTCACTGCCCGTACTATCACCTCCTCCTCCACTTCCTTTGTGACTCCCTCCACCTTCTGGACATTCTTTGCCTCCTGTTTCTCCGGTACACCCCACTGAGAGGAGACCTGGTAGGTAGCAGTAGGAGTAACAGCAGGGCTAGTATGGGAGGTTGGCAGAGTCTCCTGTAAATAGTGATGTCACAATGGTACAGTGAAAGATGGTAAAAGCTACGTATCTTAAATACTAAAGTAACACAAAACATGGCATTATATGTCACAGTGAACTCATTCTCTAGCTTAATTTAATATTATTTCAAGAACAATTCCTGGAAATATATTCGCAGAATTACATTCTTTTAGCAAAATTGAAATTAAATTCTTTGAATACTAAATGAAGTAGATTATTTAACACAATATCATATTTATGATATTTTCATGGATTAATTTAACTTTACATTATTGCAAATAGCCAAACAGTTACAGAATACTTTGTGCAGTATACCAGACAATGGGGAAAAGAGTTCCTTAAACCCTGTCCAGTACAACTGACTACAGTACTAGAAAAAGCACACATCTATATGAACATGTACAGTCCACCTCTACCAAAATGTATTCCATATAACACACACACACATAACATTCTCATCAAATCTTGATGGAATGTGTTTTACAGTAGGTGATATAATTAACACATAGTCAAGTCTTGCTAATTCATGACCAGTTTTTCTAATAATCCAGGCAGTGTTTTAAAAGGCGGATATTTTTTTCAGAGCAAATTGTATAAAACATGTGTTGAAAATCTGGAAGTTTCTCTACTGTCCATTTTCATTTTGTCACTTTCAGCCTTAAGAAATTTCTGAGTAAACAATTTTAGTTTATAGCTGAAAAAAAGTCAGTTATATTGTTGAAATATTTTTAAATGGTTAAATAGGTGTACTAAGAGAAATAGTACTGCAGCCTCTCTAACTGGTCACATATGGATAAGAAATGATCAAAGGCAAGTTGTTATATGGTCTTTCACCAGACAGCTGATGGATGTTAATATCAGAATTGGATTTTTCTTTTAAGCAAAATAACTGAGATTACTCAGATGATAATGTCATTTTAAGCTATCAAAGAGTTACAGGCCTACTTTGAGGGGATACAATTGCACACTGGTACCCTAAAAACAAAATAAAACCACATTCTTCCAACTAAAAAGGTATATATAAGCAAGAGATTCAATAATAAAGCAAGGGTAAGATTTTGAAGATTATTTTTCAGCAAAGTAAAAGTATAGACAAGAGATTCTCTAGTAAAGTACTGGTCAAATTTCAAAGCAAAGCAAAGGTATGGCTGAAATATTTCAAAGCAAAGCAAAGGTATGGCTGAAATATTTCAAAGCAAAGCAAGGGTATGGTTGAAAGATATACTGGTAAAGCAAAGATACAGCTGTGTGACTTCCTTTTTGTGCAAGGTATGATTGAGATATTTCCTAATAAAGCAAGACTAAGGCTAAAAGATGTCCTAACTGGGCCAAGTATTGCAAGGCAATCCAGAGTTCTGCACCGGTAATGATTTCTATATTTAACAAACAATAAACTTATGTTAAACTTTTTCAAAAGTCAAAGGTCAAGTCATAGGTCACAGTGACCTAATTCTTGCACTCTGCACTCCCCCATCCGGAGATGTCCATGTACACTAAATCTGGTTACTCCAGGTGAAATAGTATAGAAGATATGCCCTGGACAAACATTTCAAAAGTGAAGGTCAATGGTCAAGTCATAATATGTCACAAGTAACCTAATTCTTGCCCTCCGCCATCCCAAATCCCAAGATGTCCTTGTACACCAAATCTGGTTACTCCAGGTGAAATAGTATAGAAGATACGGTAAACCTCCGGTCAGTTCGAATCGTCGGATAGTTCGAACACATATTTTTTTCAATAAAAACAATAATTTTCTAGCTAGTGATAGTTCAAACTCTGATTGACCCTATTTTGGATAGTCCGAACTTGTCAAATAAAAACGTAAAGTAAGATTTTTTTCGGCAAACTCCATTGACAGTTTGCGGCGATCGGCCCTGGAAAAATGCTATTACTTTGATCAACAGACACGTTTAGGGTAATGGGTTATATGTGTGAGCATAGCAGTACAGCTTTGACAGACAAACCATAAATATATGACACAGATTTTAGCGTTGATTCATTTTTTTTACATTGTTTGAAAAACACATCGTGCACGAGATAGCCAATTTCAACTTAGGCCCCGACAATGTATAAATAACATGCGATCAGTACAAACTGATGTCACGCTGTATGGCTATACGATAAGAAATCGCCCGTGTGTTGTCAAATACAGTGTTAACTAAGCATTTTGATCATTATATTGCGACCAGACATCCCTTAATTATTGCCAATCAAGGTATTACCTGTAAACGTGTGCCCTTACACCAGGTAGGGCAGGACACGATGTCGCGGTAGGAATCGGCCGCCCAGCCATGGTGAGTGACGTGATTAGCATTCATGTCAAAGTCCAAACAATCCACAGGTGTCCCAATTAGTGATGGGTAATTTTGAAGGTGTCAAATAAGTTTGGTAGGTATTAGGACTATATCACTTATAATGACATGTTGATGTTCTGACCTAATTTTACTAACACATACCGGTAGACCTATATTTACTGTACAGTAGCGCTTTGTAAAAGCAACAGGTTATGTAGACTGTGTTTTCAATTTATTAAACGGACCATTCATTACGAAATAATATATACAATAGTTTCTGATTCAAATAAAACCTAACCACGCAGAGACTCAATATTTAGGTCTCTGATACAAGCTAGGTAGTCTTAACTTTTGTGTCACAAATGAAACGTGTACTGTTCCGGGGCCTACACAAGGGCCTCTGCTTCGCAATAACGATCATAATTATCACGAAATGAAGAAAGTTTAATGATCAATTAACATTGAATTAAATAATATACTATCATTTTACCCATTTATAAATGTGCCATTGTTCTATGCCAGGCCGTCGTTGTTACGTATCGACCTTACATTGGATATATAGAGGTATACTCCGGTGAAGAAAATATGTCGGGTATATGTTTGTGACTTGATTTGCACTTTGCCAAAATTTTTGTTGATAGTTCGAACTCACGCTTATTTTCTGAAGCATAATTTTGTATAATCCGAACAGGTTCATAAATATTTATTTAATTTTGTTCGAACTGACCGAAGGTTTACCGTATGTCACACACAGTAAAGCAAGGATATGGCTGTGAATATTACTATTAAAACAAGACTATGGCTGAAATATTTCTCAATAAAGCCATGTTGTGCTTGAAAGATTTCCTGGTAAAGCTAGGGTATGGCTGAGATATTTACTATTCAAACAAGTTTATGTCTGAAAGATTTCTTAACTAGAGATTTTTTTTTGTGAACAAAAATGTATGTATCCCCTTTAATGATTTAAAAGTTACGGCCTGGACAAAATCATGTTAGAAGAACCAGAACCAGAAGAACCAGTACTAATACAATATGTCTCCCTTCATTCGAAGGGTAGACACAATAAAGCAAAATACAGCTGAAACATTTTTTGGTAAAGCAAAAATATGGCTGACAGATTTCCAAGCAAAGCAAAGGTATAGTTGAAAGATTATCTTGTAAAGCAAGGGTATCGCTGAAAGGTTTACTGTTAGAGCTAAGGTATAGTTGAGAGATTTCTTAATAAAGCAAGGGTACGTATAGATGCAGAATTTACTAGTAAAGCAAGGGTACGTATAGAAGTAGGATTGACTAGTAAAGCAAGGGTACGTATAGAAGTAGGATTGACTAGTAAAGCAAAAACATATGTAGTAACATGAGATTATATATATATATTGCAGAGATTTCCTGGTAAACCAAAGATTTCTCTGTACACCAAAAAATACTGTCCCAAAATTTAATAGTTATATACCTGGGGTAAATTTGCTAGCCACATTAAAAAAAAAAATTTCAACTGACCTTCAAAATAAGTCATTTAACAGATATTGAATGAGGTGTACTTGGCTTACATTTGACTACAGGAAATAGTAATAACTGAATGTTTTTACATCGAGTTTGGAAGTTCATACATGGATGTAAGTATGTTTTTAGTAATTACCATGCTAACAAGTCAGCATGCTGTCCGATATTGTTGTAGAGTGATTAAAATGGGCTATATATATATATAGGTATATGTGTATTCATAAATACGTCATACCTTTTTCTCATCCTTGAAAAATTTGTGAACACTCAAAAAGTTGCATGTCTTCAATTCCTGTGTGAGAAAGATTAGAGCCACAAACAGACAGTTAGTGATTTAAAGTGGAAACCAACAAAACAAGCCGGGTAATCAACCTAGGGCGCTGGGCCTCACTTGTATGAACTTTCTCAGCCCAGAAAAGTTGTCACCGAAATCACATGATTCAGAAATTACTGATTAATCCTCCTGTTTTCTACAATATTATACATAATCCATTCAACAACAGATTTTTTAAAAATAAACATGAGCTTTGCTCAAATATAAAATTCCATTTCAGCACGTTTTGTGTGGATTTGTGCGAGATTGCTCATACATGTGCGACCAGACACTCAAAATGACAATAGTTTGATGGAGAAAACATTTTAATTAAGAATGATAGTGACTTTAAAAGGTTTAAATCAAGGATTTGACATTTGACTAAATAATAGTAGAGCATGCACCTGAAAAAGTAAATTCCAAAATTCCTGATGCTCACCTGCATATCTATACTTACCACATTATATATAGTTATCACATAATGTACTGTGTTATCCATTGAATATACACATGTCATATTTTTTTGCATATGAACCCATGTGAAATGACCTATCAGCCTTGTGATTGTTTCAATTGTGACGTCTCGCCTAGGTCAATTACATGACGTCACAGACTTGCGCACTGGAGTCAAAATGGTTGCTTTTTACATTTCAAGATTGTATGAAAATTGTCGTTTTACACGAATAAATGCCACAAATTTTGATTATGTGATAAAAAGTATCTTACACTCTTTTTCATTTCATATGAAATTTATGAAACTCGTCACAAATATTTCATTTTAGCTCGCCAGAGACTGAGGCTCGCTAAATTGAAAAATTCTTCCGACTCATTCCATAAATCTCATATGAAATAGAAACTCATGTAAGATCCTATATATATAATTGGTTATTCAAAGATGTTATAATTCCTCTTTCTAATAAAAAGTAATGTCTGCAACTAAATATCCTTAAAAAATGTAGATTGGTTGGAGTATCACGTGATCAAACTAAACTCTAAAATTAGGGTAGTTTCAGCTCTGCCACTCCTAGCACAGATAGATCTACACCAGTACACCAGTATGTATAGTATGACTATAGTTCAGCTTTATCTGAAAAATGTTAATGTGGGGGGCGGGGAGGAAGATATGCCTGCCAGGAAACAAAAAGTGCAAACCTAGCATTGGTGCTAACTAGGAGAAGGATGAAATCTATTGTAAAGCTGTTCTAAATGTCTGCCTGATGGTACAGTCCACTTATGTTTGATCGTCAGTAGGAAGAAAGTTACTATTCTAATATTAGCAAATTTTCTTCAAATTGATAATATATTTTATACATTCATTAGGCCATCTTCTGAGGACGTAATCTTTTCCTTATTATTTTTCCTCAAAAATGGTTGGACTCGAAACTGTTGTCTGATGAAAACCTCAACAAACAGGATCATGCTGAAAAACTAGGCAATCATCCAAGATACACACAATGAAAGTATGGGAGTGAGGGAGAACTTACCCGTTTGGGGGAGGTCACAGTGGGGGCAGGTGCCAGGGCAGGGCTAACTTTTTTGTCATCTTCAACAAACTCCTCATCCGAACTCAGCTGTAAGACATGTCAAAAACGTTTAAATTCATCCCTGTAGTCTGATCAGTTGGCGTATCAACTGATGCTATCATTTATACACCATCACTATATTGTAAAGTATTAACTTAAATACCTAATGAAAGTTATAGCTGTAGATAATATAATTAGTATGTCATTGACTATACAGTGGGTGGATTTCCACAAAATTGATTGTCTGTGAATATGTTATGGTAGTTTACAGTGACATTTCAGTCTAGCGACATCAAACAACAAAATCCAGTCGTTTATTTCTTGGAGTACATACATCATCTAGTTGTTGTAGGTATTCCTGCCTCCTTTCAGCCTCCTGGTTGAGGCGGAGCTGTTTGAGCTGGTGTAGATCTATCTGTGTATGTTCCACCTCTCTCACTGGAGAGGTTCTCTCCCTCTGCAGGGCCTCTGCGGCTGCTTTCTCCTCCTCTTCCTGAATCCTTCTTTCTTCCTCTTCTTCTTCCTGTCTTAATTGTTCCTCTAGCTCTTCCTCCTCCAGCTTCATCTCAAACTCCTCCTCCTCTTGCTCTGCCAGCTTCCTCTGATGCTCCTGTCGTCTCCTCTCTTCCTCCTCCCATTCCAGTTGTCTCTGTCTTTCTTCTTCCTTCATTCGCTCCTCCTCTTCCTCCAATCTCTGACGCTCTTCCTGTAATTGATCACAGATTCAACAATTTCCTTAAAAATTGTTTTTGAACAGGATATTTTAAAGAGCACGAAATAAACGGCCAATGATTTATTTGGTTTGTTCAAATTTAACCCCACATTCAGAATCCTGTTTCCAGATATGACTCTCATGTGTAAAATCTTTTTAACAAGAGATTGATACCAAACATAAAGTGATCACTGGTAAGGTATAGTATACTTACTTTAACAATAAAATATTAATTATGACCTGACTTTACAATGACTGAGGTAATGATCTGTAGATTAGGATTCCTACCTTTTGCCTCTGTCGCTCTATTTCCCATTCACTGATTTCCTCGGTTTCCTCCTCGTCCGAGTCCTCTTGTAGATGGTGGCCTGCTCGGGGAGAGATGGGATTGTCAGGCAGGGGATGGGCCTGTTCCTGCACAGGTGTTTTGTTGTTCTCCTCGTCTGACATGATTTCCTCCTACAAACCAGTGCAGCAAAATTATAACTTCACAACAGCTAAAAAAAGTTATAATGACAAATAATGATTTCAGAATACAGCATACAGCTTAGCACATAATACTGACATGGTATGTGTACAGTACAGCATACTGCTCTGCACATAATACTGACATGGTATGGGTACAGTACAGCATACTGCTCAGCACATAATAATGACATGGTATGTGTATAGTACAGCATACTGCTCAGCCCATAATACTGACATGGTATGTGTACAGTACAGCATACTGCTCAGCACATAATACTGACATGGTATGTGTACAGTACAGCATACTGCTCAGCACATAATACTGACATGGTATGTGTACAGTACAGCATACTGCTCAGCACATAATACTGACATGGTATGTGTACAGTACAGCATACTGCTCAGCACATAATACTGACATGGTATGTGTACAGTACAGCATACTGCTCAGCACATAATACTGACATGGTATGTGTACAGTACAGCATACTGCTCAGCACATAATACTGACATGGTATGTGTACAGTACAGCATACTGCTCAGCACATAATACTGACATGGTATGTGTACAGTACAGCATACTGCTCAGCACATAATACTGACATGGTATGTGTACAGTACAGCATACTGCTCAGCACATAATACTGACATGGTATGTGTACAGTACAGCATACTGCTCAGCACATAATACTGACATGGTATGTGTACAGTACAGCATACTGCTCAGCACATAATACTGACATGGTATGTGTACAGTACAGCATACTGCTCAGCACATAATACTGACATGGTATGTGTACAGTACAGCATACTGCTCAGCACATAATACTGACATGGTATGTGTACAGTACAGCATACTGCTCAGCACATAATACTGACATGGTATGTGTACAGTACAGCATACTGCTCAGCACATAATACTGACATGGTATGTGTACAGTACAGCATACTGCTCAGCACATAATACTGACATGGTATGTGTACAGTACAGCATACTGCTCAGCACATAATACTGACATGGTATGTGTACAGTACAGCATACTGCTCAGCACATAATACTGACATGGTATGTGTACAGTACAGCATACTGCTCAGCACATAATACTGACATGGTATGTGTACAGTACAGCATACTGCTCAGCACATAATACTGACATGGTATGTGTACAGTACAGCATACTGCTCAGCACATAATACTGACATGGTATGTGTACAGTACAGCATACTGCTCAGCACATAATACTGACATGGTATGTGTACAGTACAGCATACTGCTCAGCACATAATACTGACATGGTATGTGTACAGTACAGCATACTGCTCAGCACATAATACTGACATGGTATGTGTACAGTACAGCATACTGCTCAGCACATAATACTGACATGGTATGTGTACAGTACAGCATACTGCTCAGCACATAATACTGACATGGTATGTGTACAGTACAGCATACTGCTCAGCACATAATACTGACATGGTATGTGTACAGTACAGCATACTGCTCAGCACATAATACTGACATGGTATGTGTACAGTACAGCATACTGCTCAGCACATAATACTGACATGGTATGTGTACAGTACAGCATACTGCTCAGCACATAATACTGACATGGTATGTGTACAGTACAGCATACTGCTCAGCACATAATACTGACATGGTATGTGTACAGTACAGCATACTGCTCAGCACATAATACTGACATGGTATGTGTACAGTACAGCATACTGCTCAGCACATAATACTGACATGGTATGTGTACAGTACAGCATACTGCTCAGCACATAATACTGACATGGTATGTGTACAGTACAGCATACTGCTCAGCACATAATACTGACATGGTATGTGTACAGTACAGCATACTGCTCAGCACATAATACTGACATGGTATGTGTACAGTACAGCATACTGCTCAGCACATAATACTGACATGGTATGTGTACAGTACAGCATACTGCTCAGCACATAATACTGACATGGTATGTGTACAGTACAGCATACTGCTCAGCACATAATACTGACATGGTATGTGTACAGTACAGCATACTGCTCAGCACATAATACTGACATGGTATGTGTACAGTACAGCATACTGCTCAGCACATAATACTGACATGGTATGTGTACAGTACAGCATACTGCTCAGCACATAATACTGACATGGTATGTGTACAGTACAGCATACTGCTCAGCACATAATACTGACATGGTATGTGTACAGTACAGCATACTGCTCAGCACATAATACTGACATGGTATGTGTACAGTACAGCATACTGCTCAGCACATAATACTGACATGGTATGTGTACAGTACAGCATACTGCTCAGCACATAATACTGACATGGTATGTGTACAGTACAGCATACTGCTCAGCACATAATACTGACATGGTATGTGTACAGTACAGCATACTGCTCAGCACATAATACTGACATGGTATGTGTACAGTACAGCATACTGCTCAGCACATAATACTGACATGGTATGTGTACAGTACAGCATACTGCTCAGCACATAATACTGACATGGTATGTGTACAGTACAGCATACTGCTCAGCACATAATACTGACATGGTATGTGTACAGTACAGCATACTGCTCAGCACATAATACTGACATGGTATGTGTACAGTACAGCATACTGCTCAGCACATAATACTGACATGGTATGTGTACAGTACAGCATACTGCTCAGCACATAATACTGACATGGTATGTGTACAGTACAGCATACTGCTCAGCACATAATACTGACATGGTATGTGTACAGTACAGCATACTGCTCAGCACATAATACTGACATGGTATGTGTACAGTACAGCATACTGCTCAGCACATAATACTGACATGGTATGTGTACAGTACAGCATACTGCTCAGCACATAATACTGACATGGTATGTGTACAGTACAGCATACTGCTCAGCACATAATACTGACATGGTATGTGTACAGTACAGCATACTGCTCAGCACATAATACTGACATGGTATGTGTACAGTACAGCATACTGCTCAGCACATAATACTGACATGGTATGTGTACAGTACAGCATACTGCTCAGCACATAATACTGACATGGTATGTGTACAGTACAGCATACTGCTCAGCACATAATACTGACATGGTATGTGTACAGTACAGCATACTGCTCAGCACATAATACTGACATGGTATGTGTACAGTACAGCATACTGCTCAGCACATAATACTGACATGGTATGTGTACAGTACAGCATACTGCTCAGCACATAATACTGACATGGTATGTGTACAGTACAGCATACTGCTCAGCACATAATACTGACATGGTATGTGTACAGTACAGCATACTGCTCAGCACATAATACTGACATGGTATGTGTACAGTACAGCATACTGCTCAGCACATAATACTGACATGGTATGTGTACAGTACAGCATACTGCTCAGCACATAATACTGACATGGTATGTGTACAGTACAGCATACTGCTCAGCACATAATACTGACATGGTATGTGTACAGTACAGCATACTGCTCAGCACATAATACTGACATGGTATGTGTACAGTACAGCATACTGCTCAGCACATAATACTGACATGGTATGTGTACAGTACAGCATACTGCTCAGCACATAATACTGACATGGTATGTGTACAGTACAGCATACTGCTCAGCACATAATACTGACATGGTATGTGTACAGTACAGCATACTGCTCAGCACATAATACTGACATGGTATGTGTACAGTACAGCATACTGCTCAGCACATAATACTGACATGGTATGTGTACAGTACAGCATACTGCTCAGCACATAATACTGACATGGTATGTGTACAGTACAGCATACTGCTCAGCACATAATACTGACATGGTATGTGTACAGTACAGCATACTGCTCAGCACATAATACTGACATGGTATGTGTACAGTACAGCATACTGCTCAGCACATAATACTGACATGGTATGTGTACAGTACAGCATACTGCTCAGCACATAATACTGACATGGTATGTGTACAGTACAGCATACTGCTCAGCACATAATACTGACATGGTATGTGTACAGTACAGCATACTGCTCAGCACATAATACTGACATGGTATGTGTACAGTACAGCATACTGCTCAGCACATAATACTGACATGGTATGTGTACAGTACAGCATACTGCTCAGCACATAATACTGACATGGTATGTGTACAGTACAGCATACTGCTCAGCACATAATACTGACATGGTATGTGTACAGTACAGCATACTGCTCAGCACATAATACTGACATGGTATGTGTACAGTACAGCATACTGCTCAGCACATAATACTGACATGGTATGTGTACAGTACAGCATACTGCTCAGCACATAATACTGACATGGTATGTGTACAGTACAGCATACTGCTCAGCACATAATACTGACATGGTATGTGTACAGTACAGCATACTGCTCAGCACATAATACTGACATGGTATGTGTACAGTACAGCATACTGCTCAGCACATAATACTGACATGGTATGTGTACAGTACAGCATACTGCTCAGCACATAATACTGACATGGTATGTGTACAGTACAGCATACTGCTCAGCACATAATACTGACATGGTATGTGTACAGTACAGCATACTGCTCAGCACATAATACTGACATGGTATGTGTACAGTACAGCATACTGCTCAGCACATAATACTGACATGGTATGTGTACAGTACAGCATACTGCTCAGCACATAATACTGACATGGTATGTGTACAGTACAGCATACTGCTCAGCACATAATACTGACATGGTATGTGTACAGTACAGCATACTGCTCAGCACATAATACTGACATGGTATGTGTACAGTACAGCATACTGCTCAGCACATAATACTGACATGGTATGTGTACAGTACAGCATACTGCTCAGCACATAATACTGACATGGTATGTGTACAGTACAGCATACTGCTCAGCACATAATACTGACATGGTATGTGTACAGTACAGCATACTGCTCAGCACATAATACTGACATGGTATGTGTACAGTACAGCATACTGCTCAGCACATAATACTGACATGGTATGTGTACAGTACAGCATACTGCTCAGCACATAATACTGACATGGTATGTGTACAGTACAGCATACTGCTCAGCACATAATACTGACATGGTATGTGTACAGTACAGCATACTGCTCAGCACATAATACTGACATGGTATGTGTACAGTACAGCATACTGCTCAGCACATAATACTGACATGGTATGTGTACAGTACAGCATACTGCTCAGCACATAATACTGACATGGTATGTGTACAGTACAGCATACTGCTCAGCACATAATACTGACATGGTATGTGTACAGTACAGCATACTGCTCAGCACATAATACTGACATGGTATGTGTACAGTACAGCATACTGCTCAGCACATAATACTGACATGGTATGTGTACAGTACAGCATACTGCTCAGCACATAATACTGACATGGTATGTGTACAGTACAGCATACTGCTCAGCACATAATACTGACATGGTATGTGTACAGTACAGCATACTGCTCAGCACATAATACTGACATGGTATGTGTACAGTACAGCATACTGCTCAGCACATAATACTGACATGGTATGTGTACAGTACAGCATACTGCTCAGCACATAATACTGACATGGTATGTGTACAGTACAGCATACTGCTCAGCACATAATACTGACATGGTATGTGTACAGTACAGCATACTGCTCAGCACATAATACTGACATGGTATGTGTACAGTACAGCATACTGCTCAGCACATAATACTGACATGGTATGTGTACAGTACAGCATACTGCTCAGCACATAATACTGACATGGTATGTGTACAGTACAGCATACTGCTCAGCACATAATACTGACATGGTATGTGTACAGTACAGCATACTGCTCAGCACATAATACTGACATGGTATGTGTACAGTACAGCATACTGCTCAGCACATAATACTGACATGGTATGTGTACAGTACAGCATACTGCTCAGCACATAATACTGACATGGTATGTGTACAGTACAGCATACTGCTCAGCACATAATACTGACATGGTATGTGTACAGTACAGCATACTGCTCAGCACATAATACTGACATGGTATGTGTACAGTACAGCATACTGCTCAGCACATAATACTGACATGGTATGGGTACAGTACAGCATACTGCTCAGCACATAATACTGACATGGTATGGGTACAGTACAGCATACTGCTCAGCACATAATACTGACATGGTATGGGTACAGTACAGCATACTGCTCAGCACATAATACTGACATGGTATGGGTACAGTACAGCATACTGCTCAGCACATAATACTGACATGGTATGGGTACAGTACAGCATACTGCTCAGCACATAATACTGACATGGTATGGGTACAGTACAGCATACTGCTCAGCACATAATACTGACATGGTATGGGTACAGTACAGCATACTGCTCAGCACATAATACTGACATGGTATGGGTACAGTACAGCATACTGCTCAGCACATAATACTGACATGGTATGGGTACAGTACAGCATACTGCTCAGCACATAATACTGACATGGTATGGGTACAGTACAGCATACTGCTCAGCACATAATACTGACATGGTATGGGTACAGTACAGCATACTGCTTAACAAAAAAATACTGACAGAGTAAGTATACAAAATCATGACACACAATGTAGATCATGTTTGTGTTTTAACACTGCATATATGTTACATTCAATATTGGCACAGAACAAAGACAGGGTACATGAATGTGTACAGCACAGCTGTCTACTGCTCTGAAGTGCATAATTTTGCACTTTTACATTATGCCCAAGAACTAAGGCTGCTGACATCACAAACAAGTTAATAAAGTCTCTACAACTCTGGCTATCCAAAACGTTTGTATATACTACAGTTAGGTATAGTGTTAGGTGTGACAATTTGGTACACTACCTCTGAATCCCAGTCAGAGTTATCATCTTGATCCTTGTTTTGTCCCGCTCCCTGTAAGTTCTCGCGAACAGTTTCTGGTTTAGACCCGGAGGTGCCAGCTGATTGGTTGCTGTCCACTGTTCCCACGGATACAGCATCCAGTGCAGCAGCCTCTTGTATGGCTGCATTGACCGTCTCTAAGGGAACCTCCTCCACATAGTCCACTGCTTCAACGTCATCCTCATCATCCTCGTCACCACGGGGAAGGTAGTTGGCTACAGTCTGAGGAAACATGCAAAGCAGATGTAATTTATCATTTAAGAAAGAGAATAATTACAAGCATGCTTATTTGTATGGCAGGCTCTTCCTTCGTTTATAAACCCAATGCTATACCACACTAATATACTTTTGATTATACAGATACATATCTCAACCTTTCATATGGAAAACATACATTTCTAATTCTCTTCAATGACAAAATTACAACATTTTTTCAAACAATTGACAGAAAGCACTGACTGAGTAATATTGATATACCTGGGCTATTACAGGGTTTCTAGGTGTGGTGACATCAGCTGACGAGTCCCAGTTACTGCCCTACAACAACACATACAAATTACAGTACAAACCAAAACTGTGTAGGTAACCTGCACAGACAGTCTTATATGTTCAATTTGCTGATTTACACAGTGATCACCATTAGAAAAATTGTCAAATCAATACAGTGTTAATTCAGTTTCATTTATCATGAATCTTAGACTCTTCCATGTCAAGATCAGTTTACATTGATCATTTATTTCTATTATAACAATGATGATGCCATCAGCTTTTGTTCTCAATCAACAATACATTGACAAATAGAGATATAGCGATAAGATAGCACACAATAGTATACACACCAAGCTAAACATTGATAAAATTATAATACTGTTCTTAAAACAAACAGCATAATATTCATACAAATAATTACATATACACAAACTATGCAAATAAATTACTGTTTAGTAAATGTACACACTATATAACTGTAAACATACTTAGTATCAAATACAAAGTCTGAACCTTGGGCTGTTCTAGAAATAAACCTTACAAATGCTAAAAAATATTTTAGACCCAAAAACTCATATTATATCAATTACAAATGCCTCCCTGCCTCCGCCCCTCAAATTAAATTGTATCTAAAACAGTCCATATCATTGACATGGTCCACTATATTCAATGTACAGGTATGTACTATACCAAGTCTAATGCTTTGTGTTCAAAACTTCAAATATATTTATCTTTAACATAAAAAATGTCAAATGTCTTCCTTACCATAATCATTTATCAAAGATAGTTCTAACACAAGTATATTTACAGTTAACTATTAACATAATTAATGAAATGTTAAAAAGATTTTACAAGATAAAAGCAAAAACAAAGAGAATGCTTGGAAAATCATTAGTGACATTTCTAGATCAACATTTATGTGTAATCAAAAATGTGCCGTTTGAGTCTGAGACAAATGGAGCCCACCTTCTGCCAAGGTAAAAAAGAAAACTTGTCCAGGTAAACCTGAAAGTGTGTGTAAATAACATGTTGTTAAAGGAATCTTTGTGAAAGTATCTAATGAGTGTGTTCTTATCTAAAACGAAACAAAGTTTTGTGAATTCCAACAGAGAACTACATAGAGTAAAACTCTAAACTCTTACGTGGTGTAATCTACAAGTTGCGGGAGACTGTGTGGAAGTGTATCATTATGTGTGATAACTACGACTCTACAAGCCAACATTTTAACAAGTTCACACATTCACGCAGTCAGTGGATTCACATTTTAGAAGCAAGATACCAAAGGTGCTGAAAAGAAATGTTACGTGTCTTAGACACGGCACACGGTGATAGGGTGGGACAGTGGGTGAGGACAGATCTACAAACAAGGCACCTCATCCTCGTCTGACCGCAGCATCTCCAGTGTATCAGCAGACGCACTGCGCAGCATCGCTTGGACCTGGCTCTCCGCACGGGAGGAGCACATGCGCGAGGAGCCAGAGTGTTCCTCCACAGCTAAAACGCGTGCCACCTCTTGGTCCGTCATCTCATCATCATCAATGTCATCATCAGGACCCTGTACTAGGTCGACTAAAGACCTTTGCTTGACTTCCTCCTCAGCCTCTACTTCCTCCATATCTTCATTTGTCTCCTCCATTTCTATGTCAGACTCCAGTGGTCCAGAACCTTCTTGTTCTGCCCCATTGCTGTAATCTTCCCTATCCTCGTCTGAGCTCTCTATATATTCCATGTGTCTGGGAGAATCACCAGTCTTCAACAAAACACCATCCCTCCTGACCTCTAAAACATCCTCTTCATCACTAACAACTTCCTCCTCTCTCTGGCTATCCACATCAGGACTTCCAGAGGTATTTTGATCCTCTATGACATGTCCGTGTGTTTGTTCCTGGATGTCTTCCCCTTCCTGTTTCTGTGACGGCTGTGGTTCCACCACAGTGTCTAACTCCTACACCAATCACCAATACATGTCAAAATTTTAGTTTTATCATTAGCCTCAAGTGGCCAGCTCTTTACTCAATCTACAATTACTACAGGCTATAAAGCAGCTTATGTTAGATTTAAAGTTATAAAGCATTAATTTTCTTTTTTGTTTGTATAAATGTGACTACTTCTACAGGCATGCTCTACTTGTGTATCCTTCGTTACAGATCTCGGTCAATAATCAATCTGTCTAGTATCTGTATGTAATAGCTTACTTAATTAATTACATGAAAAGGTCCATGTCAGTGAAATTGTAACCGGGTACACCTTTATTTACGTTAACAGTCCCTGATATGGTCTGACTGAATGACATCAGTGTTATGGATTACTGTTAGCTTTATGGTCCGTCAGGTACAAGATCTAAGATTACAGCTAACCTCATCCATGGCCATTTATAAAAACAAAGAAAACTGCCTTCTCCAATCCAAGATTATTTGTCAAAGTCTGTCTAATCCAAGATAATTTGCTCAAGTCTGTCCAATCCATAATAATTTGTTCAAGTCTGTCCTATAAAAGATCATTTGTTCAAGTCTGTCCATTCAAAGATAATTTGTTCAAGTCTGTCCTATAAAAGATTATCTGTTCAAGTCTGTCTAATCCAAGATATTTTGTTCAAGTCTGTCTAATCCAAGATAATTTGTTCAACTCTGTCCAATCCAAGATAATTTGGACATCATCAGTTTCTTTCTGATCAAAGTCATAAGGTACGCCAATTCAATGTAAAATTGTTATAAACTAATCCAAGGTCTGTCCTTGACAGCAACATATATAAGCTTTCTAAGGTAATGTTACATTTTACCTCGTTTCCAGATATAGATTTTTCAGGGTCCAATTCATTTTCCAAATCGCTGTCCCACTCCGAGACCTGTGGATATTGTTAGAACACTCAACTTTATCAATTTCCACGAGACTGGAGAAACCCACCTTTGGGTATCAATTTCCACCAGACTGGAGAAACCCACCTTTGGGTATTTCATTTAAATAAAAAAATCTCCATTAAAAGAAAAATAATGAAAAAGGTAAAAAAAAAAAAAAAAAAAAAGGAAATTTAAGCATCGCAAAGAAAAATGTTTGTCAAGTAACCATAGCTTAGCAGTAAAGATAGCTGAAAGGACAATGCATACTAGATTTTTATTGTTAACACTTTTAAATGCGCTCATCAAAGTAGAGTATAAAGAATTTGGTAAGATGTTATAAAATCTAGTGCACAATAGCTAATTGGATAGCCAACAAAACACAACATGGTCACATAGTCACAACTAAAACAACTACATACTAATATGTACTAGACATTACAAATTTTAAAGTATCAGTAACAGAATTTTTGTGCAAAAGTATATTCAATACTTTGAACATTTTTCTATTTTTTTTCTTATAGATATAATTTAACTGACATTTCTTTTCTGAAATTCAAAGTAAAATACTGAAGCACTAGCAAATAATTGAATTAATTACTGCAACAAATTGTTCACTTATCCATTTTATATGTGCAAGAAATTGTTACAAAAATAACATTGGAATATACCTGGTAATATATTGATTTACTATCTAGCTATTAGGCGATGCACTAGGTAGCTAACATTGAGTGCCCGGTGTACTTACATCATCGGACCTCTGTGACAACTGTGCCTTGTTCTGCTCAACCTGTTCTTTACTGTGCTGTGTAGGTCGAAACAGTTTTTATTTATTAACCCCGATTATCTAATATATTTGCATCAATATACTTGAAATAATAGGTAAAAAAATATCACTGTTATATCAAATTAAATTGGGGTTTTTTCCTCGACTTCTGCCCTTGAATGACAGGGCAAATTCAACATGGACAAAATGGCAAAAACATTACTCTTTACAGAAATTGTTAGCCAAGGTTTTCTTTAAAATTACTTTCTTCAGAGCAGAACTTGATTGAACCTAATATTCATTTGCATTATAGAGACTTGTAAGCACCAAGTCTGACCAATTTACTTACTATCTATATGTAATCTAGTTTAAGATTCTAACCTGTTTCCAATTTTTCAAGATTCCTGGACGAGGAGTGAGGTGTTCTGAGTTAGCCATGGAATCAGGTTCCCCCTCCTCGTCGTCCTCCTCCTCCTCCACCTCCGCCTGTTTCACAGGTGTGGCCTTCACCTGCTGATGAGTCGTGACTTTGTTGTCCATCAGATGGTCTGACACCTCGCTGGGGAACTCCACGTCATCCTCACTGTCTGTCTCCGACACGTCACTCAGACCCAGGTCCTGCATCAGGGCTACCAATAATAGGAAAACTTCAATTAGACTCAGGGCCTCAATTAGCTGGTACAAACAACTTTAAAGTAATAAATCCTCAATAATGTAATCCCATGTCTCAATAACAATAGCTTACAAAATGCATCAACTCAATAAAAAAATGAAATGAAAAATAATTACAGATGCATAGCTAACTGAACTGCTGATGAAAAGTGTTCACTTAGCAAATTTGCTTTTCAGAAAACAAGTTAGGTGTACTGAGGAAACCATTTAATAAAATATGATTAATCCTTTGAAAATAGTTCCAATTTATACAAACGTTTAACTCCTGTTAATAAAACAGAATCAATACACTACCAAACAATATTTTTCCCTTTCTAATATTTCTTCAATTTTAGTCCAGACAGAAAATCAGAGCTATACAAATTCACTGAATACATTTCTACACTGCTATGAATACTAGCTAAAATGATATAAGGTATAATTATGGTATAATCGAAGAATCGTCTGCTTAGTTATACAGAATAGTTTGATAGATTCCACTTTGTTAACAGATATAGCAACTGGTTTGTAGTGTGATGACCCCAGGAAAGAAAAACAAGGTAGCAATGCATGTATTTTGATATTTAGGGCTATTTAACATGTTTAAAATGTGTATGAAGAGGCCATACAGATATACAGCTGGAGGTGTAAGGCTACAACAAACCTCACCACAGATATCTTAGTCTGTGTAAATTAATGGAAGGAAATCCTATGTACAATTACTCTGTGCTCTGACAGATAACTGATTTCATATTCAAACTGATACAAACAGTATTTACTAATTACAATGAAAGTTGTATCACTTTGAAAAATATCTAACTTTGTTGTTGACATATTCAAAACAGTTTAATATTTAGCTTGTAATCAAATAATTGTAATTGTGTGACAGGTTATGTTGTACAGAAATAGCACCACATAATTATCCCTTTTTTTTTTTTTTTTTTTTCAGATTTGAAATTGTACTTCTAAATCTTGAGGTTAATCCCATAGGATTCTTCTTGGAGAAAAGACAAAATAAAAAGATTTTTTTAAATGTAACAATCTTATTATTGGAGAGAATCTTAATAAACTTAATTAAATTCAATGTTTAATTTGTACAGTGAAAACCTGCTCGAAGAATATATTTCCTACCGAAAGACAAATAGTTTAAAGGAGCAATAACATCTGAATTTGCAAAAGGGCTGCATACGGAATGAACTAGAGAGCATGTCATCATGTATGATTCCTTTAGTGAAAAGAATTTGTATGAACGAAGACTTACTGCAACACTAATGTATGTGTTTTGTGGTGACACAGGTGAAAATATAACAGGTATGTTATTGATATTACTACAATCTAAGAGTATAGCTCAGGACTGAAAGTTAAACAAAGACAGCAAAACTACTGGTATTAAAAGTCTAATGAGACAAAAGTGATGACAACCCACGAAGGGTCATAATTACCCCCTTTGACTTCAGGCACTGAAAACAAACACAGCAGGCAAAACAGTGAAATTGAAGGCTATAGAACAGTAAATGCAGAAAGTTTTCATGCACCAAAATAACAATTTCAACTTTAAATATTTTAGTATAAACATTAAGACTGTATATCAGAAATACAGGATATGAAATAGATATCAAAACTGTCAACACTCGTCCAAGGTTTTGGCTTGTCAAATGTTGAAATGGATTTCAACAGATTTTTTTTTTATTTGCATGTATGATGATTTTTTATAATACTGTGCCAAGACAGTGATTTAGTCCAAAAAAAATCATTATTATCTATTTCTATACAGTGCCTGGTAAAGACACTTTGTATAAAACTTACTTTATAAGTTTGTCTAGTTATAACACAGCAAACCATCAAACACTCATCACTCATTTACACAGAAAAGTGTAACAACATCCAAAGCTATGTAACAAGTGCTAAGCTCTCTTAAGCCCCCCCTTTTTAACATACATTGGCATAAAGACTGAACACTGTTACAAAATGTAAATTAACAGTTTGAATCTGAAATTTACAAAAGCCAAAGGAACAGTCATTTATACACTTCATTTACAAGGTGAAATGTTTATGAGATATCATTCATCCCAACAAGTGTTCCTCTCCCTTAAAAATGGCACACACAAGCCCCCTTAAGTCAAATGATGTCTTAATTGTAGTGACTGTGATGTACTAAGTTCTATGTGAAATAACGGTGATTTTCAGTTTTTGGGATAAGGTAAACACTGTCACAGCGTGTTACACAACAAGTACACACTCGAAGTGTTGGGTAACTATAAAGGAAGTAGTGAAGTATGGACGACAAAAGGTCAACACACACACTGGATCTGATTCAATTTTGCATCATCATCATAGGTCAAAAGTCAAAATGCAAAATTGAAGTAGATCGAGTGCACCATACAGAAAAAAAGGTTTATCATATGATTTCTTCGTTATTGCATCATTATTATTCATTATCTACAAGTTTCATTAAATATCTCTACCTGAAATGACACTTTTATATCTGCTAATACATTTATATGAAATAGTTCAGGTTACACTTAACATCGATCTATATCTGGTATATGAATTACAAGACAATTTTTTACTGGCCAGACAGTTGTAATAATCGAAACATTTGTGCTATATCTTTTGTAAGGGAAATGAAAGCTCAAACTTTTGAAGTGTTTTTTTTCTTTCTTGTCGACTTTTTAATAGAAAGCTAAAAAAGTTGATATCATATGATAAGCAGAATCTCACACTTGTGTACATCTAATACGACAACAAACAATGGATGATTATTGAAACTCTCTTGTCAGAAGACTTTATTTAATGTACAGATAGCTAACATCGACATAGCGATGGTAAATCTTAAACAACATGCTGACTTATTGAAATTCCACAAGATGAAGTACTGTATCATGAAAATGCATCAATTTTTTGTAAGTCATTCAAGTTTTTCAAAATTATCCAATTCGCTAATAAAAAATGCTCAAGGCACAACAACACTTTTTCTTAAACGACAAATGGCTTATTAGATGAACAGTGAACACGTGTAAGATTCTAAATAATAAAAAAATCTAGCCCAGAAAAAAATCAACAGCAAGGAAGCAATCAAAAGATAAACAGCAAAAACAAAGTACAATTACCCGCTTTCGAGGCTCTCAAGTCTCCAGCTTCTTCAAAGGACAAACAAATACACCAAAGCAATCATTAGTTACCATGGTTACCAATTTCTGACACTAAACATGCATAATAAGTATATATCCAATAGGAGGAATATTCAAGTTAATACATTGTTATTGATTAACCAATCATATTTAAGATTATATCAAATGTATTTGGGTATTGTAAAAGAAATAAATAGTATGTAACATGCCATTTGGTACTAGTGCTGAATCATGATAAGATTCTGGGTCGCTATTGTCTGTATGGTCCACCTGTGGTAGTATTCCAACAGTTCTGCACTTTGGAGTTGGGTTTGTTTTGTTTTTTTCTTTCAATTTGATGTTGCAAGATAATGGAGGAAACACCTTATCCTTCACTATGACACTGTTAGTAAAATCTATTTGCTGTGTAAATGCATGCATATCATTCTTTCATAAGAAAACTAATTTTATTATCCTATGTTATTATCTAGACGGTGGAAGTGGATATTAATAAAATGATTTTTTAATAGGAATTTTCCTTTGTCATATCTCAACTGTGGACAGGTAAAGTTAGTGGTTTGTGTGTTCTTATTTCTACGTTAGAAGGATTCAATTGGAATAACCAGCTCAATGATTTGTTCATGGAATGCAGGGGGGGGGGGGGGGGGGGTCATATTTAGAGTACTAACCCACAGGCAGATTCTGAACAATTCTACTAGCCTGACCCATAATTTCATAGTAAATAATGAACATTTTCACAAACCCTAGCATAAATCTACTACCCCTGGGTGTTGGGCTAGTGGAATTTCACGACTATGACCATTGGCATTCAAGACAATTATATGGATATAGTGCTAGGGCTAATGACCACAAGAATATACATGAAACATCCCAGTTATGACGTTACAGATTTATTTGTGTACTACTACCGATGGACCACAGACATACAGTTTGTCAGGTTACATACAGGCAGGATGCAATATGCAAATCAAGATGCCCATTACTTGACTGAATGAGGACCTACCTTTGTGCTGCTCTGGGGTGATAGGCGCGCTGGGTTTGTCCGACACAATTACTGTGGGGCTGTACCCCTGTCCCATATCCTGGAAAATTTAATTTCATTACATTTTTACTAGTGATATATATGGGAAGTAAGCATTATGATAGCAACAATATGCAGTGAAAATACAATTTGGATGGGTCACTTGCAGTGTACAGAAATTTCATAGAATTGTCAACAGAAAATTTATGATAAACAACAGTTGATTTCCATAGGGGAAAAAAAAGATAGATTTCAAACAATTGTGACTCTCGGTCCCAATATTTCACCCTTCTGATCTTCTTCTTCAAGGGCGCATGTCAATGATGGATTCAAGTAACGTCCATCTTGCTTCTTCGAATGGGACGGGGAAATGACGTACAAAAGTCTATGACGTATAATTTTGTACATCATGTTGATGAAGTGTAAGGGCCATTCTAGATCATATGGTGTCACTCTTTGAAGACACTTTCTTTTTGTCCCCACAAACAACATGTTATAATTTTTTCATCCACTTCTCATTATAGTTTTCATTTCTGTTGCGGTTCTTACGAGGTTAACCCGCAATAATAATGCAACTAAATATTAATAAAAAAAGCCAACTAAGCTACTTTAGCAGAAAATGTAACACAGCTTACCTGTGTTTGTGCATGGCCACCTTGGTCCATCTTTTGACGCTTTGCCATTGTTTTGTAGTCGTCATCATCTGTTGTCTCCGCCTCATCCCCTGTCTGTAAGTAAACAGGCATCATTAGATATCAAACCAAAATATACATTTCATATATTTCATCAAAAAACATCCTGATGTTATGACAAGGCCAGAAATTCTGATATAATGATTTGGCCAGACATTGACATTATGACGAGGTAAGATATTTTGATGAAGCTGGATATTCTGATATTCTGACAAAGCTAGATATCCTCATATTCTGACAAGGTCAGACATCTTCATATTCTGACAAAGCCAGATATCCAGATATATGGACAAAGCTTCATATCATGATATTCTGACAAAGCCACATATCATGATATTCTGACAAAGCCAGATATCTAGATTTACAAATAAAGCCACATATCTAGATATATTGACAAAGCCACATATCATGATATTCTGACAAAGCCAGATATCCTCATATACGGACAAGGCCTCATATGATATTCTGACAAAGCCACATATCCTCATATACAGAGAAGGCCACATAGGATACTCTGACAAAGCCACAAATCTAGATATATTGACAAAGCCAGATATGTAGATTTACAGATATCCTTATGAGGCCCAATATTCTGATACACAGACATGGCCAGACATCCTGATATTCTGACCAGACCACATATTCTCGTATTCTGACAAGGCCAGACAACCCAATATTATGCTGATGCTTTTCATGGGAAAATGACTGGAAGTAACTGTACATTTTATCACTTTAACTATAGAAGTTTATATTGAATCAAAGGAGACATAATAAATTATAATGATATTGATCTATAATTCGTTTTACAGTTCAATATTCCAGAGACAAATTTTTGCCAGAAGACACAGATATGACTTTATTAAGTTGTTCAGTGTGATTGTATATAAACATTTATGGAGAGAAACAATGACTAAAGCAGGATTTTCAAACTTTTATGAGACTCGGTACATTGTCCAACACCTATATGTGTCACTCACAATCACATGCATCTCTGACAGCTGGTTGCCCTCCTTCCAGGTGACGCGGGGAGTGTTTGATTTGCGACTGAGGTTTTGTGACATTTCCTCGTCATCTGACCAGTTGTCCTCAATGGAGGTTTGGGAGTGAAGTGACTTATTGGAGTCCTGTTTGGACACAGGAGTGCGAGGCGATGGACGGCCTCGGGCACCACCCTCTGTAAACAAACATCACAGTATCAGCACTTTCACCAGTGATCTTCATTTAATCCCAATCATTCCTAAATATACTGTAAACATATAACTCATGTTTTTCTTGATTAAAATTCTCAAAATTGAATTAATACATTTTAAAGAATCTTTGAAACAAAATTCATTAGACCATTAGTTGTTTTCTGATTTATTCCAAAGACATTCCATTCTGTCTTTGAAGAAGTTCATATCATAATATTTAATACAGAATTTAGATACTGAATGGTTTAAAAACAAATGTTAATATTCAATATAGGAACAATTTACATAATTATTATCTTGAGTTAATACACAGTCAATGAATGAGTATGACAAACAATTCCACCTGGCTTCCAACATTGAAATTATATCATAACCATATTATTGAGACATCTTTACAGGGAAATGTCCACCACAAACTGTATTACAAGGTCAACCAAACAGTCACTACTGACAATCAAAATATACCCACTTATGTTATTGGAAATTTAGTACATCACATGTTAATTTCCAGGATCAGGATTGGTGAACATTGGAAGTTCTATTAAGTACAGTTGCAGTGCCCTTGACTCCAAAAGGCTATTCTTGACTCCAGGAACATCTCATTGATGACAATGTTTCTTGATAGGGACTTATGATTTATAATTTGCATGATGTCAAAAGAGTTAAAGGCCAGTTCACTACAGTGTTATAATTAGTTACCAGAAGTACAGCTCCCTCGGAACAGGCCATTACACTATCAAGAGAACAGTTCCCTCAGTTGAATCTGGGTTAGGAGGGAAGGGGATTCGATGAACAGAAACAACCGCTGGGCCACCGGAGGAGTCGTCTTTATGACCCCATTTTAAACATCCATTAAGGGGCAGAATGGGCAAACATGTTACCTGTCCCCCAGACTGCCTGCAATATTAGAGTGCTATTGGGCGACATGTCTCTATCATTTTTGACAGCTGACTTTACTGATTCGGTGATCTGTGGCTTAGTGAGCTGTTTTCAGCAATTTAGAGTGGAGACACCGGTCATTTGCACTCTTTGCTTGACAAAGGAAACGGATGTTTTCGCAAGCTTGCAAGATAAGTTTTCAATTCCTGTTTGTGTTCATAATGAACTTCGCCCTTATCATTCATACCAAACTGATAAATGTTATTCTGTATATATTTAGAGTTATTATCAGGAATGGTCCCCCAAAAGCTTTCCTGTATCACATGGTCAACTAAATAGTTAATACTGACCCCCAAAATATGCCATGCTACAATGTACTAGTAAAGTTCACCCCAAACTTTGTTTTGGAAGCAAACCAACCTACCAGATGGGTTAGATATCAGCATGGAATGACAGGTTAATTTTAGAGTTACTCATGTTTTAGTACTTTTACCATACCCACTACAAACACATAAAAAGCTGAAAACATTTTGCTGGAAAAAAACTCAGTTAAATTTGGATGACAATGTGATCATGAAAAATAAATTAGTTTAGGGATGAAAATAGACCTGAAAATACAAGGAATATACTATTTACCAGACTCGAACATGTGCTATTCTTAATTACAGTGAAATATTTATTTTCCTGTTGCACTCTAGGAATTTAAAATTCATGAAACAAACAGTTATTGATTAATTATTTTCACATTTGCCTGCATTAACTTTTGTAAGGTATTTGATTTTGCTGTCAACCCTAGCCTCCTCACAAATTTTAAAATGCACAATATAAATAATTCACAGCTAAATATTAAATGGACAAGTTGATGGTTATAATGTACCAACACTTTATCAAAGTGATCCCTAAATTTCAGTGACAGATGTGAGTCTAGAAATAGATAGTCCATGTGTTTTACAGGTCAAACACAGGGACATGAGTACTAGTCTAGGAGGGAACACCCAGAACTGTGGCACCACTTCAAGGGAGGTAATACCTGCATACAAACTTGACTGTTTTAGACAGGAACGTAGTTCTATTGAGAGTGATGAAACAAGGAACATTACATATAAAACAGAGTGTCATTAACAACAGACATATGGATACGCATTACAGATTAACAGCAGTGTCAAGCTAAAACTCATACAGACTTACAACAGACACACAAACATACACCATACACAAACCACAGTGTATTACCAGACATGTCACAGATTTACAATAGATGTATACAAGAATGCATTGAAATGTCATGCCTCTAGTATAAAACAGTTTGTGGTTATTTTTGCTTTTATTGGATTCAATAGCATGTCCATACCAAATCCATTCTACGACCCAATCCTAGGCACAAACATGCAGTCCTGTCATCCAAGTGTTGTCTATTTCTTATTTTAAAAAAATTGCTTTTCACACAAAAAATGTTTTCAATGAAATGAACAGAAAACATATTTACATGTCAAATACCATTCACACAACAAATGTACTGAATGAAGTAGATATAGAGCTAGTTTTGATATGTGTAGACATAGAGTTAAGCTTTCCAGACTATCGGCCAACCTACCATCCTCCCCTCCACCATCATCGCTGACATTGTCCGGTGGTACGGACTTAGTCAAAGCCTGAGCCAGGTTTATCTTGGGCAGATCCTGAAACGGCAACATAAATTTTAGTTTACAAAATCCTTAATTCAACCTAATTACATCTGAAATAACCTCCCAACATATAATCCTGTAGGACAATAGAATCGTATAGGAAAACTCCAGAGAAGCTGAAACATTGCTGCAATAAAAGGATTCACTTCCAAACTAACTTTATTAAAACAACGTAAAGTATCAATTAAATTAAGATTGTTTTAAAGTGCATTGTGTATTTTATACCTTTTCTTTCCCTATACTATACAAGTACATCTTTTAATTTGTATGGCGTTATCTGCATAAACAAAAATAAGTTACCTATTTTTTAAGAATCTAGATAAATTAAGTCACCTTTTTTAAGTATCTAGATCAAATTATGATCGTAGATTTGTCATTTATATTCAATTTAGTGAAAGATTTCAGTTCGACTATAATTTGGCTGATATCTGGAGATGGTCGAGCAGGATACATAAAGACAAGCTTTAAACACTCACTTCTAATAAAAACTACAATGTATCAACTTAAACATATTTATACTTAAAAAACGGTTATCTACATAAACCGTTGAAAAGCATTATGAGTATCAGTTAAGTGCTGCTAAATAAAGACATACCCCCTGGTACTGTACGTAGGAGCATTGATTGAGTGTCGGAAATCAGAAACCAATCTTTGTATGAATAAATTTAAAGGTACAATGAGAACTGGTACCTAGATTTTGTTTTACCATATTTCTTTTTTCTTTAATGGCTATGGTCACAATTCATGGCTTAACTGTCAGACAGATCTTTTGTTCAATCTTCTGTTAAGCTTCATGATTTACCAGACCCTACATTTAATCTAACTACTGTACGTACCCTGGTAAGTGCAGAGTAAAAACAAATCTATCACAATCAATGAAAATAGAGATAGTATATCAAAGAAAAGTAAAAAAGAGATTCATTTGTAAAAGTGAGGAGTCAGTTTACAATAAATGTATCACAACAAAAGATAATACTGATAAGCTGAGATTTAAAAGCTGAAACACAGATCAAATTCTGAAGCACAGCCAGTCAGCTGAAGATATCGATGCAGAGCACATTTTTTTAAGTTGTTTTAAGAGAACCTTATCTCCAAATACAATGAGAGAGCTGGGGGCAACACATTGACAGAACCCCCGCCCCCAAGTGACGTTGACCCTTGACTTATCAACTGTCTGAAAACCTGAAGTGTCCTCTTAATTCCCTAGGACAATCAACATTTCAGGGTTTATCATTCATTTTGAAGTTGGCATCCAGACAAGTCATGATCAGTTGTTCTGTGAAAATCTTTTCAGTAACAGTGACCTTGATCTTTGTAAATGTAAACAGACGGACAGACATCCTGCATGATTTGCTATATATTCACACACACACACCCCACCTACCCCTCATTTATTCCAAGGGGGTCAACACAAATAAATTTCATGTTTGAGCTAAGATACTGAGATTTGTATACATCACAACAGCCATCTTAGGGGTGGCACTACAAGTATTACATAAACACAGCACGCAATGTTAAGTCACCTGCTCCATGTCAGAGTCAGCATCTAGGTCAGAATCATCCCTGTCCTACATAGATAACAGATTGTATAGACAGGCTACGGCTTATATGAATTACTCCTGCAAACACTCAATCATCTCAATCACTTTATCATTTATATATTGCTTGGAAAGGATTCTGCCTTAAACAATAAACATACGTGAATTAATCCTGGTCGAGTTATGAATGTTTATGAATGTAATTTATTTGTGAAATTGAAGGTAACTACCAAACCACTAGACTGGCCACCAGCCCCTAAGTTTTTATGAAGAATTTCTCGACTGCATTTTACTACTAGCTTATCTCCCCCTAGTTTAGAACCTAGAATCAGACATCCAAGTGATCAAAATTATTAGAGTTATTTTTTTTCTCAATTATTCAATATTCTAGAGACGGTGGCCAGTCTACCAAACCACATATGTACTGAAAATCTATAAATCTTTAACAATAGATTTTGGTTTATATTTCACACACCAATGTTATAGTGTGATATTAACATAATTAATGATATAACAGGTATAATGGTCATAAACACTTGCTCTCTTTATTGTATGCAATTACCCACAATTCATGGGAACTGTTATAATATTAATATGCTATAAATGCATATATGCATCTTAATTGTACCAGGAGTACCAGAACACTGTGTCCAGGCTTAGATATCAATAAACCAAAGACATCTTAATTGTACCAGGAGTACCAGAACACAGTGTCCAGGCTTAGATATCAATAATACCAAAGACATCTTAATTGTACCAGGAGTACTAGAACACAGTGTCCAGGCTTAGATATCAATAATACCAAAGACATGTTTTGATAACACAGCAACAACTGATTACATAAATAGGCACTTCAAGGTATCTACAGGTAACTGATTAACACAGATTTACTAGCATACCATAATATATTAACAATTAGCTATATGTATCGTGATTTAATGTTTTTGTAATACAAGTCACATAGTCTGTTGCATATTGTTTCAATTTTCCAAACATGTGTATCGGAACTCGACTGAGTAAATTGTCGGCGACCAGGTAGCTCAACTGGTAGAGCATCGGTCTAGAGTTCGGAGAGTCGCGGGTTCAAACCCTGGACTGAGCGTGCATTTTTTCGCTCCTGATACACACGGATAAACATGTATGTCTAATGCTTTAATTTGTATGTAGATGTTACAAGTGTTACATATATATATATATATATGTGGATGCTGCAGGTGTACAGATATATACAGATGATAATAGGTGTGACAGGTGTTGATGATGATAGGTGTGACACAAATGTTTCACAATTTGTATTTCCATGTTATATGGTGACACAAATGATTAAATTAAAACAGATGGTAAAGACTAGCACCTTTTTAGTGCCAAACAATCATTACAAAACCTAGCTAATACCTGGTACGTATATATACATGTACTATAACTAGGCAGCACATCTGTATTAGTTTCAATCAAACTTAGCCTAGGTTAAAGCAAATGATTATATGGAGAATGTCTTCAACTATGTAAATACATTATCAGCTCAGTACATTGCTATGAAAGAGAGTAATCATTTGTTAGCACTAGAGACTTTCACAACAATGTACAACTTGCTATTAAAAACCATAACATTACATCATAGGATTGAAAAATAATCCTCAATTATGGCTTCTGCGAACATCTTTGTCCTTAAATTTCAATATTCCTTTGAAATGTTCATATCATGATCATGTGACATACCATCACCAGTGATCATGTGACACAAATCCACCTATAGTCATGTGATGCAACACCACCTGTGATCATGTGACACAACATCATCTGAGAATATATGAAAACTCTATATAGTGATCATGTGACAGTAACACCAGTGATCATGGGATACAACACCACCAGTGATCATGTGACACAACATCATCTGTGATGAAAACTCTATATAGTGATCATGTGACATTACCACCAGTGATCATGTGACACGATATCACCTGTGATCATGTAATGAAGTGACAGGCACAACAGGAATAAATTCTGAAAAGGAAATGTGTTTGTGTGTGAATAAGGGTTAGTGAAAATGAAATCCTCTGACAAACCATGTAGAAAGCTAGCAAACACAGATCTCTGGCAATGTTACACCAGCCACAGAATATAACTTACTAGTTTCCGCTGGCCCGCCAATCCCTGCTCGGAAAATAAACCAATGTGCCTTATTTAACCTCTTATTCAACATGTTTTTTTCTTTTCTTTATACAAACACTTAAATGGAATGTAGGATTTCAATGGAAGTGATTGATGTCAAATATTATATACAATGTACATTTATGTTCCTAACTTCTAACATTTCAGCTCATTCATCTCTTGTTAAATTCTCAGTTCATAATACAATGTCTGGAATCTCCACTTTGCCTGACAAATGACAATTAACTTCGAAAATATACAAACTTCTTTGACATATTGATCTATATTGTTTTCATACACCAGTAAGAAAAAGGTTCACAAATTGCCTTCAACTTAGTTCCTCTGTTCCTGGGTCACCATACAGACATCCAGACAACTAGCTTTGTGGGTCATCCCAGACTTGATTAGGAGCTTCTCCATAAATAATTACCTTGGGGGCACATTTTCTGTTCTCAAGATTCAAGTGTAAATGGCTATATATAATGAATCGTGTAAACTGTACCTTGTAAAGCCTTGATAGGACCTGTCAAATACTCACCTTGTAAAGCCTTGATAGGACCTGTCAAACACTCACCTTGCCTTTCTTGTCCCCTACAGACAGGCTCATGTCTGTGTCGTCTCCCCACGAGTGATCAAAGTCTCCACCAGTCGACAGCTTGCTAACGTCCTCATCTCCCGATTCATCTACAACCAAATTGTACGTTTATAGTTATACAATGCCTTAAACTTAAAAGAAAAGATCTACAACCAAGTAGTTTGTTTACATTATAAGTTATACTCAAAAGAACAAAAACTCCCCCACAGTCAATATAAACCTGCGATGATAACATCTTTGCATAGACAATGGTGAATTTAACAAAGGTTATTTTAAAAGAAATGATTTTTTGAAAAGGTTGATGTTTTGAGTTCATGATAGTGCCAATCATAGCTCAAACACAGAGGGTGTTGGATTTCAACAAGTTACAAGAGCCTGAGTGATATTCCACCAGTTACAATCTGAATGTGCTTCTACCAGTTCAAGTCTGACATCTAACCAGTTCACACCTGAATGACCTCACCACCATTTCAAAACTGAGTGACCTCCCACTAGTTCATGCCCGAGTGACCACGCCACCAGTGACACAGGATGAGTGACCGCATCACCAGTTCAAATGAGTGACAAGGCTATTTCATTTATAGTGACTACACCACCTGTTCACATTTAAGTGACAATGCTAGTTCATGCTTGAGTGATCGCACCACCAGTTGATTTCTGAGTGACATCTTCATCTAGCTAGTTAATGCATGAGTAACCCCCAACCAGATACAAGATAAGTGACCACACCACCCGAGTGACAATACCAGTTCATGTCTGAGTGACGTACCACTCACAAGTTTGCATCTTGAGCTGACCACTCTACACTTTGTCATAGTGTGTGTATGGAGATCATAAAACATTCCCTTGCTTTGATTACTGTGAGTTGGGATCATCACAAACTTACCCTGTGTTAATACTTAATGAATTACACACACTAATAGATACTCCACTGATTCCTGACCCCAGCATAGAGTCTATAGTATTGATCCAACCACACTGCATACCTCTAACACCAGATTTGCTTAGAGCTAAGCATTTTAAAATTAAAACTTGACACATCTGATGAAAGGCCAATCAGCCCTACGTACCATCAGACTGTTGCTGTATTGGTAGTCCAAAGTCGGGGGTGATTGTGTTGTCACGCGGTGTGGGCGTGGCACTCGTGGGTAAGCCCATGGATGAGCGCGGGGTAGTGTTGGTGCTGCTGGCCCCGCTAACAGATCGACGTAACTTCACGTTATAGTCTCGGATCAACTGAGAACATCCGTGCTGGGCAGTCATCATTGCGATGTCTTCTGCTGTGAAACCTGTCAAGAGTAAAACCACACAATACAGTAACCTTATTTCTTTTTGAAGTTTTAACAATTAATTGAATTTAACAAAATAATTCAATGTGTAAATAATAGGCAACAATTAATTATCACTAAAAAATATTAACTAATTTAAGCAAATTAATATAAAGCCTGATGAAAAAAACTTACAACTAAATACAAATGTTTTGACAGATTATAGAAAAACTGACTTTTCATTCAACTCACTTCTCATAAAGATTGGTTAAATAACTAACCTAAGGGTTGACTGATCACACAAAGTTTATCCTCTCAGCACCGTTAGTTGTATGCAAATTACATTGACAGATGATCCTAACGCATCTTTAGTTAGATGCAATCTCTGCTGAAGTACCCTTATTGCATTTATGCTTGCCGCCTGATAAAACTTGTTAATTAATGTTCAGCAAGAGAATGCATACCTTTGGTGTCTTTGATCATGGTGTTGGCGTTACACTGGAGGAGAAGCTGGACAGCAGTTACAGATCCCTCATAGCTGGCCAGCATCAGGGGAGTTCTGTCAAAGCATAACAGCTAAATCAGGAAGCCACAAAACAAGGATAACCAGACAAGCTTTGGGAGGTTTCAGGCTTTTAATACACATTTTTGAAATAACAATTCACACATAGTGATGAGAGTTTGTGAAGACTTGTTTGTGGAATTATTCTGAATGGTTTTCTGGCAAGATGTAAATGTTCATGCTCCTTGTCCAAGACATTCAAATAATTACTCACTCAGGATTTAGTACACATAACTTTCCTTGGGTTTCATTTAATAACCCCTGTGAAACCTTCACTTATCAGTACCGTCCTCATATGACCCTGGCTGTTGCGTTGACATTAAACCACAAACAATCATTTCTCAGCAGCTGCCAGATTTAATCATTGCAAAAAGGCAAGTCAGTGGAATTACCACATTTGCAAAAGATGCTGTACAGTACCAGGTATGTGGTGCTATACCTACCTGCCATTGATGTCCGACACATCTACAGAAGCCTTGCTGTCAAACAGTAGTATCCTTATAATCTCTGGCTTCTTGCCCTTACATGCGATGTGTAGTGGTGTACAGCCCTCCTGTGGACAAAACAGAAGACTCATTAGTACCTATGTAGATATGTCTTTATAGAGCTTTGCATCCTCATAACAACTAAACTCATAAAATAGTGCTTACAGATGATGGGGCCACTTTTAAATCCTTCTGATCTGAAACGTCCTTACCTGGAAGGATGTTATGGTAATGACATTCTATTTGGTCACATTATACCGATAATGGGTTATTTTGTTTCATCTTTTATTTTTACAGCAAAAGGGACAGTGTTCATTCAAAAGAAGAAAGCCAAAAAAAACATTTTTCATATTGTTATTTTGTATGATTTAAGAACTTCACTACAAATCAGTTAAGATGGCAAAAGTCAAACCCGTAAACCATTATAATAAACTCTTAGCTGAACTAATTTTAATACTCAGTCAGTCTGAAAATGCTGAATTCTGAAGAATTTATTATTTTTGAAGGAAAGATCAAACCTTGTTCTTTTTGTCGATAGTTCCACCATTGCGGAGGAGCACCTTGACGATGTTGGTGTAGCCATTGCGGACAGCAATATGGAGGCTTGTGTCACCGTCACGGTCTGTAGCATCCACGTCGCCACGGTGCTCCAGTAGCAGCATCACACATTCCTCTCGGTTACACTCCACCGCCTTCAGACAAACAATGATAAGGACATCAATAGCGACACCAAACAATGTCTTTGTCAGCAGAGACAAACAAAAATAAAGGCTTTGTAAGTACGTACAATAAATGTTGGCCTGGTACAATTAATATGAAATGTTTTCATTGTCACATAGAGATAGATATAAATTTGGAATTTTTTTTCTCTCCAGATTTTAAGACAATTTGGGACTTTTTCAGCAAAGACACACAATGATACAGAACTTTGGCAGTAGGACAAACCAACCATGGACTTTGTAAGTAGGACAAACAAACCATGGACTTTGTCAGTAGGACAAACAAACCATGGACTTTGCCAGTAGAACAATCAAACCATGGACTTTGTCAGTAGGACAAACAAACCATGGACTTTGTAAGTAGGACAAACAAACCATGGACTTTGTCAGTAGGACAATCAAACCATGGACTTTGTCAGTAGGACAAACAAACCATGGACTTTGTCAGTAGGACAAACAAGAACTGGAAACTTTGTTAGTGGTGATAAATTAGTGTATATAACAGCATAGAGCGAAAAAATCATTTGGGATTTTGTTAGAAGGGTCAGTAGGAACGAAAAATTTCTCTTTGTAGACATTTTTCAGTTAAAACAAACAAAACCTGAGGAATGCATGTGAGCATAAGATCAAAAGATTTGTCGGGACAAAGAGATAAAAAAACAATTGGGAATTTTGTCAGCAAGAACAATAAATTATTACTTTGTCTGACATGTAGTGCAGACGTTGCTAAATTTAAGAAAGACAAACAGTGTCAGTTTTGACAACAAAATAAAATTGGGACTTTGTCATGAATCTGAATAAACAATGACTGGGGACAAATTTAAATATTTAGTCAGTAAAAGATACTGACAATGTCTGGATGTTTTAGGAAATGACAAACAATAATGTCATTAGGACAAATAATGAATGGGGACAGATTTTTATGCTTAGTCATCTAGCAACAACTACTGTACATCTGTCATACAAACATCAGTAAAGAATCTAGAAATTCAGTGAAAAAAAAGGGATGCTGTAAATATATTTTTACATACATGTCTGATTGATACACACATATTGTATCTTGTTTTTTGGCCCTATGTTGATACATTTTAAATGAGTCATAATATATTGTAGTGTTTTCAAGTAATAAATACTGGGTACCCAGTAATGGGCAAGTTTGGTTGGTTGGTAGCTGCATTGTATTGTATTAGAAATAAACATTTACTTTTAAATAAATTTTAATTTCATGTCAATTATCAGATTTAAAATGTTTTTATGAAAAGAAATATTCCTGAGAATTATTTTCAAAAATATAAAAGTGCTCTAAAAAAAGGAAATATTAAGATATTTATTTTTAGTTGTAAATGTTAATGTACATACAAGTTGTGCCCTAATTTTTATGAAATTAATGACATACAATCTTTTACTGCAATAGTTGAAAATATCCCTTATGGAATCAATACAGGGTATTCTGATTAAATGTGAGAACATAGAAGACAAGTCGAAAACAACAAACGGTTCTATAGACCTTATCAGATACAATGGCATGGACCAAGATCAATATTATTCTTAATTAAGACTTGAAAACAACTCCTCATGCCGGGCAGCAGATGGTCTGATTGTGAAGACATATTGATCTGTAGATCACAGATGTAGCAGGGGATGTTGTGGTACTAAGGTGATTCTGAGCCATAATTAACAGGTAGCGTGTGTGCCATTTTACATCTTAAGGTAGTTTTACGTAGTCACGGATACATCTCTCTAACAAAGAACTTTTCAAAACCAACCTTCCACATTGTCTTCAAACGATGCTGATTCATGACAAATGTACTTGCTGTGTTAATCTTACTGGTGTTTTCATGTACAGTAGTTAACACAGGTTTACCTGTAATCAGCAGTGAACAATACTGTAATCGGGTTTTAGATATGCAAGTGCTGCCATTCTAGCCAATTGGTTTTGCTGCTATCATGTAATATTCATCCAGCATTTGTATTTTTCTTTTTTCAATATGATTATATAGTGACTCCCCGTTTCTAAGTTCCGTACAAGTTTTTCATCCTTTTCAATTAAATTGGCATTGCAACATTAATTTAATGTTATTACAGTATAGATCACAGAAACAGATGCTTTACACACAAAAATAAACAAGAGGCCCAATGGGCTTGAATCGCTCACCTGGTATTAATCTCACACTTGTAATCTTAAACGTGGACTAAAATTCGGTAGCCCTTCATCCCAGACTGTTAATGGCCAAATATCATCACCCTTGGCCTTTTGCTAATTGAGAAGTCGTTCAAATTTTTTTTAACATATTTGACCCCTGTGACATTGGATATACTTTAAGGTCATTCATTTGAACAAACTTGGTAGCCCTTCATCCTAGCATGCTACTTGACAAATATCATAACCCTAGGCCTCTTGGTTATTAAGAAGAGGTTGTATAAAGGTTTCAAACATATTTGACCCCTGTGACCTTGAATATAAGTTAAGGTCATTCATTTGAACAAACTTGGTAGCCCTTCATCCCAGCATGTTACTTGCCAAATATCATAAACCTAGGACTCTTAGTTATTTAGAAGAAGTTGTATAAAGGTTTCAAACATGTTTGACCCCTGTGACCTTAAATATTTGTCAAAGTCATTTATTTGAACAAACTTGGTAGCCCTTCATCCCAGCATGCTACTGGAAAAATATAATCACCATAGGCCTTTTGGTTATTGAGAAGAAGTTTTTCAAAGGTTTTTAACATATTTGACCCCTGTGACCTTGAATATAAGTAAAGGTCATTCATTTGAACAAACTTGGTAGACCTTTATCCCAGCATGCTACTTGCCAAATATCATCATCCTATGCCTCTTGGTTATTCAGGAACAGTTGTTTAAAGGTTTTAATCATATTTGACCCCTGTGACCTTGAATATTTGTCAAAGTCATTCATTTGAACAAACTTGGTAGCCCTTCATCCCAGCATGCTACTGGCAAAATATCATTATCCTAGGACTTGTGGTTATTGAGAGGAAGTTGTTTCAAGGTTTTAAACATATTTGAACCCTGTGACCTGGAATATCAGTCAAGGTCATTCATTTGAACAAACTTGGTAGCCCTTCATTCCAGCATGTTACTTGCCAAATATCATTATCCTAGGCCTCTTAGTTATTCAGAGGTAGTTGAATAAAGGTTTTTTAAGACAATTGACCCCTGTGATCTTGAAAATGGATGAAGGCCATTCTTTTGAACAAACTTGGTAGCCCTTTATCCAAGCATGCTACTGGCCAAATATCATAACCCTGGGCGTTTTGGTTATTCAGAAGAAGTTTTTTAAAGTTTTTCACATATTTGACCCCTGTGACCTTGAAAATAGGTGAAGGTCATTTATTTGAACAAATTTTTTAGCCCTTCATCCCAGTTTGCTTCTGGCCAAATACCATCACCCTAGGCCTTGCGATTATTAAGCGCACCATGCCATAAGCTCACTTGGCCCTTCGGGCCAGGTGAGCTAAAAATATGATACAGGTCTTCATCAACAAATATATATGTCTTAGTGTCTTGGACAGATCATATCAAAGTTATAAGCAGGGCAGTTTCTCAGGCAATTTTGGGGCAAAAATAAGGTCCAGTTCCCAATGGAAAATGTGCTATCTTTCATATTTTTGTTTAATTTGCCAATCTTGTTTGGGTTTTTTTTCAATAATTTTTTTTCTTGTATTGAGATGGCTATGAATGCAATATGTCATAACTTAATGTAATATTAGAATTATGTCTTAGTGTTCTAGTGATATTTTGTAAAGAAATTATCTAAATAGGGCCATACAGCTTACTTTGAATATTTTTTAAAACAAGAATTCCACGGGAGGGGATGTGTCACTGAAAGCTGAAACTCGACAGAAAACCCCGTAATATGCGTCGTACAATATTGCTTCTAGCATAACTTTACAAAATTTGAAAGGAATTGATTAAAAAATAAAAAAAGTTCTTGCATTTACTACATAATGCCCTTATTTGGCAGTAAAAGGGACATAACTCCACCAAAAATAAACGTAAACTTCTGAAAAGCAAATTTTTTCGAGTTATATTGATATGCAATATGTGTACCAAGTTTGAGTTTAATCTACCCAAGAGAACTAAAGTTATCGCACAGAACCCTTGATTCAGATGATGCCACCGACGCCGCCGACTGTAATACCTGTATATGTCGCCTCGCGTTGCAGGCAACACAACAAGTGGTAATCTTTTGTGACATGTCAGCATGACACACATTGAGCAGATACATCTATGACTTTTTCACAATTGACACCAGGGGCCTAGATTCCCCAATTCACCCAGAAAAAGCCCTGACAAGTACATATATCACATGAAGACACCATGAACAGAAACATATACATATTTCCCATCAAGCAGATGAAATGGACATGTGTTGGATATATATGAGAAACAACAACGTGGTCCAAGAGAATTGGAGACAAGTTGTCCATCCAGTATATGGTGTAGTCCCAGAGATTTTTAATGATGAATATCCATGCGTCTTGGAGAAATATGAAAATATGGAACCCAGAAACTGTGGCTGCAGATGTAAAAATACAGTAAAGGCCCTTCATGTTCCTCGGCCTAAAAAGACTTAAATCTATAGATCTATAAAGACACACATATATATTAAGTGAGGAAGAACAGTCCAGGAGAGCTACACTACAGTGTATACATGTACCTTGATGAGCGGGGTTTTAGTGTCGTTGTCGCCTATGTTGGTCTTGGCATGCCATTCGAGCAATTCCTGTACTACACCAGAGTGCCCCTGTGCACATGCCAAATGGAGAGCAGTCCTGAAAATACAAACAAGTTCACATTATCTAGATCTAAGCATACTATATAAGCCTCAGTCACACATTCAGGATTTTTACTGCCGTCCTTGATAGGATCAAAATTTGTCAAAAGTCTGGTCAAGATCCTGTGGTTCGTGGCATACAATCCACAAATTTATAAAAACATTTATTTAACCACGACAACAATCAGATATTGTTCAGGAAGCGTCCTGATTCTCCCGTTCTCCATCCGAATCTGATCCGATTTGTATCTTGTTTCATATATTTTAGTTTTATATATAATATTTTAAGATAATACAATGTTTTATTACTGACGATAATTCAAATCATGTAGGTTCATTAGTATTTGAGCGTCCGGAGAGCTTGTAGGAAGGGGATGCCCAATCACATGCTCCTTGGACTGCTCCAAAAACCTGTGATATTCTGTTTAATATTTTTAGTAATATATGTATGTTGTACTGTAATATGTATGTCAACTGTCATGTTACATGTGATGTCTATGATCTATTTCCTGAAATAAACATTAACTGTCCCGACAGCGTCTGGATTCTCCCAAATGCGATCAGACAGATATCAGACAGTGACCGGACAGTGAACCGACGCATTCGGCAAGATATGGACACAATCTGGACTCAATCGACAATAAGCAGAAAAGAACAATTTCTCCAAATCATGCCCGTTCATCATGACAGCGTCCCGATCCACAGGACAGTGTTACGATTTTGATCCGATACAGCAGAATCTGTCACGACATAGTCACGATTGTAATCCGACTAGACAAAATCGGCTGAGTTTCCCGAATGTTACGGGACGCGCCTAACTGTCGGGAGTGCTTGGCCGACCTCTCCGGACCATCCTGATCCGTAGGACTCTGTTACGAACGTATACGACTGCATTCAGACAATGATAGGACATTCCAGATCATTGAGGATAGTAATTCTATTTTTTCGCTTTTCGTGTTGTAGCGCTGTCTGATCTCAAACGAGAGCCATAATTGGAACTGTGTAAACACCGCATTACAAAGAAACAAAGTTCCTGTTAGCATTGTAGTTGGAAGTTGTGTTTATGTCACTTTAAACCATCCACAATCCCAGGGTACAATCATACTTACGCTTAAAATAAGTCTGTGGATGTTTTAAAGATGATATAAAACCTGTTGTCATGACTACAGAGTTATGCAATGATAAGTGAGTACACCTATGCAACATGTTTGTGTAGAACTCCCCTGTATTATCATCCAATTGCAGACAACAGACATACAATTCAGATAACATTAACAACATAGAAGACCAGATGATAGTAAAAATATTTACCAAAAAATATCACTCTTTTTACAAATATTTGCAGAGTGATTGTAATGTGATTTATTGGGTCTTTAATTTGTGTGTATTTCATAATTTATTCAAACTTTTCCTCAAACCTTTAAACTCGCAATAGACACACTGAATCGCTAAAATGAAAACTTCTGCACTTGTTTTATTAATTCATTTCATAAGAAAGGGAAATAATAGATATTCTTGATATTTACATTGTGAAATTCATTACATGTATATCTTAACTCCTAAGACGTTTTTCTTCATTTTTTACTGTCCTTACAATTACCAGAACAAACTGCCTTTTCTCAGTATAGATTTGTATCCTAATAATGCAAAAATTATTGTTTCCCGAACAGAAACTACCTGTTGATCACAAAGACTTCACCTACAATAGAAATATGAAGTGGCAGTGGACACAATTGTCCTATAGGTGCTATATACGATAGAAACGATAGCCAAAAACACTTGTGGCATTATATTCAATTCAGAAAAATCAATAAATCAAGAGAATGTTCCATATTTTTTGTGTGTCTACATTCTTATAGATCTATTTTTTGTTTAGTTGTCTATTCAAACTTTACCATAACTTTACGTTTCAATTATATTGTTCTCTCCAAAGGTTAATTTTAGAACACTAAATGGGCCATACAAACCCAAAAACAAATATCCAATATATCATTATATGGGTTCCTCAATTAACAGGCAGACAAATGGCTGCATACCAACAGCCTTTTGATAGTCGGTAATCTCTGTGCATTGAGATTGATCAGCAAGGTGTGTAAACACACGCATGGATTGGAAAAGCTATTGGGCTTCAAATTCCATTACACCTGGTTCCACACACAGGTAATACACAACTCGGTCAAGTATTTAATCTAACACCAGTATGTAACATTTCAGTAAATGCTCTGAATACCATTTTAAGATTTATCGGGTGCTATACACTCCCAGTCACATGCCCAGGTAATGGTGTATTACTATCAACTTAATGAAACCACTATCCCAAGCCTATCATACTGCAGAAGATTTGAATGTTTGGCATTTAAATCACGTGTTAAGTGTTGATATTGCTAAACACCAATTCACAACACTCAAACTACTTGATAATTTACTTGGGTTGGATTGAATTTGATAAACTTCCTTCTTGATTGTACAATACACAACCTGATCTTCACGTCAGATAAAACATGCACATGACAATGCTAATTACTTGTTGTTCTAGCAAAATCTATTAATAATTCTAGATTATAAATAACATTTCAAATTCATTACAAATAGTACCGGTATAAGAAAACCTCAAACAAATTTCCATTCATAGACATTACTTTTTTATTGATCTGCATTTCATGGTAGTTTGGAATTCATAAACATCATATATGGGAAATGGTAATGGAAATGGGACTCGAACCCGCGACCCTTGACTATCCAGCCCGATCGATGCTCTACCGCCGAGTTAAAGGTTAATTACCTACAGCTGACGCTTGTAAGGCAAACCTTATCAATGCAAATTTTTTACATATATATATATACAAAAATCGTTGATGAAGATTCAAATCCCATTATTCACAAAAACTTGATCGATTAATTTATATACATAAATATGTAGTAGGACAAGGAATAGTGATAAAGATAGTGCCGTTGCTGGGGCTCGAACCCACAACCCTTGGCTATCCAGCCCAATGCTCTACTGCTGTGAGTTAAAGGAAAATTCCCTACAGCTGATGCTTGTAAGACAACCTAATCATTGCACATCTTTTACACTATTTCCTCTTTTATCAAACACCAAACCAGGTTCTTTGACTCCCCGTCAAGGATTCTCCTACTTTGAACGGAGAGGGTCAACGGCACCAGTTTGTAGTAGGACAAGGAATGGCGAAATAGAAAGTGCCCACGCTGGGACTCGAACCTGCGACCCTTGGCTATCCAGCCCGATCGATGCTCTACCGCTAAGTTAAAGGTAAATTTCCTACAGCTGACGCTTGTATGGCAAACCTTATCAATGCACATTTTTTACATATATATACAAAAATCATTGATGAAGATTCAAATTCCAAATTATCTTGTTGTGAAGTTGAATTAACAATGAACGATCTGTGCATTTCCTGGTTGTTAACAAAATAGCAGAAAAAAAGATGGTTCAAAAATTGATATTGGGTATATATATGGTAGAGTAGATGTAGAGTAACATTTATTTTACCCAGGGTTTGACACTAACTTTTTCTGCTTGGTAGTCCACAGGACTAGTTGAATAGATTATTTACTAGTCCTTCGTCATTGTAACTAGTCCAAGATTTCCTGATAGCAGCATCTAACATCAAAAGCAATCGACTGTAGGGGACTTAAAATAATTACTGCCGTTAAAATATGGTGAAGTTTCAGGAAAATTTTGACAATGATCATGCAATATATATTATTATTGTTCAATATATATTAATAAGCTGTTATCTAAATTTTAACAAGAAATATTCTTATTTTATAATTATATTTTTCACAAGTCAAAAGGACCAGTTAGGTTAGGTGATTCACTAGTCCTTGCTGAAATCTACTACCCGTAGTACTAGTCCAGGACTACCAGCCTAGTGTTTTTGTCAAGTAATTGTCCAACCTTGAATATCATTCTACATTGGGAGATTGAGATACAAAGGGTATGATCAGTAGGTTCAGTTGTGATACATCATATTGTATCAATTTAAAAGCTATATTAGTACTGTTCTGTAATGTTTATCAAAATATTCCTGTGTTTCGAAGTAATAGTGGAAATCATTTGTCTTGTCAGCAGTTTAAGTCAGGGGTGGAATTACAGGTTGACCCAGTAAGATCTGATCAGCCAATCATAGTGTTGGCACATGCACTGTCGTGGGGATACGACAGTACGTAGGAATAAGGTGCGCCAATTTTCTAGCGCATCGGTTGCAGTAACATGCACATAATTCTGGTCATGGAAGGTTTATATAGGAGACTTTATCCAGCCACATGGACACTGTCGTTAAAGCCTTCCAAGAGGTTTTATTATCTCACCTGGACACGTAAATTTCTTACAAATTAAGACATTTCGAAACTCAAATTTCACAGTCACAGAAGGACATATCCATGGGGCAGTACGTATACTCAAAGTTACACCAGTACTCCGACCAACCCTTAGATTGGAGCCTCAGCAGTTTCCACAAAGGTCTCACAGAGTGTCAAACCTGGCACCTGTTTTGCTGATGTAGTATAGAGAAGACATGTCCCTGTTAGATGTAAACAAATTGTATTTCCACACCATATGGATGCCTCGATCAAGAAAAAAATCCAGTAACATTCTATGATAACCAGTATTTATTAATCGATTATTTATGCTTTCCATAACTTATTGATGTTTTCCTATACACACATGATAATAAAACACCAAGAATGCCGCCTACCGTACTGTTACTGATCAATATTTACTCAATCATGCATGACTGGAATGTGAGCGATGTCAGCAGTGTTTACATATTTTAAATGCAAAATCTACATTTATAAAAGTAATATTCATCTTGTCATAAACATTTCGAATAGTCTACTTCTACTAAATATGCAGTGCATGCACATGGAAATTTTGTAAACAAAAACATAAGGACGATCATATAAGCATACCTGTCAGGTCATGTCTGAATGATTCGAGGAGCTGTCAGTGTCTAACCTAGAAATGTTGATATTCCACAGAAAGTATGAACATAGAAACAAATAAATTTACTATTACATACAATGCTTAACGAATGGAAGTAAAAAGCTCATACCTATTTTCCTTATCAGGAGCACTGGAGTCTTTTTTCACATATTGCTTCACTTTCGCTATGTCCCCTGTCCATGCTGCCTTGTGTAGTTTTGGTAAATCCTTTTCACGAACATCATATCCAAGCTCTGGTATCGGTTGAGCACCAGCACCTAAACTTGGGGATCCAGGCGGAGCAGCTTCTCTGCTTGGAGTTTTTGTTATTTTCTTGAAAAACTTCTTCATTGTTGGTAACTAATAACGCTATCGACTGTTACTTGTTCGAACATCCGCCATGGTTTGACAGCCTCGGTTTGATACGGGCAGGTATGATACAAGGGAAATAACTCCTTCTGGTAAAAAAGTTTCACACGCAATATTTGTCAAGTTATTTGTATATGATATTAATTGAGACATAAACATGAATACGTGATTGTAGAAGTAATCTTTTATCTAGTTATTTATAACAAACAACAACAGGGCTTTATACAATGGTTATAAATACTCACTTACGCTGTTTATTGTTTGCTATGTTTTCAACTTTTAGGCCTATCAGAGACCGCTTTATACGTCTCTGGGGCTATTGAGATTATTTTTTTACCTCTGCATTCATAAAAACGTGTATAAAATTGATCATTTCTATAGCATCTGACTGTCATCAGAAAAAAGTCAAGACTTCAGTCCGAAATATTTTTCGGTGTCTGGATTTATACCTACTCAGAGACTTACTTTCTGACCTACTGGAATCCTTTTGAACCACAATATTTCTCAATAGTTACCGATCAGGTTTGAAATCTTTCAGCTGACAATGTACAATGAAGTTTATCAATTGATAATTTAAAAAGAAGGATTACTGTAGAGAGGGGAACTCCAATCCAGAGAGGGACACGCGACGTCATAAAGAGTAGTCAGGTACGTAGCTGCATTTAAAAATAATAATGGCAAGTGAGCTCGACCCCCGCCCCCGGTTTCTGTCATACTGTACAGTGAGGAGAGAACGGTTGGTGACATTTGATGATCATGATGTATACAAGCGAGATAGTTAGTAAGTCCAGAGACACATATAAAGCCAGTAGTATAACACTCTGGTTAGTCCGTGGTTAGAGGAACTTGTATACTGTACAGCCTAGTTGAGCATGGAGTGTTAGTTAGGGAACATTACCTATATATCATCAAAGCCCGGTTGTACTTACACCTGTATTATATAAGATATTTGTAATTGGGTTGTTATTTAAAGAAACCTGTACACAACCCAAGTCACGTAATATATATAAGATATTTGTAATTGGACTGTTATTTAGGGAAATCTGTACATCACCCAGAGCCAGGTATACTTTGTACCTGTAATAAACAATAAACTGTTAGTTAGGGAACCTGTACATCACCCAGAGCCAGGTATATTTTGTACCTGTAATAAACAATAAACTGTTAGTTAGGGGAACCTGTACATCACCCAGAGCCAGGTATACTTTGTACCTGTAATAAACAATAATAATAATAAATAAATAATAATAAATAATATACAACATTTATATAGCGCCCTATATAATTTGTAAAATAACTCTAAGGCACTTTACGACATATGGATGATAGTAATGGTTATAATTGTGAAAACAAACAACAAAGGCTTGCAATCACTTTAATACATTTAACTAGCAATGTGCACATAATTGAACAAATAAAAGGGTGGTATTTACATGACGTCTTCGCAAAGATTCTAAAATACAGACGTGAAGAGGTGAGTTTTTATGTCCCTCTTGAACTTGGTCAGGGTATTTGACTTCCTAATAGCAGATGGTAATTAAATAAGCTATTCCACAACGTAGCCGATACCTTCCCAAAGCATCTGTTTCCGTAGGTCACAGGACGAGATTATGGGACACACAACAAAGATTCTGACTCCGACCGCAGTGATCTTGACGGCTGATACAAGGTAACAAGCTCCTGTAGGTACTGAGGAGCTGTTCCATTCAGTGCCTTGTATGTGTATACCAGAATTTTGTACTGCGACCTGTATCGTACAGGTAACCAGTGCAACGAATAAAGCGCAGGTGTGATGTGCTCTCTCTTTCGAGCACGAGTAACTCTAGCCGTGCTGCAGTGTTCTGGATCCTCTGCAGACGACTAGCTAGTTTGTCAGATAATCCAACCAAGAGGTAAAAAATGAATGCACCAAAATCTTGCATGCATCTGCAGTTAGAAACTGCCGAAAATCCCTCTGTGTATTGTCGAAAGAGTAGGCGTGTTAACGCCGGCACAGAGGACAGGGTTAGATTAGATAACATATTTTTAGATGATTCGACGGACTTCCAAAATATAGGAACATATTAGTAAAGGACAGCCTGGATACGGTACGCCCTCCTCCTAGACCAACGCCATGATATGATACGATCGGTGATTTCCCCTTTTTTATATATATAATAAAAATCCCAATAAGATACATATATTATACGCTCAACAACTTATAGACGCCCCATAAGACCATCTACTAACAAACAATTATTTTTCTTTTCTTAAATAGACATACAACAAAGAATTAAGGGTAAATATCCGCATACATCATAGGGACCCCTCGGATAATCTCAGACTCCGACCAAACCTGACAAGGAAACAAAGTACTGTACCTAACGGAAGCAGAGACGTTTCCCTATTGTCGGGCACAACCGGCAGTTAGAGACCCGAGGTACATAACAAATATAATATATATATACCTCCCTATAAGAACAGGAATATATGCAATAAATACACTTTCAAAATACACAAATAATTTTATTTTTTGATGTACATATATACATTAATATAAGCCATATTGGCCAATTTCGAACCCCCTCAAACAACCAAAGCTGCATCATCCGGCGCGACAAGCCATTTCGGACCAAGGAGTCGTCTCCAAATTACATCACACGATAAAGATAGGATAGAACAGGCGACTCCAAACCACCCCCCGAGGGAAGGCAACTTCCTCACGCCGACAGAACACTGACTTCCGTCAATGAGATGAAACCCGTAAGGGCGGATTCATGTAGGCGCGAAACACGTAAACCAACCAACCAACCAACTAAATTGTTCCTTTAAATGTAATGCTGTATGATTTGTGATGGTTGATACAGGATCTGTAGCACATTGGTAAATATTATATAATTAGATGACTTTATACTAACGAACACTCTCTGGGCTAGCACCATGGTATATATTATCCGTCTCTTGGTGAATATCCTTATGGCAAGCCAAGTTGTCATTTATTCATGGAGCAATGTTGATCCAGTACTTAACCAAATTATATAAGATATCTTATATAATTATAATTTGGTTAAGTACTGGATCGACATTGCTCCATGAATAAATGACAACTTGGCTTGCCATATACCCTGGTATATATTATACGTCTCTGGGTGAACATCCTGGTATCTTATTACATACTTACCAATAAATACGTGTTTTTTGTATATGCGATACGACACAATTGCTCTTAAGGAATGATTTTTATTTTTTCAACATTTATGAGGTCATAACAACAATGGGTTTATGGACATATTGAATGAATCGCGTTAGCGATTCATGTAAAATATGTCCAAAAACCCATTGTTGTTATGACCTCATAAATGTTGAAAAAATAAATATCATTCCTTATATTTACATTGACGAATCCTTTCAGTGGATCGATATAACAACGAATAAAACAAATAAACAGGGTTTGTTCCTGCTTATACACGGGTGCAACGCAGTGGCGAGAACAGTGTTTTTTCGCGGGGAAATGTGACACTATCGTGAGAGATCTTAGCAACCGTCAACAACAATAACACAACAAAATGTAGTTCCATATTCAATGTTTATTTGTAGCACAGGACACGTGAATACGTGGATATTTCACAAAGCACAGTTCAATAATATTTTAAGATGTAAGAATTAAGCATCTAGGTCGGTCGTTCCGAGTGAGTAGTTTTTGTAGTGTATTACTACGCAGTGTGATCAGGTTACTATCAGTTCCCACGTGCTGAGATTCTATGAACACCTGTGTTATGCATTTATGAATGTAATTTTTGTCAATGGGTCTAAGCATACAGAATGTTATTATTTAAGGAATGATTTTTATTTTTTCAACATTTATGAGGTCATAACAACAATGGGTTTATGGACATATTGAATGAATCGCGTTAGCGATTCATGTAAAATATGTCCAAAAACCCATTGTTGTTATGACCTCATAAATGTTGAAAAAATAAATATCATTCCTTATATTTACATTGACGAATCCTTTCAGTGGATCGATATAACAACGAATAAAACAAATAAACAGGGTTTGTTCCTGCTTATACACGGGTGCAACGCAGTGGCGAGAACAGTGTTTTTTCGCGGGGAAATGTGACACTATCGTGAGAGATCTTAGCAACCGTCAACAACAATAACACAACAAAATGTAGTTCCATATTCAATGTTTATTTGTAGCACAGGACACGTGAATACGTGGATATTTCACAAAGCACAGTTCAATAATATTTTAAGATGTAAGAATTAAGCATCTAGGTCGGTCGTTCCGAGTGAGTAGTTTTTGTAGTGTATTACTACGCAGTGTGATCAGGTTACTATCAGTTCCCACGTGCTGAGATTCTATGAACACCTGTGTTATGCATTTATGAATGTAATTTTTGTCAATGGGTCTAAGCATACAGAATGTAAATATTAACCCATATCAGCCCTCGCCGTATCACATCCCAAAACCCGTATCAATCCCCGCCGTATCACACACCAAAACCCGTATCAGCCCGCAAAACCCGTATCACACCCCTTTTGGATTTTTTTCGTTTTTCAATATTTCAAAACAAAAATAGATCATAAGAAACTAGCCTTTATTAGTAAGTATGTAATAAACAGAATAAAAAAATGCCCTTTTCCGTATCACACCCAGTATCAACCCTCGACCAATATCAGCCATCGGGCCTTCGGCCCTCGCGGGCTGATATTGCAGTCTCGGGTTGATACTGGGTGTGATATGGAAAAAGACATGTATTATTCTCTATATATTATACGTCTCTTGATGAACACACTGGTATATATTATACGTCTCTGGGTGAACACACTGGTATATATTATACGTCTCTGGGTGAACACACTGGTATATATATTTGACGTCTCTGGGTGACCCCCTAGCTGTTATATTTTACGTCTTTGGGCTAACACGTTCCCTGGTACATAGGCTACAACCCTGAAACATCTTTAACAATTATGAACTTTTGTTAATGTGAATATGAGAATGTATCTTCATATGCACCCTGATGTATATATTACGTAACCGAGAGAGCTATTTAATTACCGCATCCTTCTACGCGGTGTTCAGTATGAATACTCAGTAAAATATGGTCATTGTAACGTTATTGTTTACTAATCTGCGAGATATTTTTAGTTATAGATATCTGTTTTAGTGGATTTTGTCATCAAGTGATGGCTACTAAAGTATATGGTAGACATATCTACTACCACGGAATTAGATTTGACCGTGCTACTACGTCAGTATACACAGACTTTACGTAAGGCAGTTATTCCCTGACGTTTATGTAAATCTCATAATTATATATTGCTATACATTCCGGATGAAAAATGATAAATATCTTTCCCTTACTTCCAAATGGGCCAATTAGGACCCAAATAACGCGATGAACCCATCTGATTGTTAATGACAGAGACCAGTATGTAATTTTATGTCTGTTAGTACTCTATATATGATCCCATTAGTTACAACTACTCTCCAGGGAAATGGAAATCAAAGTTGCGTTACGTTTGAACCACAGAGCAATGATAAACATGGATGTGGTGTGCTGATCTTATCACAGTGGTGTTACATACATTGTACATTGTTATTGTGTGTGTATACAGTCTGTACACCACAGAACGTACGTATGTTTATGTACGATATATATAAGTGTTAGATGTCTTCAAGTGAATTTATCACACGGACTTAAATTATCAATATGTGATATAAGTACATGCTGTATACCCTACCGTGAGACGCAGCTCTGAGTCTTAGTCAGACCCGATGTAGGAGGGGGATTTCGGGGAACCAGGAAGGTGATATATTGTAAGTGTATAAGGCCGCTGTATTGGACAGCATTATAGATTTTTTAAAGTGAAATTCGTATGTTTCCCGGTTATATAATCATTTCAATACAACATTGATGAGAAAACGATATTTTAATGCAATATGATTCATTGAAATAATTCAAATATCCGATAAATTGAATAGTGCGTAACTTCACAAATCAATCAACACGCCACTCCCCTTTTAAGAAAGTGTAGCAGTATTCTCCGTATGAAGTTTAATTTACGTGTGATGTGTCTGTATGCCATATTCATAAGGGTAATAGAGATATTTACTATTTTTTGTAAGCTGTTCAATGATGCTACCGTTTCTGATAATTCTGTAAGAATATCGATACAGATAAAGCAGGCCTGACGCGTACGCAAATATATAAATTATTTAAGCATATATAGTCAAGAACACTTATAAGGCACAAAGACGTATACAACCATTATATAAGTTTCTGTGTTAAGTTCGATTTTTAATTCAGAGACGTATAAAGCCAATCTATATGTATCTGTGGTACTTCTTGAGAATTGCGATAACAGACTAACTGTCAAAATCCAGATAAGATCAGTCTCAAAATTAGCCCGAGTTTCCTCTGACCCAGACATATATATATCTGTCAAAATGTCTAAGTCTGGTGTCAGGGCCAGAGGAAACTCAGGCTATCTCAAAATAAGGCATGCACAGCTAATTAAGCCTAAGGGGAACTTTCATATGAAATTTGAGAAAAATCTGCACTTTTTGAGGAATAACGATAACAAGTAATATTGTTGCCTAATAGGGACGTATATGTATGACGGGCTAGTAAAACAAATCTGAAACCACTTTTGTGTCATATCATTTTAAGCGTGCCTCGTGGCAAAAATCATAATTTAATAATGTTTTAGAACGGATCTAGCAAGCACAAAACATTGGCCTATACTTTATGTCAGTTTTGCATTTTTTGCACACAGTCATAATTCAAGGAGACCTATAAAAAAGTTACACGAACTGTGAAATAAGAAGTAATTTATTGGCTAACTTCATATACAATCTGTACTGTAACTATCTTATAATTGTGCTGTCCATGACAGTCATTATTTTCTTAAATATATAAATTTACAGTTTCGGTGCTGTAGGCCTAGCAGACGACGTTGTAAAGCGAAAGTAGATCTTTTGTGAAAAGAGAGCAAAAAAAGGTGACGAGGAAATGAAATAAACTTCCGGTTTACATCGTCTGCATGTGACCAGAACGGATTAATTTTTGCATGCTGAAATCCATGGAGCAAGAAATTGATCCAATAAAATTCAGCATCAGAGATGTTAATGAGGACAAGTTCATCACTATTTCGGGAATAAACCGGTACTTTCTGATTGGTAAGTGTATTCATCATCGATCGGCTATATATAAAAATACAGGTTAATTTATGTTGAAATTACATGGAATTGTATTGAAAACCATTATCAGATTAAGTAGCGTTGATAAGCGTGTATAAGTAATATACATAATAGTACATTTTATACTAAAAAAGACATGTATGATTCCAATTGGCAGCCAGAAATTCAGATATACAAAATCGAAGTATCTTGTTGACTTCTAGTCCGAATTATTCTGACGTTTTATCGACTTTTTTCATAACGGTCTGTCGTCGATTAACGTCATTGACTTCCAATGCAAATTTGATGTTACGCAAATGAATAAAACAGAATCCGTTTACATACAGGGGTTTGTAACAAAAACAGTTGTATATTATTTGATTATGGCCCTTTCACGAGGGAACTATTTTCTTTTAGTACATCACATGATAATTTCTAGGATAGCTATTGGATAACTACCCTTGTTCTATTTGGTATAGTTAGCATCCGCCCTTGACGACGGGAACTATACCTGGAGACGGGCACTATACTTTTTTTTTGGACCGCTGAGACTACGGGAAAAGTAGCGTGAGTAGAGTTGCGCCCCTTCTCCGAGGAGGCGCTGTATATATTCTTCTTTCACTTCATTGTTGTCGTCTGCCAAAATGGCAGCAAATTTCGGGACCAGGAATGCCAATTGCTTTGCAGAGGCTCAGCAATGCATAAAGACGAAGCAGACGACACCATTTGACGTCACAGTACTTGCACACTTCCTACTGGAAAGGGGAACCGTATGTGACCTAGCGGTGATTCAATCCAATGAATTGAATATGCAACAAAAAAGGAGAGATCTACTCAAACAATTATCCTATAGACATTTGTTGTTAATTATTAAATATTTTACTTTTTATTGTCAAATGACAGTCATGTCATGTACTGAATCTATTATGACCCTTTCCCTCGGGAACAGTTCTCTTATAGTGTTGTCTGGGGAGGTCTCTGGCCAACACTATAAGAGAACTGTTCCCGAGGGAAAGGGTCATAATAGATTTAGTGCATCACGTGGCTGTCATTTGACAATAAAAAGACAAACATGAGGAACTTCATTGAAAACATATTTAATAATTTTAAAACAACTGCTGGAAATTTGAACGTAACATTTGAAGTTTTGATTCATGAGTTGTTGTTGAAAGAAGGTGTACAAAAAATGGAATGTCGAAATCTCTGCCACATGATGGTTCTTGTAAATGCCGCCGCAAACCTTGCCTGATGTCATCAAGATAATTTTTTGAGTAGATCTCTCCTTTTTTGTTGCGTATATTGGCATAAAAATCCGCCATAATACCCTTCAATTCACTGGATTGAATCACCGTTAGGTCACATACAGCTCCCCTTTCCAGTAGGAAGTCTTTAAGGACTGCGACGGCAAAATTGTGTCACCTGCGTCATCTTTATGCATTGCTGAGCCTCTGCGAAGCAATCGGCATTCCCAGTCCAGAATCTCGAAGCCATTTTGGCAGACGACAACAATGAAGTGTAAGGTGTAAGTAGAATATGTACAGCGCTCCCTAGGAGAAGGGGAGCAACTCTTAGCTTCACGCTACTTTTCCCGCTGTCTCAGCGGTCCAAAAAAAGGTATCGTGCCCGTCTCCAGGTATAGTTCCCGTCGTCAAGGGTCGATGCTAACTGTACCAAATAGAACAAGTGTAGTTATCTAATAGCTATCCTAGAAATTATCATGTGATGTAATAAATATATATATTCGAACATACGAACACACGTAATATACAATCACATGTAATAGATGAACATACATAATAACATCTGCTCTTATGTTTGATAGTTTTTCATATTTGCTACTGTGATCTGCACTTACAAGGAAGTGTAACTTATATGTTACATTCTGTTCATGATTTCCTGCTTTTGACGCATAGTGAAGATCAATATGAAGCGGTACTTAAGCATTACACACGCTAACACACTCTTTTAATTGTCAATTAAAACAAGTTAAATACTATAATATGTTGTGTTGGCTGTGACAGTGACAATTATTAGGAAGAGGGAAGTGATTCTAATGATTCCTAAGTGATTGTTCTAAATCCATTTCTTTAACAAAATAAAAAGTGACCGGGTGTAAAACTGATTTCCAAAGCACCTGGCAAATAATTGCTTCAAAAATCAAGGTCAAGGCCTTAAAACGGGTTATTCTGGTTTTTGACAGGCGAGTGTAACTTTTTTACACTCATGAATAAATAATTAAGTTGCATTTTTACATTTTTCTTTTGCAATCAAATTTGATGCCAGAATATTGAATGAAGAATATTTAAAAATTTGGTGGAAACATTTTTGTAAGTAAGTTGGTATAATATGGTAAAGGGATGGGAACACTGACTAGAAAATGGGTAGCTAGGGCATATTTTTAAGCAATTTGGGACACTTGTTAGGTCCCATACAGTACATGACAGTTAAACAAGATATTTAACTACAGAATCTTCATTGTTTAGGTCTGAACACAGAAGGAAACATCTGCAGCGAGGATGTGAGCAGTGAGGGTACGGGGGAAGTGTGTGTGCCCCTTGTGAGACTGTGTATCAGTAACACTGGGGGACTCACCATGGCCCCAGGAAACAAGGATCTGCCCTGTTACATCCAGGGTGAGGTACTGCAGTCTGAGGTCAACGTCATCAGTGGTTAGTTAACCTTATTAAACTTCTTCTAATGTAGGAGAAGTCTCAATGATTTGAAAGTGATTGCAATTCGAAGTATCCGGCATATAACTTGTACATATATATATATATCTGTATTAGTTTATTTTTTCTGATTAATGTGTGATGTGTGTATAATACTGTCAAGTGTGATCAGTAACTACAAAACTCTTTTGATCAAGCTTTAAAGGCTAATAATGTTGTATTATATATATTGGAATTTTTCTTCTGTCAGTGTCATGTACCATGTGACTTCTGATTTCTATAGCATCTTTTGTATGCATTCAGTTTGAATTCTTTGTATGACTCAAATTCTTCTTTCATCTTTAAAACGGATTAAAAAATAAACTCAAAAATGTTTTCATATTATGTAATAGCTAGTCCTTGTTCCCCTACAAGCCAGATTATTTGATCAGTCATACAACTTGTACAGCTAAACATGGATAATACAAACATAGATATTGCAAAACATGCTTGTGATCAAGGTATGTTGTGTCCCTGGAAAGACATTTTCTTTTGAAATTTTAACTGTGAAAAAAATGGCTTATGATTGCCTTTTAAAACTAATTTCATGGGTTCATTTAATTTACTTATGTTTACTTTAGTCTGTTAGCAAAACTTACAGACCAGCCATCTCTGTCATTTCTAGGTACTTCAGTGGATGTTGCTGACAAATACTTGGAAATTTGTGCCGGAGAGTTTAAAAAGCCAAGGAGAAAATTACCTAAAACTCCTGGCATGGCGACTGTATCCAAACCACCACCAAAACCAAAACGAGTTTTACAGACTCTGTCAATTACTGAACCTGTAAGTAGGACTGATGTTCAAAACACTATTCTAGCTGACATACATTGTTGGAATTGTTTTAAAATCATTGTTCTATAAACTTATAAGACAGCTTTGTTTTTAGTACTTTTTCCAAAATAAAATTATGTACAATTTTTATTGTTATTGTAAAATGGTACTGTAACCAGAAATATCAGGTTAAATATCAACAAATGTATTGAATATTGAATTGAATTTGAAAAATATATGTCTAGTTGTAATCTAAGGATATATGCCAATCTTTCACATTATACATAGGATTTGTTTTAGAGTTAGTTCCCTTGACTGTTAAGTATGTATACTGGTAGCATTATCTAATATTTCAAAATTATCAGAAGCTAATCAATGAATGTGTAACTTTTAAATGTATCAGCAGTTATTTAACCAAGTCCATATTAAAAATTTAGATTTTTGAATTTATATGTAGGACTCTTTTGGTAAAGAGATTTATATGAGGTAGCATAAAGCCTTAAGACATGAGTTTGCTTTACCAGGAAGTGGAGGTGAAAGAAAAGGACCATTATCTACAGGGCAACTGGGAGGTCATCCAACGGCCTGATGTCAACTCCGAAATCCTCGCCAATCTCAACAGTCCAGCAGAGGTATATTTATTCATGATGAAAAGGAAGTATTTTTTCCCCTTAAATTGGCCAACACTATATCAATAACATGTCAAAGATATCCACAATATGAAATTGCTTTTTGAGTATTTTTTCAGGATGAAGGAAGTAAACCTTTCAATTTTCCCCCCTAAAATTGGCCAACACTATCAATGACATGTTAAAGATACTCTCCAATACATTTACATTATCATAGAGAAATAATACATTTTACAAGGAAAAAAGACATGAACAGTATCAGATATCAAACAGAAATAAGATTCAATTATTATTATAGAGATATAAAACACAGGAAATAATTCAGAAAAATGACACACACTATGATAGAGAAAGGAGACATTAACCATATATATAAAGATAAATGATTTATGTTGTTGTTTTGCTTCCAGCTGGGTATTATGGCAGCCAGTTTCCTTACCAAGCAAATTCAGCAGTACACAGATGTCAGACTAAGTATTGAAACCACAGACGCCATCTTCAGGTTTTTGCAGGTATATACTGATAGTAGCACTAAAACCTTGTATTATATGACTCTGGATTAGATGCTCAACCTGCCTTAGACAACCCTGTCATTTCTTTTGCATTTTATGTCTACAGATATTTTTTTATGATTGATAAAAATGTTCCTTTAAAGCAACTCATACCATTGAAGGTTCTCTACTTATTTACCATGTCCATTTCTATTTCTTCTCCGAGCAACATGTTTGTGACACAAGTAAAACAACAACTATTGACATCTGTTATACACCGGACACACATCCACACCTACACATATGACACAAATACTTCCCTTTGTTCACACAATGATACAACACAATCCTGTCCCTTTAGCAGCAGTGTAAAGCACACCACTAGATATCGTCAAGTTTCCGTATCCTTGATGCAGTCCTTGAATTGAAGCCCTTAAAGGACTCACACAACTTAGTCAGCCATTCAGCAAGTGTGTCATACGATTGTAATTCCTACCTAACATTTGTTCCGGTTAAATACAGTGCTTCTGAGTAATTTAAATATGCAAATATTGACATGTTTTCTATTTAATATATAGTAAATGATTTAGTTGTGTGAGTCCTTCAACACATTCACTTTTATCTGAAACCACTACTTGTAAGATAAAAAGAAAAAGCTTTAAATGTAATTCAGATAATCATCACACCTCTGGACAATGAACCAAGTATAAATCTAAATTTAGTCAGTTTAGTAATCAATAATCACCTGTACTTTAACTGAGGAAGATAACATAGACGCCATCATTCTATGTACCTCGAACATAGATTTGAGGTACAACTATTTTCCTGTAATATTTTTTTCTACAGTATGCAGAAAAAAATAATATTTCGTATTGCATGCCATATATTTCAAAAGGTAACAAAAAAATTTCAGGGATTTATATTCTCAGTTACATTTCTGCAGAATATCAATTCATTCACAAGAGAAAATAATGAAGTTTTCATTACTCTCTAATTGAAAAGTGTTTCTTTTATTGAAGATTTCGTTAAAGAAGCATGGCTATGTACATGTAAGGTCTTGTTAACTTTTAATTCTGAAATTGTAACTTTTTTGTTGTAATTGTAGGAGGTAGCACATTACCAAAAAGGATTACTGATGGCATATTTAACAGAGACATCAGAAAAACTGGAGGAGATGCCTGAATCAGAGAGGGATCGTCCAATGCATAGACCAGCGGTCAAACTCCTCGTGGAATTGTTGAGACAGATTTTGGTAAGTGGCAGAATTTCTTGAATACTGTCTTCTCATTTCACTGTCATATTTTATAATGTTTTATATTTGTCTCTAATGCCTAAAAATCTCATTTCTTCTGTGTGTTTCTCATTTCATTTTCTTTCAATTTCAAAAATGTCCACTCCTAGAAGTGCTAAAACCTTTACTACGGTATTGATAGTAATACATGTGCAAGAATCGTTCACACTTCAAAAAATGTAAAAGTGTTGATGTTTTCATTGTCAGGATCCTTTGAGCCATGTAGTGCTGTGTGTGCAGTTACTAAGGACATTTAGCCACTTTCCTAGCAACCTGACAACCATGATCCAATGCCAGGCTTTTGCTGCTATCCTGGGCACCATGGCAGTATACTTGAAGGACAAACAAATTCAGGAGTATGGCTTAGACATCCTGGCCCACGTCGCCACCTATAGACCCAACATACGTCATAAGGTATTACAACATAACTTTCCATACCACCTATAGACCCAACATATGCCACATGGTATTACAACCTAGCCCTTAGTACCACCTATAGGCCCAACATATGTCACAAGGTATTACAACATAGCCTTCCATACCACCTACAGGCCCAACATATGCCACAAGGTATTACAACATAGCCTTCCATACTACATAAAGGCCCAACATATGCCACAAGGTATTACAACCTAGCCTTCCATTCCACCTACAGGCCCAACATACGTCACAAGGTATTACAACCTAGCCTTCCATACCACCTACAGGCCCAACATATGCCACAAGGTATTACAACATAGCCTTCCATACTACATAAAGGCCCAACATATGCCACAAGGTATTACAACCTAGCCTTCCATACCACCTACAGGCCCAACATACGTCTCAAGGTATTACAACATAGCCTTCCATACTACATAAGGCCCAACATACGTCTCAAGGTATTACAACATAGCCCTCAATACCACATATAGGCCCAACATACGCCACAAGTTATTACAACCTAGCCTTCAGTACCACATATAGGTCCAACATATGCCACAAGGTATTACAACCTAGCCCTTAGTACCACAAATAGGCCCAACATAGTACAACACATAGGCCCAACATACATCTCAAGGTATTACAACATAGCCCTCAATACCACATATAGGCCCAACATACGCCACAAGTTATTTAAGGAATGATTTTTATTTTTTCAACATTTATGAGGTCATAACAACAATGGGTTTATGGACATATTGAATGAATCGCGTTAGCGATTCATGTAAAATATGTCCAAAAACCCATTGTTGTTATGACCTCATAAATGTTGAAAAAATAAATATCATTCCTTATATTTACATTGACGAATCCTTTCAGTGGATCGATATAACAACGAATAAAACAAATAAACAGGGTTTGTTCCTGCTTATACACGGGTGCAACGCAGTGGCGAGAACAGTGTTTTTTCGCGGGGAAATGTGACACTATCGTGAGAGATCTTAGCAACCGTCAACAACAATAACACAACAAAATGTAGTTCCATATTCAATGTTTATTTGTAGCACAGGACACGTGAATACGTGGATATTTCACAAAGCACAGTTCAATAATATTTTAAGATGTAAGAATTTAGCATCTAGGTTGGTCGTTACGAGTGAGTAGTTTTTGTAGTGTATTACTACGCAGTGTGATCAGGTTACTATCGGTTCCCACGTGCTGAGATTCTATGAACACCTGTGTTATGCATTTATGAATGCAATTTTTGTCAATGGGTCTAAGCATACAGAATGTAAATATTACAACATAGCCTTAGATACGACATAAAGGCCCAACATACGTCACAAGGTATTACAAGTTTGCCTTCAGTACCACATATTGGCCCAACATAGTACCACATATAGGCCCAACATACGCCACAAGGTATTTAAACATAGCCTTAGATACCACATATCTACCTTGACTTCCAGTGGGTTGAAATGGACGGACGTCACCAAAATGTCCAGTAAGAAATAATGATTTTGTGATTCCTCCATCTATATTACGGAGCTTCGTTGGACTGTACACGTTTATTATGGACAGTGTTTATTATGGACATATAGGCCCAAATACGTCACAAGGTATTACAACGTGTAAGGCTTTGTGAAACTTTCTCCATTTCTGAGTTGAAAACATCTACAAAAGCACAGTTTGATATGTTCCAGTTGATAACTTTTGTTTTAGCTGCCCCTGAGAGAAACAGGTCTTGAGATGATCCTGCGATCAATGAACCATCACCAGACTGACGAAAACATCACACTGTCAGGCTGTCGTACCCTGGCCAATCTCACTTCTACACTTCAGGAGATGCTTGACAACCTACTGGACTTAGGTATTTTACCCCAACACATCTGTACCACTGAGAGGTTTCCAACAAGAGAGGGTTGGCTTTTTAGGCTATCCAACTCAAATGTGTTACTATTCTAAATTTTTAAAGACAAAACATTTACCATCTGACTCTTTCAGGTTGAAAATCAATCAATAAGAGAAAAGGCTATTGCTGATTTGGAGGGAGGAGGGGGTAGGGGGTTAATTTACCAAAGCTTAAGGAACAGGAGTGAAGGCAACATGGAATGAAAATCAAAGGTCAAGGTCACAACACAAGCATTGGGGTTACTTGGTTAAGATTAATTACTGCAGTTACTGTTTTGTTTTTAAGTATTGAAGTATGGAATGAATGTCTATGTACACTTGTTACTGATAAAATAAGGAATAGACTTCGAAGGCTGTAAAGATTGAAGGTCAGATGTCAGGGTCACTTGGTACAAAAACAAATTTCTTGCTTAGTGATGAATGGAAAGTCACCTCAAACTCAGAACAGTTGGGCACTAAGCAAAAACAAAAAGAATGTTGCATATAGGGGTTTAAAGTTGAAGTTCAAGATCACATATTTAAAATTTGTTAAAATATCATATTTTCAGAAATATTTATAGTGTTCATTGAAGAAGTCTGGTGTCTGAACCAAAAAATCAAATACGAAGGTCACAAAGTCACTGTAGTTAGAAGTCAAAAGTCAATGCCACAAGGTCACATCTTGAAAGTCCAAGGTCAAAGTGGTTCAAAGTCAAAAAGTCAAAATCATAAAGTCACTCAAGTATAGTTTTAAGAAAATATGAAATATTTAGCTAGTTTTGTTTGGTTATGCTACACTTTGTTGTACAATTGGTATTGGTATTGAACGTCTAACCCAAACATGTCTATAAGTGGGATTATTTTCTCAGATTCCACTCCAGACATAAATGAGGCAGTTGAGAAGTATGAGAAACTCCTGTGTCACCTGTTTGAGCATGCCATACAGGTCATACAGAGGTCACTCCAAAACTTCCCCGACAACATAACAATCAAAACAGATGGACGCAGATTTCTCTTCAATTACTCCAAGATGACTCAGATCACGTAAGTCTTGATTTTTAGGTCACCTGAGCTTTAGCTCAAGTGACCTATTGCTATCCGTTTTCGTCCGTCGTCGTCCGTCGTCCGTCGTCCGTCGTCCATCGTCCGTCGTCCGTCGTCCGTTAACATTTTACATTTCAAACTTAAAGTCAAGTTCTGCTGGGCCGATTGAACTGAAAGTTGGTAGGAATGATCGCCTCATGGTCCTGACAAAGTGTTGTTATTTTTCGGGTCGATCAGAAATCCAATATGGCCGCCACGGCCGCCATTTTGAAAACCTATTTCAAACTTAAAGTCAAGTTCTGCTGGACCGATTGAACTGAAAGTTGGTAGGAATGATCGCCTCATGGTCCTGACAAAGTGTTGTTATTTTTCGGGTCGATCAGAAATCCAATATGGCCGCCACGGCCGCCATTTTGAAAACCTATTTCAAACTTAAAGTCAAGTTCTGCTGGACCGATTGAACTGAAAGTTGGTAGGAATGATCGCCTCATGGTCCTGACAAAGTGTTGTTATTTTTCGGGTCAATCAGAAATACAATTTGGCTGCCATGGCCGCTATTTTGCTACTAAGTTCTAATAGGCCGATCTCACTTAAAATTGGTCTAGGAATGATCAGCTCATGGTCCTGACAAAGTTAAGTTAACATTATACTATTTTTTACTCAAATTGGTACATATTTCAACAACAAAAATAAATACTATAGACTCAGGTGACCGTTAAGGCCCATGGGCCTCTTGTTTTGTGATGAAGTTTATTTTTGGGAAAATATGCTTTTGGGATATACATGTATTAAAAAGAAGTGAGAATATGGTATGACTTAATAAAATGGTCTAGAAGATAAGTATGTCATTGAAAATATATTGATTATACTATGTATATACCTGTTAGATACAGGTCGTACAGAGGTCACTCTGTGGTGTCTTTCCATATGTAGATGGGACATATTCTTCAATATTGTTAGAAGCTATGGTCTCCATTACATTCTTTTTATACGACCGTCAAATTTGATGGTAGTATTATTATACGCCCGTCAAATTTGACGGTAGTATTATGGTATGGCGTTGTCCGTCTGTACGTTCGTCCGTCCGTCCGGCGTAAACTTTGTTTGTCCGGCAAACTACTCCTACATTTTATCGACCGATCTATTTGAAACTTGGTATACATTATAATCATGATATGAAGTTGTGTCTCCCGTAAAATAATTTTGATTTGACTATTTTTCCAAAACTTATTGCCCTTTGTTCATTTCAGTATTTTATTTTTGTCCAGAGATCTCCTCCTGCATTTTTCAACCGATCTATTTGAAACTTGGTATACATGATAATCATGATATGAAGTTGTATCTCCATTAAAAGAATTTTGATTCGACTATTTTTCCAAAACTTATTGCCCTTTGTTCATTTCAGTATTTGATTTTTGTCCGGAGATCTCCTCCTACATTTTTCGACCGATCTCTTTGAAACTTGGTATACTTGATAATCATGATATGAAGTAAATTAGTTGTGTCTCTCTTAAAAGAATTTTGATTTGACAATTTTTCCAAAAGTTATTGCCCTTTGTTCATTTCAGTATTTGATTTTTGTCCGGAGATCTCCTCCTACATTTTTTAACGGATCTCTTTGAAACTTGGTATACTTTATAATCAAGTAAATCAGTTGTGTCTCCCTTAAAAGAATTTTGATTCAACTATTTTTGCAAAATTTATTGCCTTTTGTTCATTTCAGTATTTGATTTTTTGTCTGAAAATTTTCTCCTACTTTTTTTTATAGCATATCAGCTAACCACTCTTAGAATGATGCAGATCTTATTTCAATGTAAGAAAGTATATAACACTTTATGGCATTCGACGGGCATATTTTGTTCCGCCCCGCGGTACTCTTGTTTATCTTGACTTACATTTGAATGTGGTGTTGAATCTTTTTCATATTTTGTCAAGGTTAAAGAAGAAGGTGTGGGTTCAGCATCGTGATACATCGCCTGAGGTTGACTCTGATGGAGAGCTGACGGAGGACACAGCCTCTCCTGTCAGTGTACAGGACCTCACCACACCCACGACCTTCCTCCAGGTCAAGTCTGATGACAACAACACCAAGGGCATACTCAAACACACAGTTGAAGGGGGCGATTTAACTGGTCCCGAGAAAAAGGTCCGTTTTCCAGATGAAGATTCTGAGGATTCTTTGGCTTCAGAATCATCAACTGATGAGGAAGAAGATAATGATGATGAGGATGACTGTGCTATCGGTGGCGACGCTGTTAGACAAAAACTAAGAAAAAAAGTAAGTCGAGTGGACGTTTGTTATGGGGATGAACCAATATTGGTTGTGCAGAAGACAGAGTTACTGAGTCCAGAATATTTCTCCACTGCTACAGATAAAGACGTTGACGGTGTAAACAGTAATGGTGAAAATGATATACTGGATGATAGTGATGACGTCTTTGAGACATGTGATAAACCAAACTCTGAATCTAGTCATGATGGACGACGAAGTGGTGTAGATCTGACAGAGAGGTCTGATGATGAGCCTACTGGGCCAGTCCTAGTGGTGAACAGTACCTCTGGTAGTGGCCCTGGGACATTGACAAGTGATGCTACAGAGGCGGGGAAGGAAGACCCTGGGAGTACTGAGTGTCCCATCGATGCAAGGGCCACAGACGAGGAGGTTGGGGATGTCTCACAATCACTGGTCAAGGCAGCAAGTCCATCACCATCCCATCAAGTCACCGGGCTGTCCTACAGTGTAGCAGATAGCCCATTCCTCATTAAAGTCATATACTTGTCCGTAAGTAAAAAAAACACTGACCACACACATTGTTTGAAACCTTAAATACATAAGGTTTGCTGTATTGATCCTAGAATCAGCTTGAAGGGTTTAAACTTTGTACAAAACATGGTTTATGGTAGGGTCTATATTTTGTGTGTTTTGCTAGTTCATGTGTTTAAAATCTGAAAAAGATTTTGGCAAAATGTAAATGCAATAGAATGCATCTTTTGTGATACACCAACTGAGCTCTTGATTACCACCATGTTATTTCAATCTTGCTTTCGGAGTACTTTTCTCTTATGCCAGTAGGCAAAAGATCTTTGGAAGTATCGAAACCATGTATATGTTACAAAAGCTCTTACTGGCTTTACCATCTCTTTGTACTATTACAAATGTGGTTAGCTTATAGACTAGCTGGTGCTTAGAATGGGTAAATCAATTCAGATCCTTTTGGCATTATGTTGTATTATCTAAAAGCTGAAATGAAGACCAGACATTTCAGTTTTACTGTTGATATCAAGGAATTTTCAGCCAGTATATTATGATATCAAATGTTAACTGTTGTTGTGATTTATTTTTGGTAGATCGTGAATTACCTGAGTGGTCTGGTGTTGGGAGATCGTGATTCCTTTGCCCTGGATATTCTGGACCACCCACTGCGATTCCTCACAGAGAAAAGCGGTGCCTTACCAGAGATACTCGACTTTGTGAATAAACAGTTTGAAAAAAGTAAAACTCTGATGGATGTGGACCCTACTTTCCTCATCAGCCTTATAGACTGCATCAGATACAAGTGAGTTGACGGAAGATTTTCCTACTTGGATAACTTTTTCCGGGAAACTTTCATCTAGTCAAATATTCGCCCTTCACTGGTAAAATCTAGGCTCGCCCAGAATTAATTTCGCCCTAAAAATGTAACAAATATAAAGGGTGTGCTGTTTACTTACATTGCTGTTATGATAAATTTGCCCTCTTTGCGAAGATGAAAAAAGAGAAAATTAAACTGTGATGAAAATTTCCTGGTTTATACAGTATCTAGCACATGTTAACAAGACCTTGAGGATATTCTAACTCACTTGTCAAAACTGAAGTGAGGTGAGCAGTTCAGAAACGGAGTTTTCATTGTCATATTCATTAGAGAATTTAATAATAATAATGATAATTTGAGGTTCTTTTATACAGCTTTATCACAACCTAGTTTGTAGGCCGTCTCAAAGCGGTTCACAAATTATTATCCATGGTTATAGGGCGTTTTCAACCAACCAATATCCAATATCTTTCTCAGCTCCCTGGGGAGCATACAGCCGATGCTGCCATTTTGGTGCTCACCACTAGCATTCAACTCAGTGCCGCAACATGAATCGAAATCTGCAACCCTTCGATAATAAGCCTGGCATCCTACTACAAGACAACCGTGTCCCCAGATGACGTTCATGTTTTATTATAACCCCCGCGATGAAGTTAGGGGGGCTATACTTGAATCAGCTTGTCTGTCTGTCCTTCTGTCTGTCTGTAAATAGAAAAAGTTTGTCCAGACAACTCCTTCTAAAGTAATGGACCAATTTCCACAAAACTTTCCAGATATGATAACTACCACCTGAAGTTGTGCATCCAGGTATTAATTTTTCATTCTGTCCCTTTTTCAGGAAGTTATGGCCCTTTGTTGAAAAATCCTTGTCCAGACAACTCCTCAAAAACTATGGGGCCAACTTCAATGAAAATTTTCAGCTATGATAACCATCACCTGAAATTGTGCTATATTGTTCATGTTTACTTTTGAAACTGATCAGTTGAACAAAATGGCCTACCGACAGCCATCTATGATTTTTGACATTGAAGGTTTGTTAGTACTATTTTTCAGGAATAACTTGAGGGATCTTTCTCAAATTTGATATGTAGGTTCCCCTTGATCCCTCGTTGTGCATGTTATATTTTGAGACTGATCATAAAAACAAAATGGCTAAAGGAAGAACTAAACAGATCTTTCCCATATTGCAATGATCAATTCTATTTCTTTCACATTAAGTACTGTACTAGTAAATATGTGAAATGACAAACTCACTTTGAAGGTTGTCTTTCATACACATCAGTATTAAGTTTAGATCAGAAGTAACCTCAAGGTGCATTTACTGTTAACATGACTCGATCAAACAGGTTAGAGGAAAGAAGAGAAAAGATTGAATTGACAAAGAACTAATGAAGATGATACAATGGTGGGCATCAAGATCCCTCTAGGATCTCTTGTTTGGAGTTATGGCCCTTTGTTGAAAAATCATTGCCCTGACAACTTATCCTAATCTACTTGGCCAATTTCAAAGAAAAGTTTACAGATATGGCAACTGCCCCCTTGACATGGTGCATTCAAGTAGATTGTAGTACTTTTTCATTCCGACCCTTTTAAAAGGAGTTATGGCCCTTTGTTGAAAAAACCTTTGTCTGCCTCCTGAACTACTGGGCCAAATTCAATGAAAGTTTACAGATATGGTAATTACCCCCTGATTTCGTGCATAAGGATAGTTTTTTTTTCGTTTCGACCCTTTTTAAGGTGTTATGGCCCTTTGTTAAAAATCTTTTTCCTGACATCTCGTCCTTAACTACTAGAATGATTTCAGCAAAACTGACACTCATCTGGGCTAACAAGATTTGGTCTGCAAGTATGTTTTCGCATTGGGAGGGAATACAGGAAGTATATGAGTGACCTATATACTTAAATAAGTGTACAGCTCAGCCAATAAAGAAAAATCTTACTGGTGGGAGACTATATTGCTTTGCAATGCTTTGCCTTAGTAAGCCTTTAGCTTACAGTTCTGGTTTACATAGGAACAGGGGGTATCAGTTAGCCTTTGGCTTATAGATCTAGTTTATACACATCTGTAATAGCAGGGTAAGAATCTAACACTTGTTTGACATGTCATATAGATCTCAGTAATCAAGAACTAGTGGCCGGTTTCCCTCTCCCTCAAGTGACTTTGAGTAGAAATCATTTAACTAAAACATTTTCTTTTTCATTCTCAGAACAGAACCACTTTTTGCACTGATTTTCAAATACGACTTTTACCTGTAGATTAATACATTCTAAATTACAAACAATTCAACAAAACCTATTCAACAATGACAGTTAAAATGTTCATTTAGTTGGTTGAGATAGTTTCTGAGTACTTATATAACGAAACACAGTATCAAATGGTTAGTGAATATCCTGGAGTGACACAAACCAGTCCTTTTGACCAATTAAGTCAGTTTCAAATTCTTTATACAGTAGAGAATTCAGACATGACATTTGTGTTGTTTGCTCTGTTCACTGTTGTTTAATTTAAACATTACACTTGAGTTGTTTGCTTGATACACTGTTGCATTCAGTACATAATTAAGATATGACATGTATGTTGCATTTGAAATTTGCATTTGTTCTTTGCATTTTTGTATACAATAAAAAATTTAGACATGATATTTGCGTTGTTTACAGGTCTCTGTTGTTCGACCTGTATAAGAAGAGCATGCTGGAGGTTTGCAGTGATCTGACTGAGACCCATTCACCAAAGGTCACATCCTGGGCATTAGCCACACTTGTCTTGGTTGTGAAAGATACAAAAACCTTCTCTATGTTGACAGGTGAGTTCTACGTGGCACTCTAGAGCTAACTTCTGGTAACATATGTACAGTTTTAGGTATTACAGCTGTACAAAGTTCTACGTGGCACTCCAGAGCTAACTTCTGGTAACATATGTACAGTTTTAGGTATTACAGCTGTACAAAGTTCTACGTGGCACTCCAGAGCTAACTTTTGGTAAAATATGAATAGTTTTAGGTATTACAGCTGTACAAAGAATGTACATGTAAATTCACTGTCACAAAAGAATTGTTTGGAAACTGCATACTATTTTGAAAAGAAAATGTGTATTTCAGAATCTATTATTTGCAGTCATTCGAAAGTTGAAAACAACAAAATTTATATCATGATTTATTTGTATCTATAGACAAGTTAAGGTTTTGTCCGAAAGTTTCATAAATTGTCTGCAAATCTCAAAGATTGTCCACAATCTTACAACTTGATTGTGAGTCTCCTAATTAAAGTAAAGAGTAATGATATCTTGTACCAATAAAAATGATCGCAGGATCTATAAAACTGTTCTGACATAGTTATTCAGACTCCAATCCAGATTTTTGTCTAAACTGGTCAAATAATTTGGTTCTGAATATGACAGTGTATAACTAATGGACTTTTTGTAATCTGAATCTCTCTGCAAATCTTAAAGCCCTGTCACACCTAACCACGTTGCCACTGCGATTGCACGGCGTTGTGAAGTTTCCCAGAGCGCCATTAGATCGCAGGATTTTTTTTATATTTTTCATGAAGATGTCGATGTCACAGCGTTCTCACGGTGACCTTGGCGTTTCTACGGAGCTCCATGGCGTTCTACCATGTTCCTATGGAGTTCTAGTTAGTGATTGTCTGCGCTCTCATGGCGCTCTCACGGCGCTTCCACTGTGTGCATTGAGTTGTCACGGCGCCGTATAAGGGCGGTAGAGACACAGTGTCATCTCAGAGAACGTCGTACGATCGCTGTGCAAGCGCCACCGATAACCATTGCGTTCGCACTGCAATCTCTGTGCGCCCCCATGGCGATCCTGTGGCATTGTAGGAGACCTAACTGCGCTGCTTCGGCAACCTCACGGCAACCCCACTGCGCTTTTATCAGAACGCCGAGCGACGGCGTTTGTTTTGGGCATGCTCAAAGTGTGCGTCGTCGGTCGGTGTTCTATGCGGTCCCACTGCGTTCACTGGCGTTGCCGCGGCGATGCTTGCGATTCCACTGCGCGCAGATTGGCATTCTGGAATTTTCTTGGACGCCGTGGGAACGTGGCCCTAGTGTGACAGGGGTTTAAACAAATATGTGGTCCGCTGAGTATCTTATTTGGGCAGAACACAGTGTATTTGCATTTGGATTACTACATTTTTATTATGTGATACCATTGTGTACATGTATAAGCGGAACCAGATATGATCCCATCTTTCCATAATGGTGGACCTTACAAATCGCTGAACTTTTCATGTCGAAAAACGTATTTTATCTATATTATTCGTGACCTCCTCCTTCAAAGTATTAAAGTAAAAAAAATGTCAAAATTACAGTATAGCTATTTCTGTATGTGCATTATATAAAAATACATTTTTCACATGATATATTTTTGTTACTGATATAATTGATTATGTGTTAACTTTGTTTTATATCTCAGATCCATCCTTCAGCAGTCAGATCTATACAGTCCTAACTGCAGCCAAGTCTAAACTTCAACATTTTCCAGAAATTGCCCAACTACAATCGATTGTCCAACCGTCGAATAGTTAGAGAAAATTTTGCCCGATCTTGTGTTGTGACCCCTTTGTACACATCGAAGAATCGTACTCTTTGAGATTCATATTTGTGATGAGTTAGACTTTCATGTTTAGGTATTGCTTTAGTCATTTTTGTTCAACCCCAGTGTTGTTTTCATTCAGTGGATAAATAAGCAACGTCCATACTTCACCTTGTCCTTACCTGGTCTGTTGTGGATCTGATCATTTAAAATTGGTCCAACTCAGCTTTTTCAATTATGAGATTACTCTGTATAATGTTTTTTCTAACTGAATTACTTTTATAAATGCTATTTCTGCTTCTTCTAACATGAAACAGCCTTCCTGATTGCCAAGTATGATTAGGTCAAGAAAATCCCTCCTGAAATCAAACATTTAATTACAATAAATCTTTACAAAGATTTTAGTCTCATTAGGGCTACATGCGCGTTTCCCAGTTGAAATGGTACGTGTGGCGCTGAAGTATTCCACATAATTCCATAAAAAACAATGTATCAAGAATATTATATCCTTCTCTCATGCGTCCACTAAATTATTTGTTTTAGAAAGAAATAACGCAAACTAGCAATAGTCAGCATTTTAGTCTCGGCCAGGTACGTCTGGACCCCTCAATCTACACCACTCAATCTACACGTGCCAAATTTTCCTGAGGTCAGCCTCAATTCAGATCTGTACCTGTCGTTTCTTCCGTTTCAACCGGATACGTGAATGTAGCCCAGTTCATGTGCAATATCCAGTATCAGTATTATTTGGTTCATTTTTTAGTGTTGACTATATAACTTATAGCCCAGTATTCTGCAGCATTAGTGTATTGTAAACTTGAGAATTATATCTGGTCCCTTAACGAAGTCTGCATTGATAATCTGTAGCTGTTGTTGATAGACATACATATGTACAGGGTTACATTTTCATATCAAATGTCAAGGTCAGTGTTACTTTCATGAATATAAGAGCAGTTCCTATTCTGACCTAGGATATCACTTCAGCTAGCTTTGCACTAATCAAGCAGGCTCCTGATATGAACAGTTTATGACGATGGTGTGACTTGTAGGTCATACCGACAAAAGGTCAAGGTCACTGTTATTGTAATACAGCAGTACTGGTAGTTGCTTTTATTCAAATTTAAGTTAAGATTTCTGTTGGAAGTCTATCATACAGTCAGTTTAGTGGAATACAAACAGTTTAATGTGCAATATGTATGTAAGGTATGTAAGGTAAATTAAAGTCTTCTGTTTGCTTACCTGGCCTGTCGACATGGTTTATTTAATTAAGTCCCTGTATTATTACATTGTACATCCAAACCCTCATGTATGTGACACATATGTTAGCCAAAAAGTTTACTCTGTAATGTTATATATAACTATCCTGTGTGATGAATATATCATAGTCAAAGAAATCCAATGGGATGGAAATATCTTAGTAGTTAATTATCAATGTATAAACATTCCCATTTGTGATAAATATTTTAGCAATAATTTATGTCAAAACTGTCAATAGCAATACATATCTTGATAGTAGTTTATGTGAAAACAATCCATGCTATAAATATGTCAGTAGAAATTTATCTCAAAACAATCCCATGTAATAAATAATTCTTAGAATTAATTTATGTCAAAACAATCCCTTATGTTAAGTAATTCTTAGCAGCAATTCATGCCAAAATAATTCAATGTAATAAATAATTTTTAGAAGTAATTCATGTCAAAATAATCCCATGTGATAAATACTTTAGTTAATGATTAATATCAAAACAATCCCACATGATAGATAATTCTTACTACCGGTAATAATATCTTAATAGTAATTTATGTTGTAACAGTCCCTTGACCAAAAACATGATACCAGTTTCATGCCAAAACGAATCCCATGTGTCAACTTCCCTTGTTAGTTTATCTAAATAAAAAAGCCCTCCTATTAATATCTCAAGCATAAACAACCTTAGAAGTGTATCTAAAACAGTCCCACCTACCAATTACACTTAGTTTTTCTAACCAATCCCACTAAACAACTCTAGAAGTGTATCAAAACAATCCCACTAGCTACTACCCTAGTAGTGTATCTAAATAATCCCACTAGCTACTACCCTAGTAGTGTATCTAAACAATCCCACTATCTACTACCCTAGTAGTGTATCTAAACAATCCCACTATCTACTACCCTAGTAGTGTATCTAAACAATCCCACTATCTACTACCCTAGTAGTGTATCTAAACAATCCCACTATCTACTACCCTAGTAGTGTATCTAAACAATCCCACTATCTACTACCCTAGTAGTGTATCTAAACAATCCCACTATCTACTACCCTAGTAGTGTATCTAAACAATCCCACTATCTACTACCCTAGTAGTGTATCTAAACAATCCCACTATCTACTACCCTAGTAGTGTATCTAAACAATCCCACTATCTACTACCCTAGTAGTGTATCTAAACAATCCCACTATCTACTACCCTAGTAGTGTATCTAAACAATCCCACTATCTACTACCCTAGTAGTGTATCTAAACAATCCCACTATCTACTACCCTAGTAGTGTATCTAAACAATCCCACTATCTACTACCCTAGTAGTGTATCTAAACAATCCCACTATCTACTACCCTAGTAGTGTATCTAAACAATCCCACTATCTACTACCCTAGTAGTGTATCTAAACAATCCCACTATCTACTACCCTAGTAGTGTATCTAAACAATCCCACTATCTACTACCCTAGTAGTGTATCTAAACAATCCCACTATCTACTACCCTAGTAGTGTATCTAAACAATCCCACTATCTACTACCCTAGTAGTGTATCTAAACAATCCCACTATCTACTACCCTAGTAGTGTATCTAAACAATCCCACTATCTACTACCCTAGTAGTGTATCTAAACAATCCCACTATCTACTACCCTAGTAGTGTATCTAAACAATCCCACTATCTACTACCCTAGTAGTGTATCTAAACAATCCCACTATCTACTACCCTAGTAGTGTATCTAAACAATCCCACTATCTACTACCCTAGTAGTGTATCTAAACAATCCCACTATCTACTACCCTAGTAGTGTATCTAAACAATCCCACTATCTACTACCCTAGTAGTGTATCTAAACAATCCCACTATCTACTACCCTAGTAGTGTATCTAAACAATCCCACTATCTACTACCCTAGTAGTGTATCTAAACAATCCCACTATCTACTACCCTAGTAGTGTATCTAAACAATCCCACTATCTACTACCCTAGTAGTGTATCTAAACAATCCCACTATCTACTACCCTAGTAGTGTATCTAAACAATCCCACTATCTACTACCCTAGTAGTGTATCTAAACAATCCCACTATCTACTACCCTAGTAGTGTATCTAAACAATCCCACTATCTACTACCCTAGTAGTGTATCTAAACAATCCCACTATCTACTACCCTAGTAGTGTATCTAAACAATCCCACTATCTACTACCCTAGTAGTGTATCTAAACAATCCCACTATCTACTACCCTAGTAGTGTATCTAAACAATCCCACTATCTACTACCCTAGTAGTGTATCTAAACAATCCCACTATCTACTACCCTAGTAGTGTATCTAAACAATCCCACTATCTACTACCCTAGTAGTGTATCTAAACAATCCCACTATCTACTACCCTAGTAGTGTATCTAAACAATCCCACTATCTACTACCCTAGTAGTGTATCTAAACAATCCCACTATCTACTACCCTAGTAGTGTATCTAAACAATCCCACTATCTACTACCCTAGTAGTGTATCTAAACAATCCCACTATCTACTACCCTAGTAGTGTATCTAAACAATCCCACTATCTACTACCCTAGTAGTGTATCTAAACAATCCCACTATCTACTACCCTAGTAGTGTATCTAAACAATCCCACTATCTACTACCCTAGTAGTGTATCTAAACAATCCCACTATCTACTACCCTAGTAGTGTATCTAAACAATCCCACTATCTACTACCCTAGTAGTGTATCTAAACAATCCCACTATCTACTACCCTAGTAGTGTATCTAAACAATCCCACTATCTACTACCCTAGTAGTGTATCTAAACAATCCCACTATCTACTACCCTAGTAGTGTATCTAAACAATCCCACTATCTACTACCCTAGTAGTGTATCTAAACAATCCCACTATCTACTACCCTAGTAGTGTATCTAAACAATCCCACTATCTACTACCCTAGTAGTGTATCTAAACAATCCCACTATCTACTACCCTAGTAGTGTATCTAAACAATCCCACTATCTACTACCCTAGTAGTGTATCTAAACAATCCCACTATCTACTACCCTAGTAGTGTATCTAAACAATCCCACTATCTACTACCCTAGTAGTGTATCTAAACAATCCCACTATCTACTACCCTAGTAGTGTATCTAAACAATCCCACTATCTACTACCCTAGTAGTGTATCTAAACAATCCCACTATCTACTACCCTAGTAGTGTATCTAAACAATCCCACTATCTACTACCCTAGTAGTGTATCTAAACAATCCCACTATCTACTACCCTAGTAGTGTATCTAAACAATCCCACTATCTACTACCCTAGTAGTGTATCTAAACAATCCCACTATCTACTACCCTAGTAGTGTATCTAAACAATCCCACTATCTACTACCCTAGTAGTGTATCTAAACAATCCCACTATCTACTACCCTAGTAGTGTATCTAAACAATCCCACTATCTACTACCCTAGTAGTGTATCTAAACAATCCCACTATCTACTACCCTAGTAGTGTATCTAAACAATCCCACTATCTACTACCCTAGTAGTGTATCTAAACAATCCCACTATCTACTATCCTAGTAGTGTATCTAAACAATCCCACTAGCTACAACCCTAGTAGTGTATTTAAACAATCCCACTATCCACTATCCTAGTAGTGTATCTAAACAATCGCACTATCTACTACCCTAGTAGCGTATTTAAACAATCCCACTATCTACAACCCTAGTAGTGTATCTAAACAATCCTACTATCTACTACCCTAGTAGTGTATCTAAACAATCCCACAAGCTACTACCCTAGTAGTGTATCTAAACAATCCCACTAGCTACTACCCTAGTAGTGTATCTAAACAATCCCACTATCTACTCCCCTGGTAGTGTATCTGAACAATCCCACTATCTACTACCCTAGTAGTGTATCTAAACAATGCCACTATCTACAACCCTATTAGGGTATCTAAACAATCCCGCTATCTACTCCCCTGGGAGTGTATCTGAACAATCCCCCTATCTACTACCCTAGTAGTATATCTAAACAATCCCTCTATCTACTCCCCTAGTAATGTATCTAAACAATCGCACTAGCTACTCCCCTAGTAGTGTATCAAAACAATCCCTCTATCTACTCCCCTAGTAATGTATCTAAACAATCCCCCCTAGTAGTGTATCAAAACAATCCCTCTATCTACTACCCTAGTAGGGTATCTAAACAATCCTACTAACTACTACCCTAGTAGATAGTGGGATAATTTAAATACGCTACTAGGGTATTAGCTAGTGGGATTGTTTAGCTACACTACTAGGGTAGTAGATAGGGGGATTGTTTAGATATACTACTAGGG